AGCTGCGCTCTAATAGAGTACAAAAAAAAAAAAAAAAAGCCTCGGAGCAAAGCGCAAGAGGAGAAGAGGATAGTGAATCTAGCTTTGGTTTTAATGCCGAAGCAAACCCACATTTCGCACTTCAAAGGAGTGCGCACGAATGAACGTGGAAGGCAGCAGGGTTGGCTGCCTGCTAAACAACGCGCCTCGAACTCTGTGTGTGTGTTTTCTTTTTTTTTTTTTTTATTAATTACTCTTGTGTCATGCGGCAAGTGAGTTATTTAATTTCGCTGTTAACACATATTTTCCTCAGCTGATTCTTTTATCTGGCACGTACCTGGAATGCGAGTCACCGATGTTTCTTTTATCGTATTTTGGGGCTTGCTTTAGATTGAGTGTGTTTTCCTGTGAGCTTGCGTTATTTCTTGTTTTTTTGGTACATATGCACGTGCGTATTTCTACCCTCACAACTATGTACCCCCCCCCCCCTCCCTGCAATAATGCCTTCGGGCGCTGCGGGGTAACCCGAAATAAATAAATAAATAAACTATAAGAAAACAATACTTGATCGTCTTTCGACGGGGCCCAAGTCAACGATTTATCAGAGCTCTGCGAGTTATGAGTCGCTTCCGCTCGCAGATCTGTCTGTGCGCGCGCGTGCATTCTACAGACCGTCGCAACAACAAAAAAAGCATGACAAGAAGGACGATGAGGAGTTGTGCATGGCGGTTTCTTTCTTTGCCGCTCCCTTTTCTTTCGCTTGGTGCGTGGTTTCTTGTTTCGCTCTCGTGTAACGCCATCGAAGCCCGACGCCAGCGCTTCCGTGAAAGGCGCCACGAAACCCCCCTTTCCCCCTTTGCTCTTTGCTTTGACGCTTGTTTTTTTGTATTGCATTTTGTTGGCGTATAAGTCTGTTAGGGCTCCTCGCGGGCTAGCAGTTTCCCGCTCATTTTATTTCTGAGCAACTGACTCACTGACTGGCTCGATTTAGCTGACCGTAAACATTAAAAAAAAAAAGAAGAAGAACCGTGCCCATTCCATTCCCATTCCATTCCCTTCAACGTTGCCGCCATTCCATTCCCATTCCATTCCGGGGTCATGAAAATGCGGAATGATTCCGGAATCATTCCAACTCCGGAGTGGCAACTCCGCAATACTGGCTCTCACCGAGACGCTGTTTACGTGCCATGTAACGAGCTTCCAGTAGTGGCATGTAAACAAAATAACACCCACGTTGCCTTTATTGACAAAATACATAGGAAATGGAATCCCAGCTTGCTTTCGTTAGCTTCAATCTCCAATTCTGGCGAGAAGGTAACGCGCAGCCCCCCCCCCCTGGGAAAATGGAAAGTCTACGCCGCTGGTCGTTAATTGCACTACCTTTTTAAGGATTAGCATCGCCGAAGGTTGCGGCAAGCGCTCAAGACAAAAGACGGTTAGCCACGTGGCTGACGGCGAATGTAGCAGCGGAGAGGGCTGGTTTTGTCGACGTCAGTGAAACATGAAACAATTAGTCCTAGTAACCGTCAGAGGCAGCTGCAGATCGGAGAATAGTGTTTTTTCCTCTGCGATTACGCAGCGGAATCGCAGAAGTTCGGGGGAAGGTGACACATTTTCTCACTTTACATATTCAATATAAAAAATACAAGCAACAATTTATTTCATGAACATAAATCGTTCAACTGCCCCCACAACAAGGACAATAAACATTTTAATTATCAAAACCCCTCCCTTGCATCTCTTCCTATTTGCTCCTCTCGGCGCAAAAGAGAGGACACATAAACATTTTATTACAATGTTTTATACAGAAGGGGTTCATGAACACTTTTAATCACAGACTATAAATCCCCGAGCACGTGCTTCGAGATAGTGCCATAAAAAGACAAAGAACAATCATGAAGTGAACACATAATTATTTCCTTTCTTCGTATGTGACAGAATAATCGACTACTAACTCTTACAGTCTCGCGTCTCCAGCTCGACGCTCGCCCTCCCGCGGCGGAAAAGGGAAGCGCTCTAGTGAGGGTCCCCCGAATCTCCTGCTTAGCGGGCACGGCGGAACTGCTCGCGATCATGGCTCGTGAAATGTCATTTCCGAATCCAAACAACACTCTTCACTGTCCAAACGTAGTGCTGCAGCCGGTATGGGATTGTAGCTTATCAAAGAGTTTTAGTATTGCGCATAAAACCAAACGCAAGCGGTGTGCGTTCGCGATAGAGTTGCGTGCCCGACGTTGTGCGTGCGCCTCATCGCCATGCGCCATCCAAGACCGCAATTTTGGGCACCGCGCACGCTCAGTGTGGAACACGCAAAGCTAACGCAAACGATGCGTTTGCTCGTATATGCAATATTAAAAAAGGCTACTGTTTCACCGAAACGAGCTGCAGTAAGCAGACGTGCAAGCAGGTAGGCGTTCCTTCGAACTGGAAAGGCTGAGATTGGCAAAACAACGGAGCCGATTGTCCTAGTCGTGACTATGAAAGCAAAATATACTTTACCCCCAATTAATGTAATTTTACATGAATTACACCCAATAGCTCGTTTTCATTGATTTTAGACTATATTAATTTTATTACTTGGTAATTAAAAAGGCTGCAGTTGCCACCAGTGATGGTAATTAGCACACTTTTGATTGTCATATCTGTTCGCGCGTTTGAAATTAGATCATAGACAATTTGAATTTTAATATTATTATTATTAATACAAATCGCGGCAATGTATGCCCCCAATTAACGCCAAGATCACAGAAATACGCCATTTAACCACAATAATCTTTCCAAAAAAGTATAATTTTGTTTTCTTTTTAGCATAATGATAACTCTGACATCGTTATCAAGATAGACAAACAGTCAAACACTGGATGTAACATAAAGTCCTATGCGTCACGTGTTGCCTATATAACACACACACACACACTTCAGTTGTCTGACTCGGATTCCGTCTCTGGGTTGTTGCAGTGAGAACAGCATTTATTAATTTATACTTTTAGTGGACATATTGTAAAAATTAGAATTATTTTCTTAATCTTGTGCTGGGAATAATGGCAAACTAATTAATCATCTAAATAACCAAAAACCCATTAAATGGACCTCAGTTCATTATTTTTCATGACAATTATCTGAGCGAGAAAATGCATTGAGGACACGCAAATATCATCACTGATTCTTTCAATAATTACAACTACAAATATCAGCCTGGATCTTCAGTTATGAAAGAATCCGAAATCAAGACCTATATCGAGAAATTAAATCCAAAATAGAGGTTAGTTTCGCTCCAGAATTAAAACGCGCATCCTAGCGTAAATATTACGCTAAACTCCATTCTTGTTTTCAGGGTAAAGAGGTAACCTGCGCTCATAATACCCTAGCTTCCTCGTATTACCAGAAATAATTTGTGTCGTTCAGTGAAGCCAGCACACTAGACAGGCTCAACAGCCACCCCGGCACGCAACTCCGACCCTCACTAAAACACTATAACCACCATTTTGGAAAATGAGTGGCGCCACCTATAGTTAGTTGGAGTCGCGATATTATGGTGAACTGCTTTCAGGTATTGTTGGTGTTTGAATTGATCCAGTCAAAGCTGCCCAGCTGCAAGGGCATCGACTACAATCATTGGCACGGGCTCTTGAGAATCTAGATCATCTTGTTTGGTGTTAGTTTCATTCTGACCTACATCTATGTGTAATGCTCACACCATACGCAAGTAGCGTCTTTAGTTCTGGTCGCAAAATGCCATGAAGAAATTATAACGTGCTGCCTTTTGGACATATGTTTGCGTCAATAATCAGTGACAGGAATAACCCATGAAGAGGCAATGAGTGCCAATGAACAAGGTGCACATCACCAACAAAGCCCTCTGCAGGACCAGTACAAAACAATCGTCTGCAAAACAATGATGTGTCGTGTCCTTGGGAGAAGCGATGCGTATGATTGCACTCTACGAGCCTTACATTCGAGTGCTTCGATATTTTCTCTTCCAACCTTTACGTTCCGCACCAGTGCAAGGCAGTGAGGGCAGAAAGGCGTATACATGGGACGAAAGTCCACCTCATATCTACTTGTCTTAAATTACTGGAAGAAACACTGCGGAATCCTGTTCTGCGCACACCTTGCAGGGATGGGAACAGACTTCCGCATCACTGTGGACCTGGGTGTCCCACAACCGAGTCATCAAGCGCAATCAGAAGCTTCTGCGAGACTTTGCTTCGAGATGAACCCAGACACCGCCAGCGGGGTCCCGGACATGGTCGCCAGCCTGGGCGGGTGCACCCTAAGTTGCAGGGACACCATCACCATCGCTGGAGGGACGCCATCGCTGAGACAATCGATCTTCGAGAAGGTACTACACACATGGAATGCTCGGTCACCTTCGCCCAGGACGTGAAAACATCACCGTGGCCGCTCAACACCAGCTTCAACGAGCTCCTGTAGCACCAGTTTGGTCTAAGCAACACTTCAAGATCCTCCTTCTGTGACCACACAGATTGCGATGCCAGGGTGCTGCTGGATTCCTGCCGGCGGAAGAGGAAATCCTCTCCCTGATGGAAAGCAAGAAGCCTTTGATGCCTCGGAGCTCGGTGGCGACTTCTCCGATCGGGCCCTTCCAGTCCGACGTGGCGAGGGATGGCGCCGGACCACCTAGCTTGTTGGCTGACTTGCATGCATCGAGGTATCCCCGGTCACACTCCAAGCACAGACGGAGACTGTGCCTGCAAGTGCGACAGTTACAAGCTGCGCCAGTGCAGTCATCTTATAGTGACAGTATCGAGACGCTGCAGTCGGAGCAACAGGGTGCCCTGACATCCAAGGGGAAGGAAAAGAAGCACCGGCTGCCAAAAACGGAGGGACCAAGAGTCACAAAAGCCGAGAAAGAGAAAGGCTCAGAAACATGCCAAAAAAAGATAGCACGGAGGAACGCATCGATCAAACATCGCTCGAGCAGGCCGACCGAATTTCAAAAGGGTGCCACGCTAAATTTCAGTTGCCATACTATCCAGTAGAGCGCATGCATCATACAATAAACAAAACATTTGTAGACTTTATTTCCCTAAAACAAAACAAAAACAAAAGGAAATTTATAAATTATAAATGCAGCTAAAAGTGCTTTCTTTCATGTAACAAAGAAGTGAATGGTTAGGCAACAGTCGCGGGCATTGGAAGTCCTTGCAAAGCTGCCAGGATATTCTGCGCCGTAAGCACTGCCATTGCCGTCCTGGTCTCTGTTGTAGCACTGCCGATGTGCGGCAGCAACACTGCCAAGGAAATGTAAGAATACAGCTATTAAAGGTACAATAAAACTTTTCTCTCAATCGCACCCAACACTATCTAGATATCATTCCCGATGCTCATAATATGACAGTGTTTGTGCTTAGCTTCACACGCAAACTGCAATGAGAACCCCCCCAAAAGATCGAGCGGCATTAAAAGAACCATAACAGGGTACTGAAGAGGTGCAGTTAAAGCTAAGGGCGCCTGTGAACGCGGTTGGAAGACTCACTAAAACGCGGACCATTCGCAACCACGGGAACCGAGCCACAGCCAGTCAGATTCGATTACAACGCCGCCCTTTGCAGGTCAGTCCATTCCACTATAGTTTGTTGGTAAGTTGGCGGCATAAAATTCGTTTCAGGGCACGGGGAAAAGCCAAAGTTCCTTTTGCCGACACAGGAAGCAACTTAGCACGCGAAGTAGGAATCACGGATGTCCCGGTAGCATTTTCGGGAAAGCTTCATAAGTTAACAGGGCGATTTCGGCACTCTGACTGATGCGTTCAGGTTTACGGGGGAGAGGGGAGATGGGGGGGATTGAGGTTCATAGAAAAAAATTCTGAATGATTCACCCGCTAGCCTCTATATTTCTGGGAGCCGGCTAAAGGGGGCCTGTGAAAGGCCAGCATATTAATCACCGAGGCGTGTTTGCCTAAGCCTAAGGCCCCCTCCCTTCCCCATAAACCAGGCGATATGACGCCCATAAAAAAGTGACATCAGAGTGCCGAAATTAGCCTGTCGACTTACCCCACAAGCTTTTTTGAATACGCGTCCCCACTAACCCACAGTTGTATCCCAATGTAAAACTGTCAAATGCTACTGTGTGGATGGGCCTTTGATCTCAACTCGTGACCAGAACTGGTGCTTACTCGCCAACCCCTGTCGCCAATGTTTATCACAGCCGCATGCCTTGGCTCACAATGCTTGTAATATGTGCCATCCCAGCGCGATAATCTCCTCAGTTACACTGAGCTTGTAAAGAACGTCTCAAAAAGCTAATTTCTTGAGATGCCCATTCAAAGGTAAAAAAAGTTAATTTTCTCCACCCCTCCCCTCTCTCTCTCTCTCTCTCTCTCTCTCTCTCTCCCTCCCTCCCTCCCTCCCCTCCCCCCCTCCCTCCCCCCCCCCCCCCCCAAAAAAAAAGGATCTCACATAATGTTTTTTTTAGTCCAATCTCGAGCCTTTCCCACGCAAATTCCTGTCTCCCTTGTTACACAGAGGTGCAATACTATCAGGCAAATCTCACCGCAATTAGGCAGCTTCACGAGCGGGTGATCCTTGGCCAAAGGCTCAGGCGTCATGACATCCAGGCCAGCAGAAGCTATCTTTCCAGTTGTGAGTGCTTCGTAGAGAGCATCTTGGTCAACCACTGCTCCTCTTTGGAAAAGATAGAAAGAAATGTCTCGAATGTTGCCCGAATGAGTTCATTTCCCCTCTCACTCATAAGAGTGATACTGAACACTCGTTCTCAGTAGCCATGCTTTCCTGTAGTAAAATCACACTCTGGTACTAACATTTGCTCAGGAGGGCTTGACCCAAATTTGATCAGTGTTCTAATGTAGCTTCATTAAACTGAAGAGTGCACATTACTCTTTTAAATCTTCAACCAAATGGAATGTGTTTGGTAACTGCAGGCCCCAGAGTCGGGTTCATCATAATTTGAATATTTCTAAAGTAGTCAAATGTGCCTAAGGTCGATGATATTTTGTTCTCGCAGTGTGCAACAGCCATTTGACCTCTTTTGAATGAATTATAGTTGTCTAGAGCCTTAGTGATCTCATTTTACTACTACAGACATCTATACTACAATGGTTTTGTAGGTTTCCTTCAGTTCCATGTCTTCTTTCAAGCATCATTGTCTGTGTTTATATTGTGTGCTTCTATTCTTTCTCTATGCTTAATTTGACATTACACTGTGAACAGATTAACCTGGTTCAATGTGCAATTAATCTATTGCCGAACATAAGTACATGGTATGTCAGGCCAGTGGCACCACAAGGGAGGGGGGGCAAAGTGCACCGGGTGCAGTGCTCAGGGGGTGTGCGGGCCACGAGCCGGGCTACCTACCGCCTTGGAAGCCACCGACCCTAGTGACGCCACTGTGTAAGGCATGTGCCAATTAAAATTGGCGAGGCCCTACACACTGAAAATGTGGTATGAAATACAGGCCTGGCAGTCGACATACCTGCTGATATTGATGAACGAAGCTGTTTTCTTCATAAGAGAAAACGCCTCACGGTTGAACATGCCCGTCGTCTCCGGAGTGAGTGTGCACGTCACAATAACTATGTCCGACATTCTCAGCAACCCGTCCAGCCTTGTGAACTGGGCTCCCTCCATTTCAGCTATTGAAAATGATAAAAAAAAAGAGAATACTACTCAGAATATTCTTCCAGATCAAATGTTTAGGAGAATTAGTAAGCTAAACTAAACAGTGCAAAAAAATTATATAATTTCAATACCATGGTCTACATACATCTTGGCTGAATCATTAGTGGATATAAATGTATGACCAACATGACGTCAAGATACATACCCGTGGGTTTGTGACTTCGTGAGGTGTAGAGAAATTTGCTTACTTTGAAAGCTCTTAGTCTCTCAAGAATTGCTAGTCCTGAAACAAAAAGAAAGTATGTTGAACCCTTAGTTACCAGAGTAATTTTAATGATTTTCAATTACAGAACAGCTGTGTGCAGAAGCCAATGAACACTTGCAGTAATGTAGTATAATTTTTTTTTTTTTTATGCTTGCAAAGACATTATTTATTATGTGCAAACAGGCAAACTTCTTGGATGGAGTATCAGTCCTCCAGAAAAAATAAGCAACTTGGAACTATGAAATAATAAAACTTAACTATTTCCTGACCGCGCCCATAAGCCATCGATATTCTATGGTTTCCAAGCGTTGTCAAGAAATTAAATTTAGTACGGAAAATTATGTTCCACAATCTCGCGGGTAGCCGACGAACTGTAGTTTCAATTTCAACATGTTTGAGCTTTATCATAAGCCGGTGGGCTGTCAAAAATAGTCCTGGGAAGATTGGTCGCACTTGCCTAACATGGCTAACTGCTTGCATCAGTCTTTGTAACAAAGATGGCATTATTTACATAATTCAACTGTATTGTGGTATATTTCTTAGACTTTAAGGACACTCGCAACACTTTAAATGGTGTTGCTTAAAGGGGCCCTGCAATTATATTTAAGCGACAACCTTTTTTGCGGTTTCCACGTCCCTCGGGGTTCAGGCAAGCCAGCGGGCACGGAGAGAGCAACTAAATATCAGTGCGTCATATTTCAACCGAATGATGCGGAACTTTCCTCCACCTACGGGGGCGACCCGCGGTGCCGAAAGCACGCGATATGCGACGTCTTTGGTCCTGGGCTTACTACTAGTCAGAGCCGCTAAAAACTTCTTTTTAGTCGAAATACAAAATATAAGTGGCACGAACCGTTTAAGTTATCTATAAAAGTAGTTTTTGTTCACTATTTTAGATCAGAAAAGAAACAAATGCAGTTTATAAAGTATGGGAACAAAAAATGACTCGTCGACATACCTGCCACCAAGCAGTGGAAAAGGCGGCGCACACTAGAAAGGTGTAATGGGATCAGGCACCAACGAGCGCCGAGTGAAGAAATTTCACGGATGTACGCGGCGGCGCTGTGGTCGTATGGACTGGAGGATCCGAGCGTTCCCAAGGCCTTCGGTGAGCAGCTTGGGCTAGCGATTTGGCCTTTTGGCGGTATGACAGCACGAAGTGGCTCCTGTTCTGAACTGAGCTTTACCCCGTGTTTGCTGTTGTTTGCAGCCAATGAAGTGTCATGCCGAATTAGTGTTTAATCGCGTAGCAAATGCAATGCGAGCCGCCCTGGGTGCCCGCTTCATATAGCCTAGCCAGAACATGCTTTAGTGGCGCCCTCTCGAGCCGTCGACACGGAGTGCGGCAGCCGTGACCACTCGCTAAGCTCACTAGCCCTCCTCTAGTTCACGGCCACTCAAGCAACCAAGAACGTCATGAAGGAGGTTATTTTTTGCTTGCTTTTGTAATTTTAATTTGCCTATAACTTTTAAAATAAAGCAAAATTTGGGAGAAAAAAAGTTTCACTAAGTTACTTTGTTCAGTGCGCTCAGGTTCGGTGCAAATTAAAAACCAGTACAGAAGTGCTTGCAGGGCCCCTTTGAAGGATGGATGTCGGTAAGCATCACTACAATTTCAAACGCTGTCCTGAGCCGGCATGCACTTTTTATATTCCCAAAAAGGTGGACGAAAATGCTAAATATCAAGAAATTGCAATCAAGGCTATGACAAAACCAAAGTAGAACACAAAGAAAGCATTCTGCTAGGGATATGTGATATGTACTATCTGTGTTTCACCACTATAAGCAATCCTTCATAGAAAAGCACACGTGTTACGGAGGCTAACTCTCCGACGGATCAAAAATAGACGTCAGTTAGAGTACACTAACTTTCAGAAGTTATAGCCATGGGTGTGGGGCACATTTTGAATATTCTGAATTTTTTCATTTATTTGCCATTTAATTTGGACAGCTGTAGAAATGTTGGCATTTATATCCCTTCCACACATAGTTAATTGTATTTTCAAGAAATACAATTTTATAATCCTTTCTCCTGATTATACCAGCCTCAGTTTCTTTTTAAAAAAACTAATTGGAGACATTTTGATGCGTCATATTGCTCCATATGCAAATTAGTCAGAAAAATATAAGTATTTGCATGGACCTTTTGAAAATTGCTACTTTTCCCATGGTCAGGAAAGAGTTAAAAAAGAATTAAACATAAAATTTAATTGAATGCTGAATTATTTATTAAGTTTTGAAACAATAATAGAGCAGTATTATTTAATTCTGGATAAAAGGAAAATTGTCTATACAAAAGTTATGAAATCAATGTGCAGAGATGAGCATCTATGCCCATCCTAAAGTTATCCAATACGCAAAGGCAATTCTTCCGCATTACTAGACCACATAAACTCAATAAAAAAAAAATGCAAATCGATTGTATATGCATATTTGAATTTATACCTAAAAATTCTAGAATGCATGGTGCTGGTCCCATATTCATTTACCGTAATATTCCAACAGCTAGATAGCTTACTTGACATAGAGAGCAAATCAATTATAAAAAGAGGGTGGGCAGTCTATTAGTATGCAACACAAAAAACTTGCAAAAAAAAAATGCTTATCTCAGATTCTCATCATCTCCAGCATACATTAGCTGCTATACACCCAGCCCCAAAGTTCATACTATTTTAAAGTCAAACGAACAACTGTCTGCTACAACATCTTTCGAAGCTTGGTACCCCAAAAAACAGTCATTTGCTAAGCTTATTGTACAAGCTGTTTGGCACAGATAGCATGCTTTCTAGGGATGTATAGTCTTCTAGAATTTTTTTTAAAGTGGAGAAAACTTTATCAAAAACAGGGAAAACCTACTTTTTGGATGTTTTTTTTACCTGCTTGGTTAATTTATTAAACAATACTGCCAGCTCCACAGAGGTCCAAGTGTTCTGAAATAAGTGTTTCCATAACTTTAAAAACTTTGCACTTAAGTGGCTAAATTAATAACCTCGTCTTTGTAATCCAAGATGTTTCAAATAGAGTGATAAAACTACCAATGTTATATTTAAAAAAAAAAAAAAATTACTTCTTTTTTTTTTTGTAGTATATTATTCTTTGTATAGCTCAGAAAATTACACATGCTGCTTACATAATTCCTGCTGCTGCATAGCAAAGATATTTTAGTTTTAAATGAAGTGTTTCCTACACATATAGATCCAGTATAACATTTACCAGGAAAAATACAGGCCTATAAAGTGTGCATTAAATTAACTTGGTAGCCAAGTTTGAGGATCTGGTAGCATAATTGTGAGGAAATGCAATTCCTAGAACAATGTTGTGTTGTCCCCTTTTCTTTGTTTTTTCCTTGTTTCGTGGTTTGATAAATATGTATGTCCTCAAACAATGTAGAACTAAGAGACAAAACAAAAAGGGGGGGTAACACAAATAGGGTTTTAAAAGTGCACTAAAGACATTTCTGGGATTGTCTGTTCTTCGTGATAACTTATCTGACAGGCTCCAACATCCTAGAAATTGAAAAAAATTATGCTTGTGCGACGTCTATTTCCTTACTAAAAATGTGCTAGAAGTTTGTGTTACGCCTCTCTCTACCGAAAAATTTGAAACACAAAATCCAGCAGAAGTGCCGGCGGCACCTTTGCTTGCAATGGCTGCACTCTAAAAAATGTTTGTGCACCTACTTTCACGCACAACACTCGGAGAGCCAATCACCGCAACTTACAGAGGCAGCTCAGCAAATGACAATGCCAAAACATATGTTTAGACCAAAAAACATAGTCCGTGTTGTGACATTACGCAATGCAAAACATCACGCTTGCATTGCTTAATGTCACAACTCAGACTATGTTTTTTGGTCTAAACGTATGTTTCGGCACTGTCATTCGCTGAGCTGCCTCCGTAAGTTGCGGTGATTGGCTCTCCGAGTGTTGTGTGGAAAAGCAGACTCGCGGGCTTTTTGTAGAGTGTGACGCGCGCCCATTGTCACGCCGCCGGCACCTCCGCTGAATTCTCTGCTGCATATTTTTCCGCTCAGAAAAGGGGTGTGGTACGAACTTCAATCTCATTTTTAGTAAGGAAATAGATTTCACACAAGCATAATTTTTTTTTATTTCTGGGATGCTACAATTCCGTAGAAAGAGTTATCATCAAGAACAGTCAATCTCAGAAACGTCTTTAGTGCACCTTTAAAGCCTATACGTTAGCTTTAGTTTTCGTTTATAAATCTTAGGATTTTAAAAACTCCTCTGCTGTGCCTAGTTTTTTTTCTTGTTTACTTCCCATAGTAGAAATATGCCGCCCCAAAGGTTCTGACGAGAAGTGCTTACTTGTGAATCTCTCTGTGAATGCAACCCCCAGCTGAGGTGCCCATATTATGATAAGGGCTTATTATGGAGAAGGTGCCCTGTGACCGAAATTTTGGTTCCCTGTCAAAGGATTCCTAGGTATTTAAACTTAATACTCAGTCCTTTGCTAGCTTGTGAGAGATGCCCTTCGTTAGCTAGGTACATAGAACGTCCCAAATTCACCTTGCCTCAGCAGAAACTTTCTATCTGGACCCGATGAAAGATTGGTCACCGTGAAGCGTCAGTGAGAGCTAAAATTAGTTCACTTGCCTATGTTTCCCATGCCCACGAACCCGACCGTTGTTCCCCTGATTTCCGAGCCACACATCCACATTGGGCTCCAGGAGGTCTGGGCCCACGCTCCACTAGGAACAAGCAGAGAAAAGATGTGTAAGTGTGCCCCTCTTCATTATGTCCAAACATCACAGTACCTGTCGATCTGACTGCGGGCCTCAAAGAGTCGTCTGCGCGTAGCCAAAAGTAGGGCTATTCCCAGCTCAGCCGTTGAATCTGTCAGCACGTGAGGCGTATTACCTACTGCAATCCGTCTGTGAACAGTGCGCACAGTCAGCAGTGAATTTTTCTAAACAAAAACATTGGTGCAATGACAACATACTGGACGTCAAGCTTTGAAAAGCACAGCGAATCAACTAACTGTAAGACATTTCACGGTATTTTACCATAGTTGGTGACAGGTGAGGAGTTCAGGGGACACTCCTCCCACCCCTTTCCACATTAGCAGTGTGAATGCCGGAAAGGAGGTCACCTCCTCTCCAGCATTCGCTCTGCTAATGTTCAAAGGGTCTCCCCTGAACTCTTAGCCTGTCACTGACTATGGTTTTCTGTGCTTTGCTATGCAGCTCGTCAAAACCTCGTGCTGCCCCAAACAGGACGCCCAGTGTTTGTACGTCGATATGTTTTCACCTTTTTCTGCATTCATCCACATCGATATGGTCGTATCCAACAGACATGGTCCCCACTACCTTGAGAGTTGAGCCTGCAAAATATTGGCAAACCTACGTTTCTCAACTGTTGTGCTTTACGACACCGAAAGGTAATTTCTGATCAGTTTACCAGCGGCATCCAAGAGCTGCGCGTCCACCTTCTCAGTGAGCAGGCAGAATAAAGCGTCCTTGTCGACTATCCTTTGAAGCAGCAGCGACCGCGGAATCGGTTTCGGTTGGTTCCATACGTCTATGTCGCACCTGAATGAAACACGAGAACCCGCATTAGAAACGCGTCACCATTTTGCAGAAAGTAGAGTCACCTTTCTGCGAGAAGTTTAAGGGCTTCGGGAGGAATGTCCGGGTGCGTCACAAGAACGGCCGGTTTTCGTGTAGGTCCCATCTCAGATAACCTCACACGTCGGACCAGAATAATGTCAAGAGTGTTGATAGTGCTAGGCGAGAGCAGGACACAGCCTTTGCCTATCAAAGGTCGTCCTATGCGCCACATTTGACGTCATACGACAGGTCCCGATAAAGAACGATAACCTCGAATACAACGCTTCCTACTTCGAAAGCACGCACGAACGTTCAAGCACGCTAAACGACACCGACAATGACCGCTTAGCAAACCGCCGCAATAGAACGTAGTGCCACAGTGTCGGGAGCTGTCCAGCCCGATAGCTCAAAGCAGTAGAGCTCAAACCTATGTATATAAATTATCAGACATAAAAAAATTTTTTAAGTGCGTATTAACACGCAAAATTTTGCTTTAGTTAATAAAACACATTAATTTTTTGCTTTCGGATAATGGCTGCTTTTACCACCCTTGTTGCGCAGGCTCTTGTGTTACTACGCCAAAGCCAAAACAAATCAGAATTTGCTTTCGACCGTCTCGTGTCACCCGATGTCAGGTGGTAAATAATTGCACGTTACGTTTATAATGAGCAACGGATCTTGTTTAGGCGAAAACAATCTAAGCTAAAGATGAACAAGTCAACGTTTTACCAGACCATGTCGTCAGATCTGGCGTCGGAGAGGTGAGCTCAAATGGGCCTACCTGTCTCTTGTCACTCATTTGCTTCTGTGCGTTCCTTGTGAAATGTCACATCGCATCTAAGTCGTTGACGTCTGTGACCTTAAACGATATGTTTTTTTTTTTTTTTTTACTCCTACAGTACTATGCTGGAGTTCAAACTACAAAAGATGGACTTGGGACGTTCTCAACATAGCTTGACAGAGAGACCACCTTACCGAAATCAGCAGCATACACAGAAGGCCTTCGAAACCATGAACATTCTAAGGAAGTAAGTATCTAATCTCATCACAAGAAACGCTGGTCTAAGCAGACCTCAATGCAGGCGCAGTTTTATGTCCTTCTCATCATTGTACCTTTTTTTCCTTCGCCGTTCATAACCGCCGTGCTCGGTTTCGATTTATTGTCACCTTCATATTTACCTTCTCTTTGGCCTAAACGTGCCCCTTTAAATCAGTGATGAATCCCGAGGAAAGAAAACCACAAGCGCAGACGATTTGTTACAAGCGCGCACAACGTACAACGTTAGAGATATCTGCTACTTTCGTAATTGTACAATTTATGTTGTTTCAGTATACACATAGAATGTTGTGATCATTGTGGACGTAACACCCTTTTATCTTGCAACAGGCAGAACCTGTTGTGCGACGTCACGCTCGTGGCAGGAGGCACAGAAGTCATGGCACACAAGACGGTATTGGCATCATGCAGTCCTTACTTCTACGCCATGTTCACTGGCTTTACGGAAAGCCGTGCCAACAAGATAACGCTGCAGGGTCTAGACGGAACCGCCCTCAGCCTCCTCATAGATTATGTCTACTCGGCAGAGGTGCAGGTCACCGAGGAGAATGTGCAGGCAAGTATGCACATCTGTGTCTGTTCACATTTCTGTTGCATACACAAACACTTCAACACAATTTGAGGATAAATCTTTGATCTGGGTTGAAGCCACAATTGCAGTCCCCAAACACTCTATTTATGATAAAGTTTGAAGCTCGAGAAATGGGAGCACCTGAACAGCTTAATGACTTGGCTTGTAGTACACAGATGCTACACTACCTATTTGTGCTCATACTGTCTATAAGCGTATACGTCATTTTCTGTTTCGTAATGTTTTTCAGTTTGTTAAAGAGGTCGTGCCACAGAAAATGCCCCGCCGGGGGCACTTGTGAAAGTAGGTGTTTGGAGAGTGGCGTCTCCACGGACCCCGAGCCCCGCAGGGGGCGCCTGCATCTTAGGTGTTAGGTGCTTGGTGAGTAGCGTCACCACGGACCCCAGCCACGTGGGCCACCATACCCGCACGCAGGGAGCACCTACTTTTGTAGGTGCTTGGTGAGTGGCGTCACTACGAACCCCGAGCCATGTGGGTTCGCCCACCCACGTCTGGCTGTGCGTGGTGTACCCGTGTCCGGTGAAAAGGGGACCCTGGCGGTTGAGCTGAGCCCGGGGTATGTTTGGACCCTTCGGGGCCTTCCGGGCGAGGCAATACACAGCTTCGACCCCTGCTTCTCGTAGACGTGTGTGCTGGCTTGGCCCGACCAGGATGATTCAGTCAGTCGCCTCTTCTACCCTCTTCTTCCTTCTTTCACTTTTCCTTCCACCTCTTTCTCTTTTCTTCTGCACTCTCTTCTTTCCTTTTTCACCTTCTTAGGCGGCAAGGGCTAACCTTGAGTGGAAACAGGTCCTGTCATTGCATCCACACTCGGTTATAGTGCCCGGGCAGCACTGGTAGAGTAATTGCGTCAGCCAAGCCTTTCTTGTTATGGCACATTACCTACCCCCTCGTTGGGCTCCGTGGTGGGCGGTGCACCCGGGCACTGAAATTCCTTCCCGTCTTTATGGGTTCCAAAACTAAATTAACTGATCGGGCCTTGAAAAGGACCCGCACCGAAGTCATTGATATTATCACTAAGACCCCTGATCTTTTCAAATTTCCAAAGTTTCTTGTTCTGCACTCTGAGGACGGAAAGCCACTGGCTAAACTTTCTCCTTTTTTAGTTTCCAAAGTGCTTGAAGGTGTTATCGGAGCAATCTTTAGCGCCAAAAAGATGGCATCAGGCGACCTCCTTGTAAAAGGTAAATACGAAAAAAACAAAGTGACTCACTTTTAGCCCTGAACTCCGTCTCAGACTACAAGGTCAGTGTGACCCCTCATCGAAAGTTAATAACCATCCAAGGGGTCATCTCTGAAGATGGCTTGCTCGACTTGACAGATGCAGAGCTAGTTGAGGGTCTCTCTGGACAGGGAGTTGTTGCAGCACGACGCATTGCCATCCGTCGCGACGGCGTAGAACGCAAAACAAGGCATGTTATTCTCACCTTCGACTCCACGACTCTGCCCACTAATGTAAAGGCAGGCTACCTTCAGTGCCGTGTCCGGCCTTATGTGCCGAACCCTCAGCGCTGCTTTAAGTGCCAGAGGTTCAGCCATGGGTCGCGGAGCTGTTGGGGTAGCGAGACCTGCGCCAAATGCTCCAGTAAGGAGCACGTTGCTGATGTGCGTGAGAACGAAGCTCAGTGCACTAACTGTAATGAAAAACATCCAGCATACTCCCAATCTTGCCCGTTATGGAAGCAAGAAAAAAAAATCTCACCTTGAAGGTTAAAGAAAACATTTCCTACATTGATGCAAAAAAGCGTTTTGCCTTTCTCTCCAAAGGCTCTTGCCCAGGCCGTACATAGGGGACCGGTACGGCCAATAGTTTCGACTGGAACACAGACGTCTACGGACAATCTGCGCCTCCCGTCGAGGTCTCCTGTGTCCTCAGGAGCGGTGCCAGTCACACCGCTTTCGAATTGTAAGGAGGATGCTGCCTCCTCAGCATCCACCTCCGGGCAGGGGCTGGCCCCCCCTGCTCCACCTGGCCCTTTGGCCCCTAAGGGCCGAGGCCTACTCCCTCGCACCTCTGCTCCCCAGAGGAAGCCCGGGGAGCCGCCGAAGCAGTCGACCTCCAAGGGTCAACTGCCGGCGGCAACAGACGAGCCTATGGACGTAAGTGGGCACAGGTCCTAGGAGGATGCTCCCGTCTCAGGATCGGAGTCGTCTCTTTCTGTCGCCAGTGACCCCACTTGGAAACAGAAAGATCCTCTTAAAAAGCAGAGTACCCCACGTGTAAAAATAGATTTTAAGCCTTAACGGATCTCCCTTTTAAATCACTTTCATATATTTTTTTCGTCTCTAAATGGCAAAGAACTATAGTATTATGCAGTGGAATTGCCGTGGTCTTTTCCCTAATATTGATGACATAAATCTTTTTTTTTTTTTTATGAGCTTCGACCTGTTGCTATATGCCTACAGGAGACCCATCTCAAGGACACACAAACAAATGTTCTACGTCTTCGTCAGGTTTTTAGAAAGGACCGTGCATCCCATAGCAACTCCTCTGGTGGAGTAGCTGTGGTTGTACAGAGTGGTATTGCCTGCGCTTTTGTTCCTCTCACAACCTCTCTAGAAGCAGCGGCAGCTCGTATTCTTCTTGACCGCCTTATTACGCTTGTTTCACTTTACTTGCCACCAAATATTCCACTGCATTTACATGACCTGCATGGACTTGTGGCGCAACTTCCGCAACCTTTTTTAATCTTGGGGGATTTTAACGCCCACCACCCCATGTAGGGTAGTGCTCGCCAAGACTCCCGGGGTGGAGTCATTGAAAGATTTTTTATTGTCATCCGGCCTGTGCCTTTTAAATGGACATGATCCTACATTTTTTAGTGCAGCTCATAATACTTTCACTTCCATCGATTTGTCTCTTGCATCCCCAACTTTACTAGCCGCCTCGGTGGCTCCGAGGCGAGAGCGCCGGCCTACGGATCCCCAGGTGGCGGGTTCGAATCCCGACCGAGGTGCCCGCAATATGACGGAGGCTTATTGCGGAGAAGGCGCCGTGTAACCGAGCTTTCGGTTGCACGTCATAAGGTCCCCAGGTGGTCCAAATTAATCCTCAGTCCTCCGCTGGGGCGTGCCAGATGCCCGTCGTTGGTTTGGCACGTAAAACCCCCAAATTTGAAATTTTCCCAACTTTACTTCTCTGTTTTTCTTGGAAGGGTTTAGATAACCCTTTTGGGAGCGACCATTTTCCTGTTCTTTAGAAAGTACTGTAGCACCTTCTTCACTTTCAACATGTATTCCCATGCGGAAATTAGACAAAGCCGACTGGGCTCTTTTTGCATTGGAAGCAGTGCTTGACCCAACTGAACTTTTAGCTATGACTTCGGAAAATGCCACCTTGTACGTTACTGACCATATCATAAATACTGCTTCTGCCTCCATTCCACAAACATCTGAAAATCTTCCTAAGCGCTGCAAGCCTTGGTGGACCAAAGACTGTTCTGTTACGCTTAAACATCAGAACAGGTCCTGGGGCACTTTCTGCCGCTACCCAACGGTCTGGAACAAGATAGAGTTAAAAAAATGTAAAGCAAAGGCTCGTTGGACAAGGAAACGAGCTAAGAAAAGCTCATGGATGAAATATGTTTCCAAGGTGAACAGTTTTGTTACTACTAAGGAGGTGTGGAACCGAATGAGGAAAATTCAGGGTAACTACCTCTCTTTTAGGACGCCTCTTTTTCCCTCGGCTTCGCCAGCCTTGAAAGGCCAGGCAAATGTTCTTGCAGAACATTTTTGTGAAGTGTCTAGCTCATCTAATTATTCGGCAAAATTTAAGAAGTTCAAAGCTGTAGCAGAAGAGCAGCCAATTGCTATGTCAGGATCAGACACTCTTGTATACAACCAGCCTTTCACAATGTGCGAACTCGAGGTGGCCCTTGGGTCAAAAAAGCAGTCGGCACCTGGTCCTGACAAAATCCACTATGAAATGTTGCGGCATTTGTCCCCTGAATCTCTAGGCCATTTGTTAACCTTTTTTAATCAATTGTGGATGGCTTCTGCCTTTCCTCAGTGCTGGAAGCGGGCACATATAATTCCTCTCCTAAAACCCGGTAAAGACTCTACTCTACCAGCAAGTTATCGTCCCATTGCAGTGACCAGTTGCCTTGGGAAAACTTATGAAAAACTAATAAATAGACGATTAGCACACTTTTTAGAGACTGAGGGAATTTTAGATCCCAATCAGTGTGGGTTTAGAATGGGGTGATCAACATTGGATTATCTTGTTCGCCTGGAAACTTTCATACGTGAAGCGTTTTTTCATCGACAGCACTGCGTTTCGGTATTTTTTGACCTAGAGAAAGCATATGATACTACTTGGCATTACGAGATTTTAAAGGACTTATACACACATGGTGTCTGTGGCCGCATGTTGCGCTGCATAAGGGAGTTTTTGACTAACGAAACTTTTCAGGTTAGGTTTGTTTCCACACTTTCGGATGTTTTCCTCAGGAAAATGGCGTCCCTCAAGGGGCTGTATTGAGCGTCACTTTGTTTGTGGTGAAGATAAACAGCCTTGCTACAGTGATACCTCCATCAGTTTCATATTCATTATATGTTTATGATGTGCAGATTCCCTTTTCGTCCTGCAATCTCTCAAGTTGCGAGTGCCAGCTTCAACTCTCAATAAACAAAATGAGCAATTGGGCGGATGAAAATGGTTTTAAGTTTTCATCTGAAAAAACAGTGTGTGTGCCCTTTTCACTATGTCGTGGTCTGTTGCTTGATCCTTGTTTGCAGCTCAATAGCGCTGCAATACCTGTAAAATACGAGCACAAAGTTTTAGGGGTTATTTTCGACAAGAAACTTACCTTTCTGGCTCGCGTCAAGGAGCTGAAGCAGAAATGCTTGCGGTCGTCTAACATTCTCAAAGTAATTTCACACTCATCCTGGGGGTCTGACAGACGGTGCCCCTTATGACTTTATAGCTCCTTGGTGCGGTCCAGCCTGGACTATGGTGCGATTTTTTATGGGTCGGCACGTCTGTCTGCCCAAAAAAGGTTGGACCCCGTCCATCATCTGGGGCTCAGGCTCGCCGCAGGAGCATTTCGAACATCACTTGTGCTTAGCTTGTATGCTGTACACATCAAATGTCCTTGGAAAGACGAAGGCAGTATTTGAGTCTTTGTTATGCTTACAAGATTTACAGGTATCCTCAACATCCCACTCTTGATGCACTTCAACCTTCTACGTCCTTCCGACTCTTTGAAAACAAGCCGAGCATTGTTCGGCCCCTGAGCTTCAGAGTGCAGAGCATGGCAACATCGCTCTATCTCCCCTTTAGTGAGGCTGCTGTGCTGAGGGGCAATGAGAGAGTTGCGCCTTGGGACCTTCTGCCAATTTCTTGTGACTGGTCACTGTCTAAGTACAGAAAGAGAGCTATTTCTCCACTCGTTCTTCAGCAGGAGTTTGCCGATTTAGAACAGAAATACAAGGACTACTCGCATTTTCACACTGATAGATCAAAAACATCAACTTTTGTGGGGTGTGCAGTTTATTCCATTACCTTCAGCAAAGTTTGACTACTCCACACTGTTGCAAATATTTTTACTGCCGAATTGTACGGTATTTTAATGACTGTGGAGTACTTATTAGAGAACAATATCATGAAAGCAATTCTGTTTGTCGACTCCCAAAGCGTTCTAGCCGTTTCGTCCTTAGCAGACAGCAAGAACCCTCTCGTGCAATGTCTTCAGGTACAGCTTAACCGAGCACTTCAACTAGGACACCAGATTAAATTCTGCTGGGTCCCCAGCCACGTGGGTATTTCCGGCAATGAAAAAGCAGACTTGCTTTTGCTGCCTCTGCAAAAGAATACCCAAAACTGCCTCTTGGCCTGCCACACCAAGACCTGAAACTGATCATACAGAAATTGATTATGAAGTCATGGCAGTTGGATTGGGATTTGGAAAAAGAGAACAAGCTTCACAATATCAAGCCCCAACTGGGGTATGGGAGAGTTCCTTTCATAAAGTCCGTCGGGTTGAGGTTCTCCTTTGCCGTTTAAGAATTGGTCATACCCGTTTGACTCATTTGCACCTGCTCTGTGGTGAGGATGTTAAACTTTGCGACAAGTGTGGCAAAGATATGACTGTTTTGCACATCCTGTGGCATTGCAAAGCTTTAAACCAAGAGCGCCGAAAATGTTTCCTGAACTTTTTCCAGATCACCTCCCCTTTCATCCATATTTCCTGCTTGGCGATCAACCATTGGTACCATTCGATCGAGTTTTGTATTTCCTTGATAACACTAGCCTTTTACACCAGCTGTAACTTGCAGTTCTTTTAGATCACAGCTCTAAGCGCTTTGGGAAAACCTTTGTTTGGCGCAATATGGCCTAAGTTGCTCTTGCGCCATAAAACCCCAAATCATCATCATCACCACAGAAAATGTTGAATCACGGATGACTCTGCCCCTACAATCTATTACGTGTGACTATACTCATTTTGTAAATTTTTTGTGTGAATACAATATTGACTTCATGAGTGCGATCAGTTGAATCAAAGAGCTTTTGGCAGCCACTTCACGAGGTGGCTACGTATGAAACTATTTGTGACATTACCCGCTGTGTTCCTTCCTGCCTTCTCCCCTTTATTTTTCATTGATAACTGATGAGTGGAATGTTAAAAGCGAGCAGGAAGAGAAGGAAGGAAAGAGTGTACCAAGTATATGGTGTAATTAGGTGGACCACTGACTAATTACATTGATTCTATCACGGTTGCCTAGTCGTGTCATGAGAATTGTGATAAAATGTGCAAGGGCCCTAAAAATCAGCAAACTTGGTGATCCTCTGAAGTAGTTTATGAAGAGTTAACATAAAAAATAAATAAACATTTTAATATACTTCTTGTGGCTAGGGTTCTATGTTTTCGGTATACTTCGATGAACCCCCGCAACGAACCCGCGAGCTGGTTTCATCAAAATCTGGGGGAAAACAATAGCCCCGAATTGAAGCTGTCTCTGAATTAGAAAAACCGAAGCTTAACAGCGAGGAATTTTCTTCTGCAGCTTCGTCTTGTGTTAACTTGGAGTGAAGTCCTTACTGAGCTGCCTGTGAGGATGTTTCTTTCTTTGGAAACCGCACCCCTTACCTCATTCCCTCCTTTCACCGGCACCGGGACATTTTCCTAGTATTCGGGCCACATGCATATTTTCCAGAGGTTGGGGAATCTCACGGGCGTTCGTGTTTTCTCCAACATAAGCTCTGATAAACATTAATATTTTTTTGGTTGACATCGCAAGACACTGAATCTAAAAAAATGAACCCCTAACCCCCATCCTTGAATTCGGATAAAAATAAACCCCCAAAACACGAAACCCCGTTTATGACCTCAGACTCCACACTGTACGTGACTGCAAATACTGCTGTGTATGTGCCACCTGGTGGACAGCTGCATCATCTGCTACCACTATGCTTGCGCATAGGCAACCCCCAAAAAAGCCCAGGGCAGCTCGCATTGTATTTGCTGCACGACTAAACACACTTCGTCGAAGCTTTTTGGCTCGAAATGTTTGTCGTTTTAGGCCTGAACCCCACAAAAGAAATATGTGGCACACAAGTGATGTAATTTGTCTGGCTGTGTTTGCTTTGTGCCTGATACAAAGCAGAAACGTATGATGCGCATGGCGAATGCCGCCAGAACAATGCAGAGCGCAAGTTTGTCTGCTTCTTGCACAGGGGTTGCAATGATGTCAGAACGCCGAGCTCTTATTGGCTGACTGAAAAAAATAATGGATAGACCTCAAGGCATCGGGCATTGAGTTTTATCCACTATCGTTTCAATCAAAGTCCATCAGAGCTTGGCGTCATTTTGACGCCGCTTCATAGCAATGGATGGCGCGCGTCGGAGCCTGATCCCACTACCCCTTTCTAGTTCACTATACCAGTGGTAAACGTGTAACATGCCGGCCCAGAATCACAAAGCTTTCAGCAACTTCTGCATTGGATTATGAAAGGAAGAACAAACTCTCTAAGACATTCATAAATTGCTTGAAGCAATACAGGAGTAATGGAACCTCCTTTTCTTATTAGGTGCACATTATTTACTATCACAATAGCATATAGGAGTTAGTTGCGAGTTAAGGCCCCTTTTTCATATACACCGTAGCACTACCTCAGCGCTATTTGTCAGCAACGGAAATAGTGTTAACCTTGCTGATGCTGCGCCGACTTCCCACTTATCTAGGCCTGTTCACATATGCAGCGCAGCGATAAGTCAGTGCTGGAAATGTTGCTGATTCTAGCGCTGATGCAGCACTGGCACAACATTGCGTTGCTGCTAATTATGTTCAAGACAGCACCGTATCAGCGCTAGTGTTGATTCAGCACTGAGATAGTGCTATGCTGTATATGTGAATTGTCCTTATTGGTGATACAGCACCGATACCTTGCTAAGTTGCATTCAAGTCAGCGCTGCATCAGCACTGTTCTTAATGCTGATTTAGTGCTTGGATGTACTTGTGAATCGCCCTTTAGTGATATTGGAGGTGTATAAATTCTGTCTCTGGGTTGCAGACCCTGCTGCCGGCAGCCAACCTGCTCCAGCTGAGCGACGTGCAGGAGGCCTGCTGCGAGTTCCTTCAGGGACAGCTGCACCCTTCTAACTGCCTCGGTATACGGGCCTTTGCCGATCTGCACGGCTGCCTCGACCTGCTCTCCCACTGCGACACCTACATCGAGCAGCACTTTGTGTAAGTTCTTCACCCACCTCGGAACCTTCCCGTCTCCAATTGAAATGGACGCCAGAAGAGTTAGTGCATTATGGGAATATGAAAGGGGCCCTCACGGAATGGGCATCAACTTCCTTCCGTATTGCGATTGAATATCTAACACCCTCTTTCCTCGTTTTGTTTTAAACCTGCTTCTCCAAGAAATCTTCCTTGCTTCTTTTTTGCAGCCTTTCACCTTGGTTTTGCGTCGCAAAAATAGCTGGCTGCGAATAGGGACTCGTGCAGTTTCCGTAAAGCTAATGAAGATCTCAACCTGCATATAAAGTATGCACTTGGCAATAATAAATATCAAAAAGGGGAAGTCCCTGTTTGTGTTGTCGATTTTTTAGCACTACTGTATACGTTTTGGATCTAGCGTATCCGTCTTCATTCAGTTTGATACATCATTTCCTTTCAATGCAGTGTGTAATATAGTTTGTGAAGCCTTTTGAGAAATATACTTACTGGCTAAAGACCTCGTACAACAGATGTGAAGCAGCTGAGAAGAGACATCTCACATTTACCCCTTGTGTTCTTTATCTGCAGGGAGGTGACAGAGAATGAAGAGTTTCTCGCACTGTCTGCGAACCAAGTGGCACATCTGATTTCAAGCGACAGGCTCTCGGTTCCATCGGAAGAGCAGGTACCCGCGCTTTCACCTAAGCATGAGCAAAGTGCGATTGTATATAATAAGCGCTATGAGACGCCAATGTAAATGCTAGTTCATGTTTTCTTCTTCAGGAGTATGACACTTAAGTAATGGGCTAAAGGTTATTCACCTGGAGACTAAGGGGCATTGTGCACTTCTTGTCTCGCAAAATTTGGTGCCTGCAAAACATTTCCTAAATTGGGTCAGTGACAGCGTTGAGAAATATCAAACTAGCAAAGTAAAAGTTTTGGATAGTATGATTCGCGCTCATATCAAGGTCTGCATGCTCCCAAGTAACAGGAAAAATCATGCATTTGCATGGAGCCATGGAAACTTGAAAAAGTTTTTAAGCATTCTTATGAGCTCTAAAGTCAAGGTATAAAAAATTGTTCTAAATATGGAAGGGACCTGACAAGCCAGCGTTAAAGGAGCTGTGCAACAGTTTCAGTGCTTTGCTTAGATAATTTGGGAGTTGGTTTCTCAACCTTTCTGAAGTAAAGAACAAACAGTTTCAGTGCAGTGCTTAAATAATTTGGGAGTTGCTGTCTCGACCTTTCTGAAGTAAAGAACAAAAAAACGCTTTTGCCTGCATGTCCTAGTTTTTCTTTTAAAAATGGACAAAGATTGAGGTTTTCGGCACCTCTCAGCTCCTTCACCGTCTTCCGAGTCACATGCGCTGTGATGTCAATGGGGGTGGCGCGGGGTTCCGGTGAAGCTCTCTCTCTAGAGTCATCAGTGAGCAGCGAAAACTCACCCGCTCGCGACCACGTGCTGGCGGGCGCAGCGCAAACAATATGGTGAAAGGAGGAAAGTCTTATCCGGGTCTGGCCATGCCAATACCACCATACCCATCCGGCCCTGTCCCCCTCCCCCTCCGGTTTCTGGCGGCTGTTCCGCTGTTCGCAGTAGCAGATAGAGCTGACGGTTTTGTGGACCTAGGATAGATGGCGCCACTAAAACTCCGTATAATAAAAGTTTTGTCGATGATACCAGGTTTTTGACACATTCATATTTATGTTGGAACAACAAGATTTATAGAAAAGTTACCTTTTATCGAGCAGGTATTCGCTCAACTCGCTATCTTTCTACAAGACCCCCATTGACGTCATGCCGCGTGTTTCTCATGGCCGCCGCACGCGGCTGCAGGTCGAGGAACATTCTAAATTTTGCCTCGCAATTACGCGGCAGAATCGCAACATTCCGAAGAAAGGAGGTGTGTTTTATGTCCTTTGTGACAAGGTGAACAATGTCAAAAGTAGAAGATGCCAATTCTTTCAACGTTAAAATCGTTGCACAGCTCCTATAAAGAAAGAGTGAGAGAAAGAAAGAAAGATTTTTTATTTTTTTTTAATTATGGGTCTAATAAAATCCTCAAAGCAGTGGAAAAAAAAATTGTCTATTGTTTTGAAACTAAAATTGACATAATTCAGTGCAGAACACCACTGAAAACGTCTTCGTTGTTGGAGGTAGTTGCAGCAGGTAGTTGAAGAAGGTAGTCAGTGCAGGTCATTGTGGGTAGTCGTTGCAGCAGGTAGTCGAAGGAGGAGGCCAATAAGATCTGAGATAAAAATTGGCATAACCTTTATCTTCAAAGTCCTGTAATGCGTGAAATGCAGTATTTAAGAGTAATTGTTTTAATTTTTCAGGGTGTAAAAAATTTAAATTTTGGGGGAAACTGATTTGGTGTGTCGCATGACTGGGGAGGTTGGAGGGCACTGTAGGAGGGTTAGAGCAGGAATTGAGAGAGGAAAAGAGAAGGAAGGATGGAGAGAGGATGCTGGTCTGTTACGTGTTCCCCGCTAAATTTAGTGGGTAACTGAATCGGTATCGCATGACCGGGAACGAGGAAGAGTGATGGGGAGCGGGGGAGGGGGTGGTGATAATGGGATAGAAAGGGAGGTGGTAGAGAGAGAGAGAGGGATAGTGAGAAAGAATGCGTGTCCCGTGACGAATGTTTCTCCTTTAAATTTAGCGGAGAAACTGACTTGTACGGGTCATGTGACGTCAGGTCATGTGACATCGATCTCCCTTGCTAGATTTAGCAGTGAAACTGAATTGAAGTCTAGGTTGCATGACGTCGAATTCTCCGCTATATTAAGAGGGGAAATTGAATTGGAGTTTAAGTCACTTGGGGAAACTGAATTGACATATGTATACCTACGACATGTGACACCAATTTTCTTTGGGTTATAGGTTGCGCGACGTCAATTTCCGTGCTAATTTTAGCAGAAAAAAAAGTTACATTTTTCGCCCACATCGTGCGAAGAAACGAAAGCGATAGCTGTGTAGCATGGTCGTGCAATGTGGGTGGAATGGTGGCACCACATACCTGAGGACGGAGGTGTGATGTGGTTAATTCTCATGGCTGTCATAATTGGCGTCGTGGACGCCACTGACAACTGCCACGAGTGCTCGGTGATCCGTAAAGTAACTGGGTAAGGTGAGGCACTGCATGCGCATGCCAGTTCACGGCAGTGGTTGCTGTCAACTGGGACAGATGAGCATTCGCTTGGCAAACAGAAGCCTCGAACCGCTGGCGTCATTAGGAAGACTTCACGGCTATGGTGACGCAGTGGAAGGCCTAGGTTTTCCCAGTGACGTTGAGCAGTGAAGGGACGGTGTAATGTTGAAGTTGAGAGCAGAGAAATGAGGCGAAGCTCTGCGGGAAAGGCGGCTGCAAGGCAGCGATTTTTAGCAAAACAGCTTTACGTTTAGAGCTCAGTTCCAGAAGTAGAGATGTTACAGTGAAATTGAACGTGGTGGAAGTTTCCAAAATCATCCAACATTACGCATAGCAATTGGATACCGCCAAAGTGGGATATCGTATAACGCGAGTGTGTTTGAAAGCAACTGTTTGAAGCAGATGACAGGAAGACTCTCCCTTCATTGCGCTGTTACTGGTGGGTCGCCAGGGCTCCCCTCTTTTCTCTCTTCGTACATCATGGCCGAAAAGAAGACCTGGCTTCCCTCTCTTTGCACCAAGAGGGGAGTGAAGAAGGGTTTTTCTATAGCGACGACGACAGCTGACGAGCTCGAAATCTTTGCAAAGTGTCGCTTTAAAGGCCAGTTCACACATGCAGCGAAGCGCTGATGCAGCGCCGCTCACGTGTCATCAATTATTTATCGTCTGCCATGAGCAACAGTTTTGGTGTTGCGATACAAAGCTGGTGACTGTTCCTGTCAGCATGCACTTAGTGCGAGGTCAGCGCTATGCTTGTAGCTTTGCTGCATCTGTGAACAGGTCTTAAAAAGCAAATTAGACATTTGTGTTTAGTCAGCATAAGATCGGTGTGCCCTTGAAGTATGGCGACACTGGTTTCTGCCGTAGATGAGAAATTGAGTTAGTGCTGTACCACCACGTGCCTGGGGTCTTTAACTTGTGTCACGCAGTAGTGATACACGACTGCACGCTGGTACAATGCTCATCCATATCGAAACGGGCAAAGGCGGGGATTGAACCTAGGATCCCTGGGTTCTGCAGCGCAAGCTTTTGCTCCATGTGCTTCGAGGTGCAATGGCCGAGTGTGCATTAACATGCCCGGCCACCGATCCCTCTCCGTCTTAAGTCGCTGAAAGTATCGTTGCAAGATTCAATTGTAACACCATCTGATTTCCAACCGCCCTTAGCTCCATCATGCCCATAGAGCGCAGTTCCACGAAACGCCTTTTCCTTTCCAGTGAGCTGCATTCCACTATGTCGATGAACGGTGTCTGCCACTTTGGCCATTTGTTTACACACTGATGCTTAGTTATTGGCGTTTTTTTTTGGTGTTGGTGAAACGCTGAAGCATGTCGAGTGGCTCTGTTGACAACGGAACTCGGTAAGTACGATCGAGATATGTCCGGGCCGCACAAATCCGAGAATATCGCTATTTGTTTCCTTTCGGAGCCTCCCGGGCGGCATCTTTGGGCCTTATGTGGTTGCCGATGGTCGACTTCTCGATCGCATAGACAATAACGACCGGTATATACTATGTATAAAAATAAAGTACCGGGTGATGCTCCTCTATGTCGCTGACTGCTCCAGCAGACGCAGTCAATCGTGATGTTAAAAGAACTCGATCGAGCTTGGAAACACTGCCTCTGCACTTAGAAAGACATTTGGCCAAAATTCATTGTTCATTTCGAGCCAGAAGTAGTATGTCGCATGAAACTGCCCGTATTGTGAGAGCGAGCCAACAGGGTTGCCGAAGAAGGAGGCCAACGGGATCTGAGACTGGCCCTGGCTCATGCAGGTCTTCGAGGCGGTGATGAGCTGGGTGAACCAAGACCTGGACAACCGGGAGAGCCAGCTGGGCACGCTGATGGAGCACGTGCGGCTGCCCCTGCTCTCCCAGGAATACCTGGTACAGCGGGTGGAGGAGGAGCCGCTGCTCAAAGGGAACCTGCCCTGCAAAGACTTCCTCATCGAGGCCATGAAGTACCACCTGCTCAGGGCAGAGCAGAAGGTCCTGTACGCCACACCACGCACCAAGCCACGCACCCCGGTGGGCCGGCCCAAGGTCTGTACAAGCCCCTTTGACGGCGTGCAGCCAATTTCAGCCTGCATTTAGAGGTCTCGCCATGATAATGCTTTACTTTTACTCGCACTCGCATACAACCATGTCGGTCTTTTGTGTGGTGTACACATAGTATGCTGAGATGAAGCACAGAGAGCCAATAATAAAACTAAAATAACAAATGCGAGAAAAACAAAACTAATACTGATACAAGACATGCCTTGGGAAACTCGGAAAGATAGCATCAGAAAGATAACATTATAAGACAATGACAGAAATATAACTACAGTCAAAGCTTCCTTTATTATAGAAAGCCTGCCAAATCACGAGAGAATGTGGCGGCTGTAAAGGTGAAAGGAGATTGGAGAAGAGGGCGTGCGCAGGGACTCTTTCTGGCAGCACCAAACAAATGGCCCAGCGTTGAAATCCGGATACACAAACATGCTTTTTTTTGTTGTATTTTTTTCAGGAAAGAAAAACATTTTGTGTTGACCCCCCCTCTACTCCGCCCCTCTCCCGTTTCCTCATGCGTCGGTAGCCTCCTTTAGTTTTTTCTCCGTTGCAGTTTGTTGTTTTGCGGAGAGCCCACCACGTGTATTGTTGGCACTGGCTGAAGGGTTACCCCAGAAGTGGCTCTGCTCTACCCTATGGGCAGCCTTTTGGTACTTTTCCTCGCCTTTCTCCTGCAGCCGCGCGCTCAGTGGGTTTGTCGTGGAATTGATAGGCTTTCTAGAATAAAGGAGGCTATGCTATGGTGTATTGCAATATAAGGTCTGCTGAAAAGGCTCCTCCCACAAAAAGCGAAGCTCTGCCCACATATTATAAAAGGTTTGGTGTGGCGGTGGCCTCCTCGTAAAATATTGCTCAGTGCAAGTACAGACCTGTAAATAAACTAACTCTGCAGAAAAAAAAAAAGAAAAAAAAAAAAGAGAATTGTAAATGAAAGCAACATGGTGTAGAAGTCTTGAGACCTTGTTCACAAAAATGCCCATACCAGGGAGGGTTCGGCTCAAATATATGCATCTATGGGTGGCTCAGATCTGCCAAGGAAAGGGTTCAAACTGTAAAGGCACTTTGCTTATTGGCAGGAATGGCTGGATATATTTGGGAGCTAGGGAAACCCACAAGGGTACCCCAGGCAACACCCGGGATCCTAGGAACCCAATCCGAGAACCTCTTCAGCTGGTTTTACAAAGTCCCCTGTAGGATTCTCCAAGTACTACCTACATTTTTTTTCTCGATTGTCTCTAACCCAAGTGAAGTATTTCCTCTGTGTTTTGGCGTGTCCGAGCTGTGCACCGACAAACAATAATGGGCGAAACACATCCTAGTGTACATGCATTATTGATAACAAACAAAGTTTGTAGGCATCTGTGCTGGCTAAATGTAACAATGGCAAAAGGTGCTTTGGCCATCATCTGAGACAGCTAAGTGTCTTGACAGAATTTGAGAACCACTTTCGTAGATTATATAATGTCAATTTCCAAGCATCTTGGTGCATTTATAAAAGGAACACATGCCACGTGGTGCCTCATTCTGTGACGCCACAAAAGCGGTGTGTTTTTGTTGAGTAGAGCATTTTTCTCTAAAAATTTCACGGCGGAGATTTTTTCTGCAGACCTTATATTGCAAGAAATCTTATGTTCTGGTTGTGTGAACTCAACCAACATTAAAATAATAACAATGCACTTTCTATAAGTGTGTTACGAAGTGAATGGATTAATTTGGCATTGGCCGTTGCCCCAGAAAAAAACACGCCTGACCTTAGTTTTATATTGTTGTGGTCTTGCCCAGTATTTGTGACAAGCTCAGTCTCTATAACAGGGGTGGCTATACCGTGGTTCTTTGCACACCTAAGTGCGACCTGCGGCACTTTAATAATTTCAATCCCCCTTCCCCACATCCTTCGGCAAGATTCGGAATCTTTTTATGGTTGATACGTTGAATGGTGGCTGGCTAACGACAGAAACTATTGCTCAATATTTAGTAGTGTTTGAAGTGGAACTCCTTGAACTCCACGCAGGCAATGTGCTGAAATGATCCTGCAATTTGATGAGTTCGGGATTCTGGCACCAGGTGCCAGAAGCAAAGTATCCTCACGTCAGGCTTGCGGGCAAAAAACCTCTTTTGAAATTCGGATGAACATATTGCTGTGTGCCTCTAACCTCAACAGTAAAGGAGGTAAAATGAAAACAGTGTGCAACCCTGACGGACGAATGCCTAATTTAGCTTCTCATGACTGCCCGTCTCTCTAGCCAAACTTCAAGATACTTGTTTCACAAATTGAAATGCACAATCATAAAACATAATCAGCAATCTTTTTATAAGTAGAAATCTCTGTAGCCATCATCTGACATGAAATTTTTAAAACATTTGTCTTGTCCCCTTTTAACTGTGACTTTTCACTTAAAATGGTTATTTTTTATGGCTCTTGCATATGTCTGTCTGACCACCCCTGCTATATAGTAACCTGGTAGCACAGTGTGGATGTATATGATAAGTATGTTGATTATTCCAAAAATGAAGTAGAGGGGTAGGTTACATGCAGGTTAATGAGTCAGCATGACAAAGCTAAACAGCAGCTTGTAACTTGGAATGGCAGCCAATTAGACTTGCCTTCATGGTGTCAAAAATGAGAATTGATTGAGATGGTGATTCTGCAAGGCCCTCATGCAGCTGGCAACAGAGTGCACAATTTATTCACTAGTGGGCTGAAAAGTGAAGGCATGGCTGCTTGACGATTGCAGATGCTGCTCGTAGTCGGAGGCCAGGCTCCCAAGGCCATTCGGAGTGTGGAGTGCCTCGACCTGCAGCGAGAGCGCTGGCTGCAGCTGGCTGAGCTCCCCAGTCGCCGATGCCGGGCCGGCTTGGCCCTCCTTGATGGCAGAGTTTTCACCGTGGGTGGCTTCAACGGTTCCCTGCGGGTTCGTACCGTGGACATTTACGACCCTGCAAGAGACCAGGTACGCTCACGCGTGGTGGTGAGTCTAGCTAGGTGCGTTCTTCTCCCGTCTCTGATGAGGAGTGTTCTTAGCCACCTTGGTGGCTCTGAGGCAAAGCGCCGGCCTACCAATCTCCAGGTGGCAGGTTCAAATCCCGGCCGAGGTGCCCACAATCCGATGGAAGCTCATTGCAGAAAAAGCGCCGTGTCACTGAGATGTCGGTTGCATGTCGAAGGACTTCCGGGTGTTTGAAAGCAATCCTCAGCCCTCCGCTGGAGCGTGCCAGATTCTATTTGTTAGGTTGGCACAGAAAACCTCAGAATTTGACTTTATAAGAGGTGTCCTTGACCATCAAGACACCTTTGCAAATGTCCGTCATCAAGACATCTTTGCATTTGTCCGTCTGGCTCTCCCAAGAGGTGCAGGGATGTCCTTGGCAAGGTCAAGGACAGGGATTCCCAAACTCCTGCACCTCGATGAATGCCTATCTGCTTTGATTGGCAGCTGAACAATCCTTCCTAGTCTTGGCACTGATGCAGTAAAGAAGCTGCCTTGTAAACTGTAATGGAGAGAGGGGGGAGATTACTGGGCACATATCTATGCATCAGTGAGTTGCTAGGATGTTCTAAACTCAGAGCTGGAAAAGTGCTTTAATTTAGGAACTTGGGAATCCCCTGGGTTTCTAAGAGCCCAGTTTGAGGTCCCATGGTCCATTATATTCCCGAAGGGATTCTGTTGACCGATATCTGGAGGTCAAGGGTATTCCTAGTCTGTAAGAGGTACTATGACTTCCACATATTACTGGAGATGAGGCACTAATTTGGAATGCTACAGAACCACCACAGCATGGTCTGGAACTAGGACTTGTAGAACTTCCCAGCAGCTTCTTTTAGGGGCGAAGGTCCCTAGGGTCTAGCCATGTCCGTTTGGCGTCAGGTGCTCGTGCTCACGAGCACATGAGCACGTGCTCTTGTGCTCGTGTAGGGCGAAAAAAAAACAACAACCACATCTCCACGTGTTGAATGATGTTGATTGGGGCGAAGTTCTGGTGGTGCTTGTCTGCGTAGACGGTGAGCCGCAGCATGCCGAGCCTTTCGTTCGTTTTCATCCATGTCAGAAAGAAAATGTGTGGTATGGAACGTGGTTATATATGCATTTGAGCATTTGACCGCAGCGTGGCATGGATGAAAACGAACGAAAGTCTCGGCATGCTGCGGCTCAGCGTCTACGCAGGCAAGCACCACCAGAGCTTCGCCCCAATCAACATCCTTCACCACGTGGAGATGCGGTTGTTTTTTTTGTGCAGACTTGTTCTCAGACTTGCTCAGTTCAGTGACACAAATTATACCCATGAAGTGTGAATACACATTTAACTTGGCTCTGTGGGATTGGTTGGAACGGGCGTCCCTGGGAGCAACGTTCTCTCATATTTTCTATTACAATTATATCTAGCATTAAAAACTTCGCTACCAATTGTGGACGTAGCACCTTGGCCTCTGGCCAGAAGTTAAAGTGCTAGATCTACATTTGAATTGCACTTTTTCAAAGGGGCAAAGTGCTAGATCCACACTTGAATTACGCTTTTTCAAAGGGGCTCAAGCACTGTCAATATTTAAGGCTTATATAGTTTGTTCTAAACCATGAAAGCACCATGTTGTTTTAAACAGATGTTTCTCGTGGTGTGCCTGGCAACACAGTCTACGACAAAGCCTGCCTGAGCTTTGTGGGTTTGCTACTCTCTTCCAGTGGAGTCAAGCCTCGAGCATGGAAGCTCGGAGGAGCACTCTGGGCGTTGCCGTGCTCAATGGCCTCATCTACGCGGTGGGTGGCTTTGATGGATCTACAGGACTGAACAGCGCGGAGCGGTATGATCCACGCAGCGAAGACTGGGCTCCCGTTGCTTCCATGAGCACTCGTCGGAGCAGTGTAGGAGTTGGAGTACTGAACGGTCAGTTAGTTCTTCCTGGAAAACCCTTTCTGACCTATTGCTTTGAGTTTGAGCGTGGCTTTGATGACTATGGGGGGGGTTTTGGTATTGACGGACATTTGAGTTGGAACTCCTACCTTCACCGAGTGGAAATACATGCTGGTGGACGCGGCTTTGAATCACCTAGTTAGTGCAGTTAACTATAAAGCTACCTCAGCCTCTTGACTGACAGTCACGGCTTGTGGTTTTGGGCACCGTGGGACCCGGGGAAGCATGAAGACAGTCTTGGGGGGGAAGTGCTTCATTCGGCCTGGTCCAAGCGTTGCGTCAACGTGCTCCAGCACTTGACTGTCATATGCTGGTAGTCAGAACTCAGAAAAGCAGTGATTGTTTGCTGTGCTATATGTGCCAAACCGTTCCAAAAGGCTTACCCTGCTACATTTAGCCCAAATGTGAGGAATTTGCAAAAACATTGCACCAAAACTTGATTTCACTTTATTAATACTGGAAATATAATGGCTCAGTGCCTGCCACATGTCCGGATCGTAATGGTAGGCTTGTGGATATTTTTAGAACTTTCAATTATAGCTGAAAATAATGTACTGTTCTATTTGATCTCTCTTTCAAACACTGAAAGCACTCGGAATTTTTGCAATGTCTCTATATTCGTTAAATTAATACTTCAGCTTGGGCGAGTTGGTTAATCATGCTAATACTTCACAGCGCACAACAGACAACACACCATCAAAACAGATCCATACAAAGAGACAGCACTCAAGGCCCATACGCACATTCGCGTTTGAGCGCGGTGCGTTGCAAAGACCGCTTGCGCCAAACTTGTATGCACAGTTGCGTTGACACGCAGTCAACCGCAGTCAAGAGCCAATAAGAATGCGCTATTGTCGCTAGTGGCTCACCAACAGTAAGCGAAATCCAAGGCAACATGGTGGTGCACGGCGACAGCGTCGAAGTGTTCGATCTTGGGACAATCTCGCCGGCTTCCCCGACATTTTGTCAAGCTTGAACCATCGCAGCCTTGAAAAATACAGTCCCCACCGCTCCCCAAAACGAAAAGGCAAGCACTGCGACCGGCGAACCGGATACGTCTCACCGAGTCGGCCGAGTGGGGCAAGCGAACACGTCACCTCCTCTCCTCTTTCGGCTTCTGATTGGTCGAGCGCACCCGAACACAACGCTTCAGAAAGTTGAGCGAGTCTCTACTCGCTTGCGTCGCGCTACCGAGCGTTGCGGGAAGGCGCGCGTCGCTCCGCAAGCGACCGCGCCTGGCCGCAAGGACTCTGCAACGCACTCAAACGCGTTCAAACGCGAATGTGCATATGGACCTTCATGCAGCGCTGACTGTCAACTCTCAGATATATTAAACATCATCTTCGTTATCTTTTATTCTTACTCACTAAAAAGAAGAAAATAAAAATTAACCAAGGAACAACAGAGAAAGAAAAGGAAAAGGAGAAAAGATAAGGAAGAAAAAGGAGTCAAGAAAATAAAATAAAAAGAAAAAGAAAGAAATGACAGAGAATAAGATCAAGTCCTACTGCAGTAAAAGTTACTAAGGAGGTTTTCCTAAATAATCTAACTTTTTTTTGGATAAGCTAATCGACGGGGTACTAACATGTAATTCATCTAGCAGGTCTATGCTAGCGGCTTCGATAATTTCTTTAGTTAGTTTGTTCTTGCTTCGTCCTAGTACTGTGCAATTGTTTAGAAGGGGGGGAGCATTCACAATTTCTGCAATGAATGCCCAGATGACCTGAGTTAGCGTTAATGGCGTTGTTATTATGTTCTCGAAGCCTATCGTTAAGACAACGCCTCGTCTGCCCAACGTAATGCTTCCCACAGGTAAGAGGGAGAGAATATATCACTCCTTCTGCCTACTTAAGGATGTCAAACAAGCAGAAGCTACTAACCACAGAACAAGAAAACGCACAATAAGGCCTGTCATAATGCCATTAATTCCCAACCTGTCTCACAAGCTTAAAAAGGTAGCAAGTAAAGTCAACGTCAACATTGTTTTCTCTGCTCCACAAAAGCTTTCCAGCCTATGCAAGCGGATGAATGGGCCATCTATTCGAACAGAGTGCTGCAACAAAAACCACAAGACCGAGTTCGTTTCCTGTGCACAAGGAGTGATATATTCTCTCCCTCTTACCTGTGGGAAGCGTTATGTTGGGCAGACAGGGCACTGTCTTAACGATAGGCTTCGAGAGCATAACAACAATGCCATTAACGCTAACTCAGGTCATCTGTGCACTCATTGCAGAGATTGTAGATGCTCCTCCTTCTAAATAATTGCACAGTACTGGGACGAAGCAAGAACAAACTAACTAGAGAAATTATTGAAGCCGCTAGCATAGACCTGCTACAGTATAGACCACTTACAACGTAACCGCTTATAGTGCAAGACCAGGTATAACGCGGCTTTTTTAAACCACCGGTTCGCCTCCCATACAACTCCATGTAATTACATACGCTTAAAATGCAGGCGCGCGAAGGGAAATACCGGTTATAGTGCGTTTTCTGGAACAGCCCGCCGACCACGGCGACCAACCGACGCAGCGAGCACGCTTCCCTGTGCAACACTATATATAGATAACGGCGCTAGCCACAAGCGGCACTCAAGGGGCAAGGAGGCTGCTCGAAGAAGCGGGGAGAAGCGAAGAGAGAGGCTTCAGTTGCCATAGCGACGGAGGGACGCACGCACACCCTCCGCTCTGTGCGTTGGAAACAACCGCAACGGCAGACCAATCGCAGGTCGAGGAGAAGTGTTCGCGCGCGTTGCATACCGGTCACGGGCCGGCTGCTTTTATCCGCAAACATGGCGTCGGCTGTGATCGTCGACGTAGAAGCTCATCGTTCTGCGTAAAAGCGCTAGCTATCCTTGACTGTGAATTTTCGTTGTGTGTCGCTATGATAACCCAGCACGTACTAGAAGGGAAGATCCACCTATTCGTGCGGCGATGTCGTGGCGGCACTCTCAAGACGGCAGAAACGCCCGTGTCGTCGTGTTTGTTTACTTCGACTACCGTGGTGCTTTCTAAGCATTTGTGTTTTTGAACATCGCCCGGATTTCTTATTTGGAGCATTTCATGCCTGTGCTCAAGTTGAAGGTATTACTGCCGCGTACTGTAGAAAGAGTGTGAATTTTCACGCGTTTTCATCACCGGAGAAAAGTGATTAGGGTTAGCAATCCTGAACGCTCGCAACGTCCGTCCGCAACCCGCGACGCCGTTAAAAGGCTGCGCCAGGCAAAAGTCGCTCATTTCTTTCAAAATGTGTGACACACTTGAGAGAGAAGTGTACTAGTCTGGTGAAATAAAGACTTTCCTCAAACTAAGCTTTATTTTTCATCTAACATAAAATAAATTCTTTTACAAAGGTAAGTTGTCTCATGGCATGTATTTTGGCCTGAAAAATTGATGACTTGGTTATAGCGCGGTACCGCTTATAGTGTGGATTTTCGCGACTCCCGCGACATACGTTGTATGCGGTCTACACTGTAGATGAATTATGTGTTAGTACTCGGTCGATTAGCTTATCCAAAAAAGAGTTAGATTATTTAGGAAAACCTCCTTAGTAACTTTTACTGTACTAGGAATTGGTCTTATTCTGTGTCATTTCTTTCTTTTTATTTTTATTTTGTATTTTATTTTCTTGACTCTTTTTCTTCCTTATCTTCTCTCCTTTTCCTTTTCTTTTTCTTTTTCTGTTCTTACTTGGTTAACTTTTATTTTCTTCTTTTTTGTGCGTAAGTGTAAAAGATAACGAAAATGATGTTTAATATATGCGAGAGCTGACAGTCTGCGCTGCGTGAGTGTTGTTTCTTTGTGTGGATCTGTTTTGATGGTGTGTTGTCTGTTGTGCGCTGTGAAGTATTAGCATACTTAAGTTAGCTTCTTCTATAAGTTAGATTTTTTGAGTGCGCCTCTCACCGAAGTAAGCATAGCATTTTCTCTACGAAGTCAGCGTAGCACTTTTGCTTTTCTTGCTTTGCCGCACTGCGCCCACGTGCTAAAGGGGAAGCACTCCTCCAGAGCGGGGTGTCGGGTATATTAAAGGGCAACTCCGCTCAATTCCGAAAAATTTAGGCTTACATGTGATTCCATCTCACAAGGCACTACTAAACAGCTCTGTGTCTTCGGATTCGCAAAATGTAGAATAATATTTGTGTAATCTTAATTTAAACATCCGCAGATACCGAAACTGAAACTTCGGTTGTGTCAGGCAACATTGGTCTCGTGTCGTCAGAGTCATGGCCACGTCACGTCGAACCACGTGGCCTTGTGATGTTCGTGGGGGCGAGGTACATGACACAATTCACGGACAGGGTGCTTCACATAGCGTGGACGGTGATGGCCCGGGGGAGAGGGGGACGGGGAGAAGACGAAAGAGGAGAGGGGGAGCAGAGAAACTGGACACGGGGAAGAAGTGCGATCTAGCATAGACAGACCGATAAGCGCGCAGAACAGCACAAACTAGCGCGTCCGCTTTACAGTGATCACGATGCTGTTGAGCCAACACCGGGAGGAAAAACTCATGACATCATCGTTCAATTTTGCTCTGAAAAGTGAGAAAACACAAAACGTGAGAATGACGTAGACATGCCTCTGACGTAGTGGCTCAATGTTGGCTGCTCCAACTCCGTGGCATTGACTGCGCTGATGATTGCTCCTCACGTCGCATGCTAGAGTTGGCAGATTTCGGCGACTTGGCTCGTTTGAAAGTTTGCTGGCCCATTTATTAAATATATAGATGGAATTAGATAGTAATATTTGTGTGGGGTCTTCCTATATGATACTGAAGAGGGCTGCATAGTTTTCTAAATATCAAAAATGAAGTGGAGTTGCCCTTTAAGAACAAAAAAAGAAGGAACTTGGTGAGTGTAACAGCTGTTAACTGCAGTAAAAATTTCTTTATAAAACTGCAGCTTTTGTTTATGATAGACTGCAATATGGCAATATCTTCTTCAAATTCGAGATTTTGCAATGGTATATGCAAGAAAATTTATATGAAGTGCTCTATAGGTTTTTTTTTAATTTCAACTCTCTCGTTTAGTTGTCACCTTTATATAGGTTTATCCATTCGAGGTACAATCAATAGATTAAATTAAAACTAAATTAGGTAAAGCAGTGGAAGGAAACTTGGGAATAACCTTAATGAGTTTGGGTGGATTGTTTTAAGAAGACATACTTATCGTTCACATGCCAATCTTTGTTTTTGTCATGTTTTACCCACAAGAGCGAGGGAGGAATAAGAGATCAGAGACCGATGGGACATGTTAAAGAAGCTGTTTACTTGTGTACAAGCAAAAAGAGATATGTATCTATATGTGGAAATAAGAAAATCAATGCAAGAAAAAAAGAAAAGAGTTGAAAGCTTCCACTGAATACAGCACACCCCCCAAAACCCAGAGACAGATATACTGTAAGCTAACTGCTGGTCTCTAAACAGATAGATGCTGCCACTGTCTAATCTGGTGGAAGACCAGTTCGCATACACTAACATTGGCGAGGCCAAGGCTTTTGGATGTTCGTGGGATTTGCTGCTCCGACTAGATGACGGGCTCCCAAACTGCCTTGGAGCGGAGCCAAGTGGCCGGGGCGTTGTGCTGTGTGCCGTGCTAAAGGAGCTGATCTACCCTGTACCGAAGCCGGGGGGGTCGTCTAGGGGAGAAGCCTGGAGCGCCGGAGCATGCCCTTCTGCGTATTGTCTCTTTCGGCAGACAGAACCCGACTCGCGCTTTTGCTATCCTCACACTTGCCTTCTTCCATGCTCTTCACATCTTTTTCTACTTTTTCTTCACTCCGCCTAAAAATGTGATAGTTATCATGAAGTTCTATATACAAAATGTCATTATTGTCCATAATTAGATGAAAAAAGCTTTTTCTTTTTTTTCATCTGAATGAATACTTATAGTTTTATCACAACCTTTAGAACTTGAATGAAACATTAATTTGCATGCTCGAGAATATTCTACCATTACTTCAGTAAAATATACTATTTGGTTTACGTTTCATTTCATACCTTAAATAACCATTCACAGCAGTTCCTACTCTCCTTCATCAATCAGCATCTTGTTTCCATGTCCTACTGCTTCTATGTGCAGCTAATCAGTTAGTTTTGTTTTTGAGGGAATCGAACCTGCCCTGCAGTTGATGCTAAGTAAAGGTTGCATAGAAGTGGGAAGGTAAAATAGGCATGTTTTTTTTACTTAGATAGACCGACACGTGAATCTTAACATATAATGTTTGCAGTGGTGTGAATAAGGGTGAAGTGCTCTTGCTCCAAAAGTGCCTTTTGCTGCTCTGTGGTGTATGTCCTTCCTATATCCCAGTCTTCAAAGCACAATTATGTTTTCTAACGTACCATACCAACTTGCCCAACAATCAGCACTTGTCTTCTGTCTCTCCTTCTTATTCTTCCTCTCGGGACTAGCGATGTCAGTGCCAACAATTTTCCGCACTCCACCGACTTTACTGCCCATAGTATAAACCTGTTCCTTGCAATTTAGCAATGTCTGCAAGAAATTGCAGTATTGACCCATGTGCACGTATGGGCTACCTTGATCCGTATCACATGAGTGAATGACATTTTAGCAAACAGCGGCATTTGAGCGAATCAACAATTCAGCGAATAACGAGGGCACGTGGAACCCCCTCCCCTCCCCTCCCTTCCCCCCCCCCCCCCCCGCACTGCGCTTACGCCGCTTTACGGCGGCAGTCTGTGGCGGCTCATTACAAAAATGTTAGCCCACTTGGCCCGCCCGTAAGCGCCGCTTCACGGCGGCCAACTATTTGCTAAAGTGTCATTCGGTGAAATGTCAGCATTTTCTAAAAAGTCATTCAATCAAATGAGTGCCTCCTTGGGCCACTTATAGGCGATATACACTGGGTGCCGCATATGAGGGCAGTGTTCGTAGTGCATGTTCAGATTGAGCCTCCACTTCTAAGAACAAAACTCTTGTTGGTGTGGCATGCACTTTGTGGAAATTCTCTGGAAGTTCATCTTTAGCTCTTGCTTAACAGCAACATACTCAACTATAGCCACCAGTGAATACTACTAGTACCTGTAGCAGGGGTAGCCAGATGGACATATTCAGAGAGCCATAAAAAAAGGGCATGGCATTTAAAAAAAAAAAAAAAATTTTCTTCTCAGTTAGTGGTTACGGCAAACGCCACTCATAAAGCGATTGCTAAGTTTGTTTCTTTATTACAAAGTCTTTATTCGTAAAACAAAAATACGGGTACCTTGTTCGACATGCATATTATGGCACAAAGCAGTACAGGCTGCCTTCTTTTCTATATGTATTTCCTTTTGACCTTCCGTGGGGAGGGGGGAGGGTTTACCAGGGAGCTGTGAGCCGCACTTGGGTCCTTAAAGAGCCGCATGATGTTTGTGAGCCATGGTTTGGCCACCCGTGACCTTTCGTAAGCGTTTTATTCATGAGGCCTTTCTGCCTCCTCCTCCTCCTACACACTTTTTAGGATTTCTGTATGCCGTGGGCGGATACGACGGTGCTTCGCGCCAGTGCCTGAGCTCGGTGGAGTGCTACGACCCTATGGACAACAAGTGGTCGCTCGTGGCCGAGATGTCGTCAAGGCGCAGCGGCGCGGGCGTGGGTGTCCTCGACGGCACCCTCTATGCCGTCGGGGGCCACGATGGGCCCCTGGTGCGCAAGAGCGTCGAGTGCTACCACCCGGACACCAACTCATGGTCGCACGTGCCGGACATGACGCTGGCACGACGGAACGCTGGTCAGTGGCTGCTGGCACTACCCCTTTTAACGCGAAATGTGCTTTATTGGCCTATTTCGATGAGAAAACAGTCACAAAGGACTGATGTTGCGTGACAACACGACATCACTGTGATGTCATAGGATGTGAAGTACAGTTGAACCTCGATTTAGCGAAGTCACCGGGACCCCTTAATTATTTCGTTTAATCGGGAACTTCGTAAAGTCGAGAAAGACATTCTTCGGGATAGGCTGCGCGGGGAATCCGAATTTGTTTGTTAAATCTGGAAACTTGTAAAATCGGATTTCGTTAAATTGAGGTTCTACTGTAATGTCATTATGACGTCGTCATAACATTGCACGACATCATGTCACGCCGTGATTTCATGCGACGCAATGACGGCATGCAACGTCACAGTCATGTGACCTCGTGACGTCACATGCACATAGCATGTGCCCAGCTGATTCACAGCACATTCTGGTCTCCCCAGTTTTTGTCAACATGATCAAGCTAGAATAGTTTATATTTTTGAAATCTAAAGGCCTCTTCACGTATGCACCACAGCACTATCTCAACGCTCAGTGGTGACTTCACGCATGCACTGCAGCACTATCAGCACTGTGAACTCAGTGGTGACTTCACACATGCACCGCAGCAGCATCAGTGTTGTGGACGCAGTGCTAGCTTCACGCATGCACCGTAGCACTCGGTGCTGTGAACTCAGTGGTGACTTCACGCATGCACCGCAGCACTATCGGCACTGTGGACTCGGCGGTGACTAAGCACGCACCGTAGCACTATCAGTGCGGTGGACTCAGTGGGAACTTAATGCATGCACCGCTGCGCTATCAATGCTGCATCAGCCCTGCACTGCATCTGAGCCCACTTCTTCCTGCATACACATACAATGCAGTATTGAACCTAGTGTTGAGTCAGCACTTACTGTGTTACTTTAGTGCTGAGATGCATATGTGGACTGGCCTCTACCTTCACTAAAAATGGAGATGGAGAGCTTTGCTAAAGTTAGGTAGTAGGGAGGAGTAGTGGCCTTGCTTGGATTGGTTAATTTTCCAATCCAATGAGGTCGTTGAAGAAGACCTGTTGAGAGACGTGTAGCAGCTCTTGTTATGGACCCTCCGGTCGTGGGGTGCCACGAGCTTGGCCGAAACCGCCGTCAGGCTTGTGCAACATACATCTTTGGCAATAGACCTTTCGCTAAATTACCCAAGCATCAAAGCAAATGTTGGGAACGTATGTTTACACGCCGCGCATGCGTGCCTTCCCACTAGAAAATATTTAATGTAAAAACCAAAATAAAGCATCTGTGGAATGTGCGTGCGGAGTGCCATTTGTTGTAGAATTTCGCTTTCAAACAGGAAGTGCTGAAGATGCCAGCATGCGCAGGGCATGTACCTACGTTCCTAGCATTCTTTTTAATGCTTAGGTAACTCAGTAAAAGGACTATTCCCAGCAGCTTCTAGACTCCTTTCACCGAGACTTGAGCCAAAGCTACAAGCACGAGCTAGCCCGCGCACCTTGTTTCGAAGCATACCTTCTTAGTGTGAATGCTCGCTCTGCGGAATATCTTTTCAAAGCCCCCATGCTCTCACACTTGTAGCCTTGGCTGCAGTCACAGCTTAAGCGTGAATGGAGTATGTGGCATGGGCAATCTGTCTAAAATAAAATTCATACAAAATGAAGCTTTCTTGTGTATGCAAAGTAAGGCTGCAACTAAGCTCTCATGATGTTGGTTACTTACATGGACAGTAATTATGTAATAGCCTCCCGCAGGGCTGCTAAGAATCTGTACGTGGACCACTACCTTGGTTCTTTGATGGAACAAGGGAGAGAAAATGGCCTTACAGTGGCTACCTCACCCGGATTTGCCGTCTTTCCAGAAACCTAGTATAATGAGTTCATTAACTGGATGCTTATGTTTTAAGGTCACCCAAGGTATTTGTTTCCCCTTGTACAGTTATCACAAAGTATGTGGCAGGTTGTACTAGGTAATATTATTCATCGTGTAATATCGGAGGCAAAATGGAATTAGGTGTCAGGACTTGTGACATAGGATTGTATATTACTCTTACCTGGTTATTTACATATTACCACCACCAGGTTAGTTACATATTACCACAACAAAAATGAAATGAGTCAAACTCATTGAAGAATGTAAAGTTCTTCAAATATGGTATGTACAGTCATGCAAAAAGCTGTACAGTCGGCGGCAATATGGAAATGTGAGTACCGTAATGTCCCAAAAGATAACCCTCCTCTATTTTTGGCTTGATTTGCTATTTTCTTTCAAACACCGAAAGATAGCCCACTCCTAGTAATCGTAGTGTTCGGATCAATGATGGCCTCGATGTAAATTTGGCTATTTAGTTATGGATATAAGCGAACATTGCTGACTGGGAAAAAGTAATCCTTGCTTCATTGTCCCTTGCCACGATAACAAGTTTGACAGAAAAACATGATCTAAAAGCAGCGTTTATTAAACTTTTCTTGATTGTACACCGAAAGTTAGCTTACTCCTTATTTTCATCCGATTTGCTCTCGATTTTAGGTGGGCTATCTTGGGGTATTACGGTAGGCCCAGTTTAGTGCTAGCCGAAAGGGGTAGGGTGCCGCATGGAGTGCCTCCGGCATGCCAAGCTATGAAACCGGCTGCCACATTGCGACAGTATAAGGAATGTGGCAGTGCATTCCAAGCTTTTCTTGAACAGCCCGATTTACCCGAGGCTCACCGCTTGGCTTTTGTGCCGCCCCATCCCTACTTGAACGCCGTTGGGCCAGCTCATATTGCCGCGTCCTGTACCACCCCAGTAACGTGATTGCTCCGCCATTTGCGCCAAACTGCACCGAAGTGCTTACCCTGCTACACCTTGCTACATTTTGCCAAAATGTGATGAATTTGCGCCAACAGTGCGCTAACACACAATTTTACTTTTTGAATATTGAAAATATAATAGCCGACGCCCAGCTACACGACCGGATCGTTACGTTAGGCTTGCTCGAGTTTTCAGAACTTTCGATTATCATCGTAAATAACATACTACTCAGTTTGGTATCTGTGTCAAACAGTGATAGTATGTGGAAGTCGCGCAATATGTCTCATGTTTGTGGTCTGTTTTGGTGGGTTAGGTAGCTTTGTTCAGTGCGCTTCTCACCCTGCACTGGTAAGCTGCAGTCAGGGATGGGCAAAATACATGCAAATATGTATCGAAATACAAATACAAAATACTTTGTCAAAAATGTATTTAATTACAAATCTAATTACATTTCCAAAAAGGCATTTAAGTACAAGATACAAATACAACCAAATGTATTTGGTCTCCTCCAAATTCTTTTCCAAATACATTCCTCAAAATTTGCATCCACGACTTCAGGGCGCCTGCAACGGGTTTCTGGGTATCTCATTTTAATTTTGCATCGCACACTCGGGAGTTAGTGTGCGAGGCTCTAGTAACGTAATAGAAATATAATCACAAAAAAAAAATGTAATCAGCTTGGACGTAATAGGTTAAAAAAGTACAGAGCTTCAAGCAGCTTTTTTTGTCGATTACATTTTGGTATAGACCAACAAAGAACCGAGACGACCAAGACGCGCAGCACTAGCTAGAGAACTTTTTATTGTTGCAACTCGCACCAGTTACGAAAATCTGGACAACCCGCGCATTTAGAATGTCCCAGGTAAAAATATGGATGGAGATCAGGCTGGAAAGCATCACAAGTTGACACAGGCACTTATTTGGCCAGTCTGCCTGTGAACGTCAATTTCGTCACTATTCTTGCCCTGGACTAGCACCGTAATCACAAAGTCACTAAACGCTTGTGCTTGATTGAGAGACTGCATTCGGTGCAGAACGTAGTTTTCTTCCTGCTCTGGACAGTGACAATAAATTTGAGGAATGTTTTTTCACCCACAAAATTTATTTAATTACAATTGTATTTGAAATACCAACATTTTAGTGTTTAAATACACACATCAAATACATTACCAAATTTGTAATTAAATACAAATGCAAAATACACAAGGTATTTGAAATAATGCCCATCCCTGGCTGCAGCGAAGTGAGAACCGCAAAGTAGGCATCGCGGTTTTGCATTCCTTGCTTCGCCGCATGCTAAAGGGCACTCTTCCAGAGCAGGACGAAAAAATATAATAAAACTTGATAAGGGCTGATGTAACAACTCCACATTGCAGTGAAAAGTTCTGAATAAGACTGCTGCCGGTATATAGTAGACTTCAATATTCTGACAATCTTTTTTTCAAACTCAAATTTAGCGAGGATACTTGTGCATATGTGGGAAGATTTATCTGAACGGTTTTATAAGCTCATACTGTTTTGTCAGCTTTCTTGTTTAGTTAACACCTTCCCATAGCTTTTATCAGTGTGATAACATGGCAGAGTAAATTAAAACTAAATTGGCTGGAGCAGAGGATGTATCAACTAGGTATTAAGCTTTATGAGTTCCACTGAATTATTTTTAAAGTTAATTTATCATTCACATGCCGATTTTTGTTATAAAGTTCTACATATACGTAAGAGAAAAAATAGCCAGAGTAGTGTGTACTTGTGCTCCAAAATGACTCGGACAAATCGCATCACTGCACCCCTAAACTGTCCCGTCCTGCTTCTCAGCTCATTTCTTAATCAATGCTGTTGACACGCTGTTAAACCCAGCGTCCTTTCAATTCCTCATTCATACACCTTTTGCAAAGGACAGTTGTGAAGTCTTGCAACCTTCTCGCGTTATGATGGAGTCCCTGAAACTGAAAGAGGCCGTGTTCAAAGCAGTACTATTAACTATTTGCAGCGGTACATTACTTTGGACCGATTCACTCTCTCAGTCCGTAGAATTATGGCTACTGCACAAACTTGCAAGTTTTACAGCAAAGAATGAATATTACAAGTAAGGACTTCACTGTACTTGATGCATTGGGAAACGGGAAAGCAGCACTTTCCTTTTTTGTCCAACCCCAAACCTGTTCTAGGTGTGGTGGCCATGGACGGACTGCTGTACGTCGTGGGCGGAGACGACGGATCTTCTAACCTCTCCTCGGTGGAAGTCTACAACCCAAAAACCAAGAACTGGAACATCCTGAACACTTTTATGACCATCGGTCGCAGCTATGCGGGCGTCGCCATAATCGACAGGCCAATCTGAGAGCCTGGCCGTAGACACCCGACATGTGTCAGTCGGCGTGCGGCCACGGTCTGCCCGTGAAGGTGGCATCTCTGTACAGTTTAGAATCTCGTTATGTTTGCCCCGTGGCCGGCCATACTTGCGTCGCAGCCAAGTGTACATTGCGGGGCAGTGCACGCTTTGCCAAGGTTGACGGACGTAAGGAAGAGAAGTTATAGTATATATAAAACCAAAGTGTGCAAGGGAAAAATTTTGTGCGTTGGGGTTTTCCTTTTTAACACTGCATATTTCCAATGTTTGTGTCTGTCGGAATTTCCTCCCTTTCCAAAGAATTTAATGTTGTGCATTGCATTGGACACATTGTTTCGTCTGTTTATCGTGTATATATATAAGGGCCACACTCGGAACTGGCAATGTAAGGAATATGTCGTGGTCCCCGTGCGGTCTCAATGTCTTCGAAAGTTGTCTGTGCTTGTGATATAAGGTTGCGGTTCTCCCTGAGAGACTGGTTTTTCCTGCCCGATTTGCCTAGTGTTCACCTAACAGACGAAAGGGCCCGGTGCTTCGTAGATGTTCGAGACAACACATGTACGAAGTTGTAGTAACAATTGCTGTGACGCCGGGAAGAGAGAAATTTACCGAGGAATGCAGCGTGCACAGCCGACGGTGTAGTGAAACCTGCCCTCGGAGGAAATGCCCTTTCGGCGCACCTTTCATGTTTCTGCCTTGTAAATACTATACGAGCCATAGCTGGCTGAACAGTCTGTCGCTATACATGGGCTGTTATAGGCTTGTTGGTGAATGAACACTGCCCGTCCTAAATGCTAATTGTACAAGGTGTTTCTCTCTGGGCTTTACAGATTTGTTTTGGATAAGCTGTGAAAGCTACACTAAGGCTAATGTGTGCAGGGAGCTATGTGGCCAATGAAACATAATATGGGGAGCTAATTGTCACAATAAGTCAAATAATTAACTAATTTCTTTATTAACTTTTCAATTATTGAAAATAAACATGATTTCAGTTGGAAACTTGCTGAGCATCATCGAAAACCACTAAATCGGTAACTTGCAGAAATACTTTGAGCATGTGGGAAGTGCAGTGGTGCACTAAAGTTACCACTCTGCAACAGGCACCAGGCTAGTAGTAAGAAAATGCGGATGAGAAGGGACAAAATTACTGTCCAGGTGCGTTATTGCACCGGTAGTCTTGCACCTGCTGCACAAGTGGTAACTGGCACTCGATGTGCTCAGTCTTTCTAATATTGACCAATTTAGTGGTTTTTCATGATGCTCAGAAAGTTCCTAATTGGAATCATGTTTATTTTTATTAATTTAGAGGATAATTAATATATGTTAGTTAGCTGACTTATTGTGACAGTCAGTTCCCTATATTATGTCCCCCTGGCCGTACAACTCGCCTGCACAGACCGCCTTAGTGTAGCTTTCATGGTTTTTTTTTGTAACGTCTGTAAAGCCTAAAGAAAAACACCCCGTATAAAAGATAGGATTCCTTTCTTGTCATTTCTTTAAAATAACTACCGCGAATAATTTTTTGGGTGGAGCCGTGATCACACCTTGCAGAAAGCTTGCAATGTACGATCTAGTTTGCCTAAATCCTTTGGTGCTTTTTTGCATTGTACTCACATAGGTTATGTCTCAAGGAGCTAGTTTACGTGCATATGCACACTCAACTAGAGAAGGCAGTACTTTTGATGGCGGCCTTTCTGCTATGGGGGAAGAAGCCCTGGTAAAGCGAGTGTTTGCTAGAAATGTATTGCCATCTACAAATACCGCTAAGGAGTGTCTGGTTCTTGCCGCAGGTACAGCCAGACTTACTTTGTATGTAATGGAAAAGAATATATAGTTGTGGCAGCGACACCTGTGACACTATTCTGCCTTTGTTCATTTTGTTTCACTCTTGCTATTTTAAAGCAAGAGGCAAATATAGGGTGTTTTACAAGGTGGCTTACGTAATAAAATAGTACTTTCTGCATATGCGAGTGGTCCTCATGTCTTCTTTATCCAAACATACAGCCACAGAGTTAACTTGACCACATTGAAACTAGATTATCATACAGTCAAATGCCTTTATGGACAAGTTTGATCATTTGTAACAATGGTAAACCAAGATATTTTTTGTGTCCCAAAATGCTAAGTCTTCATAGATGCTATGCATTCATTCGTCACCTAGCTTGACCGGTGTTCAGGGCAAGTAGGCCACCTTCAAGAGGTGGACATGGTATAGAAAGATTCTCCCAGAAAGAAGCATTCATGTGGCATTGTGAAATTGATGGCGCCACACTCGGGCAATGGCCATTCCACACTTTTTTTTTTCCTCTCTCGGTTGACTGGTGAGAATGTTGCAACGCCATACCCTCAGTTCTCTCGTCTTTATAATGTGCACTATTCCTTATTTAAAAAAAAAAACAAATAAATAAATAAAAGCCAAAAAAATGGACGCATCTCCACGTGGTGAAAGATGATGATAGGTAGTGCTGATGGTGATGATCTTTTTTTTATTACTCGTAGGTAGTGCCGAGTTCCAGGTTGCGTTTCGACTTCATTATTACTGCTTTATGGTCGGTGAAATGCAGAGCCAGTGGTTCTAGCGGATCAGTTTGGATCCACTAGAAGCCGTGGGAACACATCTCCACCGCTTAAGTCAACGGTCCATGTCAAAAAGAGAATATGTGGTATGGATCGTGGTTATATACGCAGTTGAGCATTTGACCGCAGCGCCCTCTCGTCTATAAACGTTGAGCCAATGCATGCAAAGTTTAACGCGATTATATACGCATTTGACCGCAGCACCCTCTCCTGTATAGACGTTGAGCGGCTATATGCAACGTTAGAGTGTGTAGAGTGTAGTGTAGTGGTTAAGACGTCTGCCTCGTAAGCAAGCGGTCCTGAGTTCGAACCCCCGTGCGGGCGTACGTTATATTTTAAGAAGTGGGCCGATCCCAGAGGCAGTGCAATCGATGTGAGCACGGACGCCGGACAAGGCTAGACCCTAAAAAGCTTCGCCCTTAAAAGGCACACTGCACTTAGAGCTCTCGGCTGGACAGACACCTCAAATGTATTAAGCAGCAGTCATTTAAGGTGCAACCACGCGGACTGTTTCTCGTGCGCCGCGTCGGCACACGCCCCTCAAAACCACCCGCAACAATGCGACGTGCAGGAGGTGCCGACGCCTGTCCAGTCCAGATCTCCGTGTCTGTGCCATAAGTGGCATGCCAGGCAGAGACCTGAGGCTGATTCATTCATACAGCACCGTTCTCTTGCGTTTTCTTACATATGTATAAGTTGGGGAAACATTTGTGTCCCAAATGCTGCATGCCAGGCTATCTTCTTGAACTGAAAGCCAAGCTTGACATGAAGCACAGATGTCCTTGCGACATGTGGCGCAAGTGGATGCAAGCTTTTGGGACGTAACATAACTTAAGAAAACAGGAATGAGCGAACCAGCCTTAAAGGTACCCTCCGGAGCGTTCTGCGATGGTCTATTTATGGCGGTAACTCAATCTAAAGGCCCTAAGGATCCTCAAAATCATAAAATTACGGTCATGCGCCGCGGATTTCTCTATAGGCTTTTTGCACTGACGTCACGTCGCACACTTTTGAACACCAAGTAAAAGGAGGAGAGGGAAGCTGCTTTTGTAAGAATTTTGAGTGACAGGCTTATCTTCTATAATCTTCTGGGGGGAGAATAGCGACGCCTGTACAAATCCGGAAGGCAGAAAGGAGGGTCCTGATAAGAGGGGAGCTCCTTCTTCCCCTCTTCTCTGGAGGGCAACGGAAATGACGTTATGTGCAAGGAGCCTATTAAAATTGCTATCAAAGTCCCCGGCACGCCCCCCTTTCTGAGATGACCCCGGAAAACGGGAGGGGCATCTCTTTATGCGTCAGCCAATAGCAAGCGAAGGATTCTGGCGTCACTGCGCGTCACCAACGCTCCCGACCGCCGACCCGCGGAGGAATCTCTCCGGACTTTCTGCGCGACAGTCGTCGTTCGTCGCACCGCACCGTCGCGCTGCTACTGCAATACGCAGTCGCATTCCACAGATGACAAGGAAAAGTTTGACTCATTGACGTGGAAGGATCGCAAAGCTGGCTTTGGAGTCGGGATCCACGGGAAGAAGGAACACGTGTCCCGCAAACGCACGCCTGCACACGCCCCGGGAAGCAGACGAGCCGACGCGCCGACGCGTCGCCCCCTAGCAACAAGCTTGCGGGGAGAAAACATAGTTCGCTGGTTTTGGAGCGATAATTGCGGACTATGTTTCCCGCACTACAATCAGTTTACGTTTTTCTCAAACTCTAATTTACAACAAACTTAAAAAGTGTTGCAATAATAACGTTCGCATTCACCGCGAGATGCTGCATTTCCATTGGTCCAGTTTTAGCGATGGGCAGGGAATGGGGGATTGTCTTCCAATAGAAAATAGTCCCGATAGATTTCTTCTGCCACCTTCTTAATAAACGGTTTTGTAATCTAAAACTTTGTATACATATTAACTTTCACCTACTACGTAATATAACAACATAAACAGACGATCGCAGAAAGCTCCGGAGGGCCCCTTTAAAGGGATACTGAACCGAAATTTCGAGCTCACTAAACAAGGCCGGGCGGATAGGCGGGAAGCTGCAAAACCAAAAAATATCACTCGTACGGCGATATATCAAACGGATCGCCGTATTTTTTGGAAAAGAAGTGCGCGATTAAACCCGGCCGACGAGACAAGGCACGTCACGTTTCCCATTCTCTCTCCTCGCTACGTCCCGTCAAGCTGGTGAACTGAAGTGAGGAGGAGAGAAGCGAGGCCGCTTCTCCTCATTCTCAAATTCTCCAGGAGGACAGTTACGTCAAAGAACTCGCTTGATCGCGCCCTTCTTTTCCAAAAGTACAGCCAACCGTTTGAGATATCGATGTGCGAGTGATGTTTTGAAGTTCGTAGCGTCCCGTTCAACACTTCTGCAGCCTTACTTAGCGAAATCCAAATTTCGGTTCAGTATCCCTTTAACCCGAGATTATGTGTGGCAGGTGTGGCAGAAGTAAGACTGGAATAGACTTCTGGGACTCCTGGAACTCCGTCTCCCTGCAGCCGGCACATCACGGTACTATCGTTTTGAGCGACAGTATAATTCCTCCGAAATTGGTATGAAAGTCTTAAACTAAATAACCTTTGTTCAGCACATAGAGATCATACATAATAACTCTAGAGGAAAAGGTCCGCCATTTTCCCATACATTCTGGCTGCCGCAAGCGGCGGATCATGCAGGCAGACCCTCGGGGTCCCAAACACGGTTACATCATCAGAGCAGTTTCGTGAACTTCAACAATCCACGAACTTACCGGTGGAAAGATATTCGCGTTCCTTTCGAAGCTTTCTTTTTGCATAGCGCGCAGATGTACGGCCTTGCGTTGGTGGGACGCGGCTGGGCGCGGTTGAGGAATACGAAACTGCGCAACCACCAGATTTCCGAAATTTCGACAGAAGGGAAGTTAATGCAGCGTAATGACTTTATTGCTTTTTATAAGCGTTAGAATAGCTCATAATTTAGTTTACAACGTTAAATTATCACTGTTTATATTGCTGAGTTTTCACTCTTCGCGTTTACCATGGCAACGTTGCTTTCTTTCTCTCGTGTTCTGTCGCTCTCTTTTGCGATCGTTCACTCGGGACCCCGGGTGTCGGCGCACGGGACTTGCCACTCCTCCTCACCCACCTTTACCCCCCTGGTTCAGCACCAATTCTCCGTAAGATGGCAGTCAGATATTTTAGGCCTCGCCAATCTGGCGACTCTGCTTGATGCCAGACGAACGCTGGCAGGCATGCGCTGACACCTCAGACGCCGACGCCACGGAAGCACTTGGAAAAGTCCATGTTGTTGGACCTTTACACCCTCTGGTGCAGTGCAATGGTTTCACTGAAGGGGAATTGGTGACAGTGGTAGAGTTATTTAAACAAAACTATTCAAATTGGGCAGGACTTTGTGTTCTTTTCTTCGAGCATCGAATTCAGGGTGCCTAGCAAACTATTATTTTGAAATTCCGTGACTTTTCCAGGTTTTCCCTGACAATTTCAGGTGAAATTCCCTGACCACTGTAGAGGCGGTTAAATATACAAGACCATTACAACACAAGGCATTCAGCACCGAGCACTGTGAGGATCATTTTGCACGGGTTTAAAGGGGCGATGAAACAATATTTGTACTTTGCGCAAATACCGCTTAGAACGGATCCCCGACGTTAATGACCTATGAAACATGCATTCGTTTTTCACCCCATGCAATAGGAGTCCCAGAAAAAAATTAAAGAAAAACGAGCATCGTTCACCCCCTCAACTTGCAGCCAAAACAAGCGGCCACGTGATCTGGAGCCGATTATATGCCGCCAATGTTGATCATAGCCGAGCGCTGGGGTTGGCAAAGCACAGGACATGCGCCGAATTCCAGACATTGTTATGGCTCGGCTACTGTCGTCGTTGCAGCGATTGGACACTGGCCACTACCCGAATGCTTCTCGAGCTAGTAATTATCACGAGCCTAAATCGAGTGCTCACGCAATGCTCGGGTCCAATTTATGAATCGCATTCAAATATCGTCATTTGGGTGTACTTCTATCCCCACTTTACGTCATCAAATTTTGCATTGTCCCCACAGCTCTGTAATCAAGTTTTGCGAAGAAGACTGAAAGGAAAGGTCCGCCTTTGTCCTTGGAATTCCACCGCAACGAAGACGCTTCTTGGTCAGTAGCGTTGCGTTTGAGTATTCTTGGGGCCGACCAGTGCCAATAAGATGATGTAAAGGGAGAAACATTCCCACCAAATATTGTTGCACAGCCCCTTTAATCCAACTTGCATATTCCAAAATATTCGGGTTCATCCAGTTTGGATTAATTTAGCACTTTCTTGCCGCCAACATCGTCAGTAAAGAGGCCACTTCCAGAAACACGATATAAATGCGACGCTCAACCACACACGTCAATAATCTAATGGCAGCATGGCCGCCGGATGCACACTTTCGGTTTAAGGCTTGGATTGGGGTCTGCGGCTTTCCCATTTCTTACCAACTCTAGTAGCTCTAACTGGATCTAGCCTAGTGTTGTGCCTTCAATCCAATCCAATCTAGTCCAATGCTTGGACTGGATTTGCCGGCTGTTCCCTTTGCATTGGGTAGCACACTCTACATCCGATGAGAAAAGCCTGCGCTCCACTCTAAGCAGAATTTATTGCATACTTTTCTGTTCGCAAGTCTATGCCCAAGGCACTCGATGGCGTTTCCGGTTCATCATCCCTGACATTTCCCAGAATTTTTCCCGGCAATTAAAATTTCCCTGACAATTCCCAGTTGCTAGACACCCTGATTGATGTAGAAGGTCTTCAGAGTAATTTCTGTGATTGTATCGTTAAGGCATGCTTCTGGGGGGCTGATAGGCAGGCACTGCTTTCCGACAAGTTGTTCCGGCTTTCTGAGAAGTTGTTCAAAGTGTAAAAGATTATTGGACTTGGATATTGTAAATGCGTGAAGCAGACCTATACCAGCTTTCTTTCCGAGGGTGTATGTGCCATGCTCCAGTTTGTAAACACATCAGACAATAAAAACTTGTGGGGACCGCAGTACCCCGAGAAAAAGACTCGTGAGACAATACACAAAGGTAAAAAATAAGTTTTACTATTTTCCTTTTCTTTATGTACATATGGTACATTCATATTTACAGAACTCGTTTTTATCTTGCATTCTGTCAAGCTCATGCACAAGCTTTTCATAAAAAAACCTGCAATTAACAGCACCTGAGGTGGTATTTTATTCTTTGCAAAATAAGAAGCCACATTTATTTATCGTTTTCCCTCTACGAGGATGGTTGCTTAAAAACAGTGGAACCGGTTAAAGCGCTCCAAAAGCGCGCTTGCCGTGGAGGTCACGTTGGCAGACGAACAACACTTGCAGTCTTGCGCTGTTTCCAAGCCCCCTGGCAATACCTGCCTGGTGAGAATGCCGGCAATATTCGAAACAAGCAGGTAAACAAGGTGTGGCACACCATACCCTTTCCAACAAAGACTTGTTGAAACATGCATCCCAAAACTATCCTATGGGACACCCGTCATGGTGGCTTAAAATATACATGCCCATACAAAAACAACTTGGACGCAATAAAATGAGAAGAGCGTAAAATACATGCAAAGTAAATGACTAGAAAAATTAAATGTCTTTTTTTTTACAGCCTCGCCCTAAGAGTTCTCTTAGTTTTTTCTTTTTCTTTAGCAAAACTCTTATTTTACTGTTTGAATATGAAAACATCACCCTCATGACAACACAGCACAAATGGAAGGCATGCAGAATAAAGCTGATCAACACAATAGTGATGCTGAAATTCAATGTGTTATATTTTACAGAATGCTTCAGGAGAAAAATTAGGCGACGGGACCTAGAACTTGGACAAACACCGTTAGTGTAAATGGGACAACCACTTCCATTGTCAATGCCTCACTAATGCTAGCCTTATTTTGCATGAAAAAGGATTAAACTGCAAAAGAGAATCTGATACTTGCATTCCACACATCTTTTTCCAGAAACCATATACGGCGATTTTGCTTTTTTTTCTTCATTTCAAAGTGGTGGTGTTCTACCTTTTGTCAACTAGCTGGTCTTCAATTCTGTAAAGGGCTGCTCACACTAACTGAATGCAGATTTTACAACTAGAATAGCAAACGCATCCTTCATCTCCCGCATAAACAATGTAAAAGAACGTCACAAGCATTTCACAAAGCTTAAGTTAGTTTTTTGCTTTCTTTGCTGATCTGAAGAACGTACAAGTGAGCAACCAGATCATGCTTAGCTTTTACAGCAAGCTCACAAGCTTTAATAGTTTAATGGCACAGATTGAATGTGCTAGCATTCAATCTGTGAGCATAGCTTTCAGTGCTTAGCTATGTGTAAACATAGCTTTCAGTGAGCATACAGAAAGAATGTGTGAGCATACAAAAGCTATCCATGCATCGTGCACATAGCAACATAGCACATTGCAAAATATTTATGCCCTTCCAGTCTTGTATAGCATTACATTTGATAATCATTTCATGCTATATAGCAAACTAAGCAACGAAAGCAAATCGCAAGTGCAGGCTGCAAAAATTTTGGATCCAACCTAACCATGAAACTTCCTGGCACCAATAGCAAAACAGCCACAAAAAATAATAAGTACCATCAATGAGAGCTAAACGGTGCAATGTCATATGTTGCACTAGGAATTCAAGAAATAGAGAAAACCTGCTAGATTAATATAAACCGTATAAAACCAATATCATATACTTGGCATAACCTTATCACTTGAATCAAAACAATGGTGCTTGTGGGTTGTCAGAAAATGTGAACTAGTTTCAGCTTGGCAAAACTAGGTTATGAGAAGCAAGCAATCCATATCCATTTGTTCCAGTTTACAACACATTAGCAACAAACATACATTCTATTGGATATAAGAGACGATGTTGAACAGTATGAACACAGGTTACACAATGTGGCTATGTATATATAGATACATGAAGATACAAATGCATGTACACAAAATTATAAAGAAGTGAATCGACCAACAAGGAGCAGCATCAGCATTCTAGCCCTACTAATATCCATCCGTCCAGCTTGCACCGAGAAATCATATCCATATCGTGTAGTCAGACTACAGCTTTGATTTGCACCTCTCGTAGTGAGGTAGCACCCAATGTTGGAAAATGCAATTGGACAAACAAGGAAGCCATCTGGCTAAATTAGTTTAACATGCAGCTTACTTGCAAACATTGTATCTATAATTGAGAGGTCTGCATATGCAAACCGAGCCAGCAAAAATATACATAGCAGCGCACAAAATATTTGATACTGGAACGACGTTTGACAGGGTTATGCTCCAATTCCTCCTTAGCAAGAATGCACAGCAAAGCCCACGAGTGTGCATATGTAGATTTGGCAGGCACATCCACTGTACAAGTATGACAAGTGCTATGCAACCGCCTTTTGCAGTCAAACGCTTCCCCTCAGAGCTCTGCTGTCTATTCTCGTTAGGATGAAACTGAGCACAGTTCCTTTCGCACACAAAGTATCAAGGAGGACACTCAGTTCCAACACAAGATAACTACTACACTTTTCCTCAAACATGTCGGATGCAATCCAGAGGCACAGCCAACCGAACAGCCCACCTGGCCAGGCAGTCAATCAGAGCGCCAGTCAGTTTTGGCTCACAGTTTGCTTTGTATCACAATAGTGCAAAAGTTGTTTGGGGGATGAGGCGCGCTTCTCTTAAGTATGTTAACCGTTGACACACAACCTGCTGTGAAAAGAGAAATGGTATGAGCACTGCCTTTTCAAAAATACACATGCAAGGCTTCAAATGTGAAAAAACAACATCTCAACAAACCATGTAGATAATACGTAGGCACGTTATATACATTGTAAAATCGGAGTACTGTAAAAGGGTACACCGACGTAAAAGAGCAAGTATAAAAACTGCACTTTGCCAAAAAAATTATGCGCAGATAAATAATTTTATGCCCATTTATGCGTCGAGTAGGGCGTTGATGGGAAAGGCACTGGAGGTTCTAACCTCTTAGCCTTAATCAGTAACAGGTACAACTTATGAACAAGAATTTTACATTATGATTCAGCTCCAACTTATGAGCAATAATTTTTACATTATGATACAACTACAACCTATGAACACTAATTTTACACCAGGAATGACTTTTCTGTTGCGAAAAATGACAATAAAAAAAAAAAAAGTCGGCAACAGACCAGCGTAGCGAGTGACAGCTGCACCGTTATTTGTGTGAGCCCGACCAAGACGTCAGGAAATCAACCGCTAAAAATAAGGAAACAAAATACCATCAAACCTAGAAACGAAGTTATTGAAGAATATTTATCCTCAATTAAATGTACTTGGCACATTATGGCACTTGACAAGCAGGTGAGCTCAACATTGACAGCTACAGCATGCACACTTGAAAGAAATACAACAGGAAACGGACCTGTACCTTAATGTTTCGCAAGACGTCATTTACCCCGAGAGCTGCAAAAATGAACACGAACACTCTTAGGCACACGCAAGCACCGCAGAACGGCCATTAAAACTCGCACCGATGACGGTTGGCACTTTGAAACACTGACGGGAAGGCTTGGAGCTGTAAGGAGGCACCCAACACCACCCGTTGCTACACTATTCACGCCGTGACCAGACACGCACACACACACCAGGGAGTCCTCTAGAACACCCGGCACACATCTGTGCACTCGTGCTCCTTTGCACCAAAAACACAAAGCAAGGCTAGGCACGCACGACGAGGGAGGGGAGAAGGGCAATTACCTGGATGTGGCGCAAACCTCCGCCGTCACGGTGATGACGGCCCGAGTGAGCAGACCTTGCGCCTCCAGCGTTGCTCTCGCTTCTGTGGGCCGTGGTCCAGGGACGCCTTGGTGCGCTTCCGCTTTGCACCGCCTGACAAATCGCGCGATGAACGTTTTCTCTTGCTCTTCTTTTTCTTGGATGTGCACACAGCTGAGGGTGCCTCTCCCAGCCGGAGGTGGACTGGGAGTTTGGCACTGCTGGCCGTTATCTCGCCGGCGTCGCTCGATTCGTCACCTGCGGCGAGGCACTCCAAGTTAATCACCCAAGCGTGTGCTGCTCTGTGGCTATGCGTTTTATTACTAACTGCATATTTCGTGCCAACGCTGATATCGAGGTCAAACAAAAAGGGCGAAACTTCGGAAGCATCGTGAGAGAATGCCAACAGTTCTGCTGGATATGTCTGCCTCACCAAAAGCAACGGCAAAGAAGCCTCAGTCATGTTGAATAGAATGTTTCTTCTTGGGAGATCAAACTGACTGGAAAACACCCCTAGACTTGTGTAGTCATGTTCATACCCAAGTGGGCTATACACGGAGACAACTTTCTGTGGCATCTCCTAAGAGCGGAGTGCTCGTGCACAGGTTCTATTGGCACTCAAGCACGCAGTCGCAAAAAGTTCTCTGTACGTCTAACAGTTAGTTATACATTTTACCTTTCTAGCAAATTAGCTGTAAATCCAGAAATTGTCCAGAAAAAAACAAAAAAACAAAAGGAGTTGAATTTAAGCAGAAAAAAAGTGGAGAAATTGACACCAGCCCTACAATATTTTCCATGGCTATTACACTCCTGCATGGTAAATCTTCAATGACTCGTAACTTTCATGTCATCTTACAAGTCAATGAGAGGCCATTATTAGGGTGCAGAAAACTACCACAGTACTGCCGTCAGCCACAACTCTGAAATGGCTTCAGTCCAGCCAGTACGCGAGACCATAGTAATCTATACCCCCACTTGAGAAATGGCTACCTTTCGTGGCATCATGTATCATAAATCGACCCAAATTACAGCCACCACTCAAAGCACACAAAAGCTGCTTTCAGTATTTCATCTTCGGTAATCTGTAAACTCCCAACTCTGAGTAATTCCATTTCAAAGAAGAAAACACACAATAAAACACAGAATTCTAGAAATATAAAAAATGGAGACAAAACTGAAAGACAGTTGTTTTAAACATTTGCCCGATAAATATTCTACACCTCGACAGTATTGTAAGCAATAAAGAGTAAGGCACAGTACAGGAAGTGCAACGAAAAAATTATGCCAACACACTCACCGATGTCGGGCATTATGACTTCCACAGTCCTGCCACTGCCAGCACGACGATGACGCTTGCGCTCGGCGGCTGCCGCTGGCTGCAGCAAGGGGGACGACTCCCTAGAAGTCACCTTCACCACGCTCAGCACCGAGCGCAGCAGGGGCGGGCTCACACTGCCACTGCGCGACCTCGAACGTGCCTCGGGCTGTGGAGGTGGCAGCGGATTCTCCAGCTGCGCCGTCTGATCCGTGCACTTCGGCCCCTTGAGCAGCACAATCTTGCCCTCCGTCGGACACACCGGGGCATTCAACTCGAACTTGCGCCTCCGGGCCTCCAGGAGGTTACTGGCAGAAGGCGGCGGTCCATTGCCTTCCGCCGGCACCCTCAATGCCTCATGCTTGTCACCTTCGGCGCGCTTCTCCCAGGAGATCGGGGTGGCTCGCCGCTCCGCCTGAGCTACGCTCTCAGCAACAACGTTGACCCTGCGCTCCACCTCCCTCCGATGAGTGCCACACTCTGTCATTGTCGGAACTCCATTGTCCGTGCCGCAACCCCTGGACTTCGGGGGAAACTCGTTTTCATCTCGTTTGTCGTCTGCCTCTATCCGGGGCGCATTTTCCTGGCGGCAGATTTCCGGAGTTGTCCGCGAACACCTATTTAACGCCGAAACGTCTGTCCTTCCTTCACTCTCACCCGACCGATCGTCTCTGTGAGCAGGCTCTACACCACACTCCTCAGATATGGCCAGATCTGGAGAACGATCGTCCGGTGGCGTCTGCAACCGGGAATTGCCCGTTGGTGCTGGACTCGAAGGAGCATCCAAATGCCGGCTGGTGTCGTTTTCGTTGGAAACGGCTTTACTTTCGGTGCTGCGGATGTCGGCCTGGTCTTGGCTGTAGATAGGAGTCTGACTGGCGCACTGGCTGTTCGAGTTGGTGTCAAATCTGTCGATGGTGTCCTCTTCGTCCGCTGGAGCATTGGAGTCGGTGTTGAGCTCTTCGCAGCTGTCGTCGTCCAAGCTGATGGCACTGGACGGGGACGTGGAGCCGGAGCGGAGCAGGCCGTCGTCGTCGTCACTCTCCTCGCTTTCCGAACTCGACTCGAAGTGGCTGAACTTTCCCGAAACTGTACATGCACAAATAAAGAAGGGCGAAGTGGTGTTACAACCTAAATGGATACAGAAAGAACTCAACATGAATTTCATCTATTGCTCGTGCAGCAATAAAGACTTAATATATATCCTCGTGTTCTCAGTGTCAACATAACGTAGCCAACAAGCAAATGTAGCCCCTCCCCAACGTGATTAGTCTCGCCACTTCTGTGGCTCGAAATTCAAACAAACGATCCTCCCTTGGCACTGCTAAGTTATGTGGCATCCCATTCGAGAGAAATGTAGCCAAAGCTACAGATGCATGCCTGATTGAAGACATCCAGCCTCAGTAGCTTTCACTTGACAGTGGTGAACTGCAGCAGATAATAGTGCACGCACATGTAGAAGTAAATAATTCTGCTGCACCTTGTTTTAACAAAGTAAATATGGCACAAGTATGGAGCAGTGCATGCCTTTCAACTTTAAAAGGCATTGATTATGTCATTCAACCTTGAAATCAATCATATCAATTTAGATCAGGCATATTAATTCACCTCTTAAAATTGCACACACCAACACTATGCTTTCTTCCCCAGTGCGATAAAGAAAATGAATCTCTACTTCATTTCACCCTAAGTCCAGATGCACACAATGCTACGAGTTTATGAGACCAATCATACTACGTCAAAAGTGCACCATCATGGTGTTTGCAATGTTTCTCTTTGTATTATATCATTGCTGAACCACCAATTTTAAACAGAAAAAGTCTAGTGACTTGCACTTTGGCACTGTTAGGCTGCGTCTAGACAGAAACTTTTTTTGTAAATATTTCCACTAAAAATCAACTGTTTTTAGCAATATTTACATGGTTAGACGCAATTTAGCTGCAGAATATGGAAGTTGCAGCCTGTTACGCCTTGCCACGTGCTTACATCTCTCATTGGTTGACGAGATGATTGACACGCAAAGTGTTGGTGTAAAATAGTCTCTCTGTGGCGCAATAGAATTTTAATCGACAATATTTTTGTGTTTGAGAAACAAATAATCTAGATAAGGTCATTATTGTTTTCAGAAATATCCCAAGATTGCCTTTCCACTTCACTTTCGAACGATAACAAAAATGGCAGCCGGCGTCTGCGGAGTGATCAATGAGAGCAGCTCGCCGAGCTCGTCTATTTTAATGAGTGCGAGTCATTCTGCGTTCACCAAGGTGTTTAGACGAAGATCTTCTCAACCGATCTAACTTGCAGCAGATAACTGTCGCAAGTACACGCCTTTAGAAGAGCTGCTGGCGGTGTGTGGGCGCTTGGGTTCGTAGCGGGCAGTAGCAGGACTGGCCTGAACCTAACGTCCCACTTTAACTATGTTGGTTTGATCTGGCTTGATTTGTTCCTTTAAGCATGCTGATGCTGAATAAAGCTATTGGTTCCCATAAATACGGCCCTGCTGCTCCGTGAATTGTGCGACCGTTGTGATTGCGACCATGGTTTCAATACCAAGAAGATATCTACACAGGTAAGAATTTGCAAGCGATTTGACTGAGGGCAATTGGGCGTTCGGCTCTCATAAAGTTTGTCCAGGTTTATTCCCGTCAATTTGCTTCGAAAGGAAAGTAGCTTTACGTTTTGCAGTGCACCTGGCTTGCCAATGCGAATATATTTCTAGGTCGTTTTAGTTGTGCATCATGACGCTCGCCCACCTTGGTCGCAGATGCCGTGCGAAAATATAACAGAAAAGACTGCAAATTTATTTTGTTGATTTTTTTAGTCCTCTCGGTCGCCTTTTACCGGACATCGACAGACGCTTGTATTGGACCATGGCTCATGAATGATGGAGCGCTATAACGCCGCTTTCATGGTCGCAACTTGCAAGGATTTTTAGACGGGGTGGAGTAGCAGACGGACAGAGGCGAAAATTGACGCCGATGCCAGACTGTGATGAAGTAGCAGACAATGCCAGTGGCTGCCGCACGTCTGCTCACGCGACTAGCAAGCAGTGCCCAGACTAGACGCACTGGATATCACGAAAGAGAAACTAGACTTCTCAGTGTGTTCAGTTGAGCAAACAAGCCAATCCAGTAGTAATGGGCGGGGCCACTGATCTGTGGGAGGGGCTTAGAGCATGCCATGACCTCCAACTAGATCGCATCTAATGACGTAAATATTGTTGAAAAAATATTTTTAATGGAAAAATTAAACAAACAAAGCATAACACAAATTCTCCAATGCAACGACATTTAAGAGTGGAATGGTGGTCGAAGGTAGCAGTTAGAGAACAACCGCTGGCATGCCCCAGCTCACCTTTTCTCTTGGAGGTGTCACCCTTCTGAGGTGCGGGCATCCCCTCCTTCAGCTGTGGGCACCAGCGATCCTGGGGCAGAGACAGCCTCGGGGGCTCGATTGCACGAAACGCCCCACTGTTGTGACAAGTTTCGCTTGGATTTCGTTTGGGTTCGCTCCCGTCCAAAGGCACTGGCTGGATCACAATCAGGTTGGAGCGGGTGTGCTGACCACGAGGATACTGCTGCGAGACATTCACAAACAGTTTCGGTGACTGGTCGATCACTCGGAGGGTGGGATTGATAAAACTATACCAAGGTGAGCCACACAATAATCGACTGCCCTTACCTGCAGCATCACTAAAAGGCAGCAGTGGCGGCTCATGTGTCTTATATTGTGTCTTGCAAGACTTAATTGACCGAGGGCACTTGCTGTCACAACTGCCGCTTCATGACGCTGCCAATACGGAGTAGTCGACGATTGCGTGTTCACATTCCTATGGAGCGCGACTGCACTCTGTGCCTATGGGAAGTTCAACAGCCAGAATGGACTTGGAAGGTAAGATGGAGACTGATTTGTTAATTGATATCTTGAACTTCTTTAGGACACAGAACACTTTGTTTAGCCTAAAGTGATGATGAACCGAAATCTGGATACCACAAAAAACGACGGCAAAAGCGTGCAACGCGAGGCTACCAACACGAAAACATCACTCATACAGCGATATCTCCAACGAATAACCATATTTTCTAAAAAAAAACAAAAGAAAAAAAAAAAAGGAGGTGCATTTGACAGACATGTTGACGTCTTATTTCTCCGAGAAGAGTCGAGAAAGAGAGAGAACGGCCTCGCATCTTCTTCGCCTCGCCGCCTTGAGGGGGCGAAGCGAAGAGAGGAGGAAATGAGGTATGTTGACTTCATGCCCCTCGTCGGCCTCGTTCAATCTCGACCTCTTTTTCCAAAAATACGGCCATCTATTCGAGATATCACCTTACAAGTGGAGTTGTAGGGATTGTAGCGTCCCCCTAAAATTCCTGCATTGTGCTCTAAAATCCAAATTTCGGTTCACCATCCCTTTAATCACCGGCAGACCAGCAAAGGCTACAGAACGTAAGAACTTGACATGACAAAGCTTGAAGCTTTGCAGAGTACTTGCAGATATACTTCCAGAACAAACAGACATGCTCATGGTTTTCATTGCACTGTCAGAAAACAAAGGGAAGATTGTATAGAAACGGCCACAGACACCAAACCGAAACAGATAATGCACGGTAATTAATGAAACAAACTGAAGCAAAACACACACACACACACACACACACACACACACACACACACACACACACACACACACATACATACATACATACATACATACATACATACATACATACATACATACATACATACATACATGATTGTTAGGTACGGACCTTTCCTAATGCTGGAGTCCTCTTGGCATGTTGGTAGCGACTGTAGTTTGGATAGATGCCCGGACGGTCCCGTACCTCCGAAAGATTCGGCGAGCCCTGATTAAAAACGATTGTGCAGACGACCTTGGTTACAAAACGCACTTATTATAAAGACTACATGTTCACGAGAACACGTTGCCCTTCTGGCAGCAAAGTGGCAAACAGCCTTGCGGGAAAGAAAAGCGCCCACTTACTGAAGTGGCCTTGGTCTTGGCTTTCATTGACAACAATGCTGCTAAACGCAGTGCCTCCAATTCATCGTCGTCTTCTTCTGGAGCAGAACTGGCAGCAGATTTTACAGACTCAAATGCCTTGAGGCCCGATGTCTGTAAACAAAAGTAAAAACAAAAGGGAAGCCATGCGTCAACGGACATAAAACGTTAATGGACTTCTTAACGAGTAAATGTCAAGATAAGAAGCTTAAGGAATGTACGGGCTTTCTCACAACCGAACACTCTTCATTTATAGCGAAAATACAGGCTCAGACAGCTGTTCGAGGTACTTTGTTTTGAGATCGGACAAAATGGCGATGGACTTGCTGCCTTGATGCGCCCGAAAACGAGGTAGACCATTGAAGACACAGGTTAAAACACCACCACAATAACTTTTTCTAAAACAAGCGAGCAGGTCGGTCAAAGATTAGTGTGAACGACCATATTTTTTTACCCTGCCGTTATTAAACGGCAAAACAGATAAGTTGCAGGAAACTTACCTCAGCCATGACCTCAGCCACTGCCGCCATGACACTCTTCGGATATACGCAATCTAGATATAGCCAATCGCAGCACACCGTATATCTGACGTCAAAACAAGGTCAAAATGACAGTTCAATTTTTAAACCGTCAATACGTACCCAAACTAAATAATAAAATTTGTAGCTTAATTTTAGAAACATATAAAAAGTATGTTATATTACTGAAGTGTTTATCTTGTTTATCTGCACACATCGTCGCCAGGTCCACTTCCGCTTCAATGGCGTGGATGTCACTTCCGTTTTATGAAAAGCGGATAAGTTCAAATCTTCTTCGGTTTTTCCAAGGCTGGTCTGCATTAACTTTTTTTTTTTTTGCGTTTGATGTCCTGAAGTTTACCTAAGTCCTCTATGCTGGTACGGTTGGTGGCCAGCAGTTGCCTGTGTAAGTTTGTCTGTTATTATTTCCACACTTCGTATCAAAAGCGTTACTTAGAAGGGCAATGAAGTCGGTGCAACATCTGCCCACCGAGATTTGTTTGTTTATGAACCCTAGTGCACAGAAGTAGGCTATGTGTTGAATGAATGTCTGCCACCTTTCTAGGATAATGCCTGTGAATACATACGCCGATGAACTGGAAGCACAATATGTCCTACTCGAAACCATCGGCTCTGGTAAGTATAACAAACGAGCTCAATTCTAGTAGTTAAATGGCGGCCAGTCTTCTCGGCAACTCAGAGCTGTGTGCGTGAACTTATTTTTCAGGTGGTTTCGCTAAAGTCAAGCTGGGCATTCATGTCGTAACCGGGGAGAAAGTTGCCATCAAGATAATGAACAAGCGTGCTTTGGGCGTAAGTGTACTCCCTTTGTTTTCTTTTGGCCGCTGCTTTCAACGCTTTCATTACATTTAATTTAAGGTCAAGGCACTCCCGTAGGAAGTTTCAAACCTGTACTTCGCGGTTTTGTATCTCGATAAATGATTGGTTCCTCGTGCTATGAGGCTCCCCCCCCCCCCCTCCCTCACTCTCTCTCCTCTTTTCTTTTTTTTTTTTCCAAATAAAAATAACAGTAAATTTCCAACTATATCTTTTGAAGTTATCATTACACTAAATGACCACCCTTTTCTGTTTAATTCGCAGATTATAATTAATAAAGCTGGTCACGCTAAACATATTGAACGTGTAAAATTTGGCCTTCTTGGTAAATGAGGGCCAATGTGTGAACAGCTATCACCATGACCTTGCCACTCTGATTGTGGCACAGATTTCAGTGGAGATGAGTCGTTTGCAGCCACCAACTGTAAAATTAAGATGATTAAATGTGGCAGACATGCAAGAACATGCAGGCTCATCGCATCGAAACAGTGTGAGAGTGAGCATAGAATATATGAAGATTGCCTCTTTCAAGCTGTAAATCCTTTCAAATGGTTACTAGGTATTTTCTTTTCCAGTCTTCTCTTCTAGTCCGCTAAGAAGGACAATAACAATGCTCTAGGGTGTCGTTTTTGGAATTATGCCAAAATTTGTAAAAATAAAATAAAAAATGTGAAACAGTTTTTTTTTTTTTTTTTAAACCATCTTTACATATTTTAAATTAAAAACAAAAAAACTTTTTACGGAGATGCCCGGTTATCCTAGACTCAAATGGAATACAACTTTATGAGAATGAAGTGTGTGATAAATTTAATGAATATTTCAGTAGTGTTTTCACCTGAGAAACTTTCGCCACACCACTGTTACCTTCCCAGCATGCCTTGAGTGAAATGGAGGCTGTAGCCATTTCTCCAGATGTAATTTTGCATTTGAGAACCTTCCAATCAGGTCATCACCTGGCTGTGACGGCATTAATAACAAAATTTTAAAGATGGCCAAGCACACTTCATCTTCGTATTACAGCGGAGCTTTTAAGGGCTAGGTTCCCCAGGATCGTGTCTGGTACCAAAGAAATGTCGACACGAACCTACACGAACCTCTGGGCAGCTACCGCCATCTATAAGCAACGGCAGTAACCAGACAACCAGTCTGGTTGCCGCCATCACTCATAGATGGCGGCGACCTTTCCAGCTATCATAGAAGAACGGATAGTTGAGCGAGTTGGTTTGAATTTATCGTAGGAAACAGCGCGAAAAACAGACAAGGACAAAGAAGAAACACACGTGACACGTGCAGCGTACGTCACGTGTGTTTTTCCTTCGTCCTCGTCTGTTTTGCGCACTGTTTCCTACACTCTTGTCAGTTTTGGTTTGGACTCACGATCGGTCGGCCGCGTGCCCTTTCTTCGGGGAAAGAAGACTGGGTGCGGAAGAAGCGTCGACGTGCGCAGCAGCGCGAATGGGTCCGCAACCGCCGCGTGCGTCGAGCGCTTCAGATTCCCTTGCGAAAGAGGGGCAGATCGTTCGCCTGAAAAGCTACCGCCAAGAACAGAAGCAACAGCTCCGCTGCTCTTCCTTCTTCACCAGAGTGGAAAGGCTGAAAGTTTTAATCAATCCCTCACCACAGGCAGCCTTCCCTCTGACTGGAGAAATGCCGATGTAATTCCTATTTTCAAGTGTAGATCTTCTGACAAGCTTTGGAACTATAGGCCTATTTCTTTAACGAGTGTGTGTTGTAAACTCCTGGAGCATATTATTTTATACACATTATGAAATCTTTAGATTCCAACAATGTTTTGTTTTGTATCAGCATAAATTTCATAAAAAACAGTCTTGTACAAAACAGCTTCTTGAGTTGGTTACTGATATTCAGAATAACCTCAATGCACTTATACAGACAGACACTGTGTTTATTGACTTTTCAAAGGCTTTTGTTTGGGTACCCCACTGCAGACTTATCGCAAAACTAAACCACTTAAAATCCAATTCAGTACTAATTAATTGGATAAACAGCTTTCTTACCGCAAGAACCCAGTCTGTCAGACTGGGTGAAGCAACTTCTTATCCCTTACAAGTTATTTCTGGAGTACCCCAGGGAACCGCACTGGATTCATTTTTTTTTCTTATTTACATTAATGGTATTGGTTGCCAACTTAGAAGCAGTGTTTGTTTGCCGACAATGTTATTTATCTCGCTATTACCAGTGAAGCTAACTGCAAGACGACCTATGTTTGATTGAGAGCTGCACCTCATGTCTGTTAATCACCTTAAATCTAAATATGTATTGTTCTCTAAATCATGTAATCCAATCACTTATGCCTATCAATTTGCTCTCCATCCACTAGAAAAAAGTTTTCTTTTAAATACCTTTGCATTCATTTGATTTCCAACCTGTCATGGAAAGCTCATATTGAACATATAACTTCAAGCGCAAATAAAACCTTAGGATTCCTAAGACGTCATCTTTATCAAACTTCACCAAAAGTCAAACAGCTGTCATAGTGCACCCTTGCCAGATCCAAACTGGAATATGCCTCTACCATCTGGAACCCTCATCAGACTTATCTCTAACATGTTGAAACCAATCCAAAATTGTGTGACTCGCTTCATTTTGCAAAACTTTTCAACCGCTAGCATTTCAATGCTAAAAATCTCAATCTCGTTACAAGACAGACTATCTTTTTTTGATAGCATATTTTACAAACCTTGCACTGATCACGAAATCTTCTCAGCAGCTAAACATATCTCCCTTCGTCAAGACCATTATCATAAGCTCGAATTGCCTTTTGCCAGAACTAATGCTTTTAAAAATTAACCCCACAGTTTGTATCATAAAAATTGAAATGCATTACCGGAATCTCTTGCAACAATAATTGATCATCCCTTATTTTCAACAGAGCTCACCCGACATGCATTTTCTCACTAGAATGTTGCAAATAATCGTTGAAGGGAAACAATGTTTGATAAGTTGTTATCTACCTTTATAATAACCTTTTATGTGTCACATGTGTTTACCGTAAAATGCCGGGCAAGCGCCCACTCAGTCTTCGGAGATAATCGCAAAGAAATGAGGGATGGGCGCTTGTCCGGTGATCAATTTTACATATAAATGTACTGTGCATATTTTCTCAGTTCTCATAAATTTGGTAATGGGCGCTTAATGTGGAATGGGGGGCGGATGCGCGGTATTCTACGGTATATATTACCTCCCTTAGGATGCCCCACTGGAGCCCTCAAGGTATAATGAATGAAATAAAAAAAAAAAATTAGATGTCATAAAATTTTTTTTATGTTTAATTGAAAATGTTTGGAGTTGTGTAAGTTAAATTGAAAACATATGCAAAGGAGTGTACAAATAGGGTTGAGGAGGAAAATAGATGTGACAATTATAAATGCTTCTTTTTTTAATTAATACATTTAAATAAATGCTCGCTGCTTGTTTTCTGCTTTATGAACATATGGGTTTATCCAAGGTAAGAGTATTGTTTTGTGGTTTTTTTTAAATATTAATATTACACATCTAAAACAACTATGCGCTACAGCAGGAAAAAAAAAAAATTGTTTCAATTAAGGATGACCTGCCACGAGTGAAACTCGAGATTGCTGCTCTAAAAGACTTGAGCCACCAACACATCTGCAAGCTGTACCAGGTCATCGAGACAGAGACCAGGATATACCTCGTGCTCGAGGTGAGTGCACACTTTTAGGGCTTTTTCTGCACTTTTCTTTATGCTAATGCTTGTTATCTTTTTTCTCCAGTACTGTCCCGGAGGAGAGCTTTTTGACTACATTGTGGAGAAGGAGCGGATCAGCGAAAAGGAAGCGAGGCGTTTTTTCAGGCAGATCGTGTCGGCCGTGGCGTACGTCCACCACTGCGGCTATGCGCACCGGGATCTCAAGCCCGTGAGCTTCTTATCTTGTGCCTCTTTACTCTTGTGTTTATTGCTTGTGAAACATATAGCAACGTCTACCCCTTGTTTCATAAATTTGATTGATTTAAGGACAGTCTTTTCTTCAGCGGTGTTTTTATTATTTGGACTGAGAACAACCTTTCATTACCCAGTTATGCTTCTTGCAATTTAATATGCTAGGTAGGAGGGAGGAATTGGCGAGAATTCAGTGAGAAACAGCTACTATTCCTCATTTTACCTGTGACTGACCGCAGCCAACGCTACGAGCCATCGGAGTCAATCCAGCGCCGTGCGAGTGTCACACATCCTTTGGGACGGGTGCAGTGGCGTGTGGGAGCCATATCACGTGAAAGTTCACAGCGCTGGATTGGCTCCTAACGGCTGTTGCGGCCCGTGATAAGGTGAAACACGGTCTAATACCTCCTAAGTTGTTTAGTTTCTTCCTCAAAAAAGTAAACATCTTTTCCAGAAAATGTTTCTTCATTTAGAACAAATTAGCAAACAAGCACGAAGGCTTTGTTTCACACAGCAGTAAGTCCAGGCTGCATACATAGGCCATTCACAGAAGAGAATGGTGATTCAAGAATGTTACAGTTATAAAAATATTTATACTATTGTGCAAAACTTTTAATTTCAATAAAAAAATATTTTTCGTTTTTTTTGCTGTTTTTTGGGAACGCAAAGAGAGTTAACTGAACCATTATAAAGTGAAAGGGAACCCTGAGCATACTTTGGCAATCCACTTAGCTATGTCAGCTAAGAGTTTGTGCCCGTGTTGAAGTTTTCTTGTTTTTTATATAGATTTTCGCTTGGTTCTTGCCCTATTGCAGGAGAACTTCCTCTTGGATGAGGACCAGAACATCAAGCTCATCGATTTTGGGCTGTGTGCAAAGCCCAAGGTATCTACAAGTCAACAATCTTTCTTATGCCTCCTTATTTTGTTAGATCCTTTGTAGCTGATGCATTGGGGTTGTTGCTTTCACACTTCTGTGCAGGGTGGCATGGCAGCACACTTGCAGACTTGCTGTGGAAGCCCTGCCTATGCGGCGCCGGAGCTCATCACTGGTCAGGAGTACTCTGGAGCTTCTGTAAGGATATCATCGTATCATTTAAAATGTACAGGATGAATAGTTCTGCTTCATGTTCGATTTCAATATTTGGTCTTTGAAACCCCGTGGAACCTATACACGTTTGCAAGTCCGGCTTCAGGGTGCTGCCATCTTGCTTGGCTGGGGTGCGCTTGGTCAAATCATAATCCGATTACGAAGCCTTGCGAAGGCGTCATAATCGGATTATGGCTGCGCCCAAGAGCGCACCCCACTCAGGAAGATGGCGGCGCCCTGAGACCGGACTTGTAAAGGTGTATACACCGTTCATTTTTAATTTCACAGGTCAACATCATTTTTTTTTTTATTATTCGAAACGATTGAAAACGATGCCTGGACATTGCCCTCAACATTCGAAACTTGGGAACTTAGCATTTGTGAAGTCAAAAAACGATTTCCAAAAGCCGAATTTGAATTTCCCGCGTGTTCTACACCAGTGCAGTGACGCCAAAGATTGAGTCGTCCTGCAACTCAAGTATCTCTCGCGCCTCCGTGTCCTGTTCACCCGTGTCCTGAAATCAACAGCTCCGTGCGTGCCGCCTACCACTGTGAGGAGACGGCGCTTCTCTTTCGAGTTTGAAGTTCTTTTAGGGCTCTTTTAGCAGTCTCAAATTCTTTGAAATGGTGGGAGTTCAAAGAGAATGCACAGTGGACTTTTGTGAGTGACGGGAGGGGCCTCGTTGCGCTGGTTCTGCATGAAAGGCCGCCCCAGCGGAGTCGCAGCCGAAACTCCGGTACACAGACACCAAATCCAGTTGTTTTGACTGGTTGACGATTTCTTTTTCGAAGTCTGAGAGGTCGTTGGGCACCTAAAAAAGAGAACTTTAAATGATTCTACGACTCACTAATCGTCCTCAGTGCTACATGCATCGAGCACCGCTATGTTTTTCGTGGGTGGATAAAAAGTCAGTTAGCAACATCACTCTGGACTCCGATTTTCGGTATTTCAAAAAGAAGGGCCGTAGTGCGTTGGCAATAGACCCTTTCCGAAATTCAGTCTGGCCACATTGATCACTATCATCATCTGTGGACCTGCATCTGTGCCACACCAATGGCGGCCTACTAGTGACTAATAAAGGAAGACGTTGAAGATGCTCCTAAGTGGATGATGCGAGGCCTGTACATTCGCAGAGTCAGTAGGACGCGACATAGGAATGGAACACGAGCTACGTAAGCGTTTATTTCTAATAACTCAGATTCAGTCAATCTGTGGGCGGCACACAATCGGCTTTAAAGCACTTTGGTGTATAGAATGTTCTCAAGGCATCTGAGTGTGTTCGAGCTTTGTTCTGATTGCAGGTTCTTGGTCACCATCGAACTGAAAGTGATCGAGAAAGAGCTCACTCTGAACAATTCTTAGTGTGCCGTTGACTTGCAAAAGTGACGGTGCGATACAAGTTCATTTCCGCCATTGGTATGGCAAAACCTAAACTGCTTTACGAACCACCAGATGGCACTGAATTTCGGAAAGGGTCTATTGCATTAAAAAACATGTTTTACGAATGCCGTTATTAAGTATTATAAAAATGTCGCTTACGAGGCTTCTAAAATTTAGAATCAATTACGTCACAAATACAAAAAAGTGAGGAGGTGAGAAGCAGGAGAGAAAGACACCAAAAAAGAAAAGGCATGCGTGGGAAAATGTTTTTTCCTGTTCTGGTATTTTCTTTTGTGTCTATGACTACAACTTGCATCGTTTTGACAGTAAAAACAAATATGACCTTTAAGCTGGCAGTGCAGAGGAAGTTGTGCACTAGCTGGATTAATAAACCAGCTACTTTATCACTCATCCGCGGTCTCCGCACGGTGGTCAGGTGGCAATGACTTCAAAATAGAAGCATGTACTCCTAACTCCCAATAAGTCTCAAGGCCTCAATATTAGGCCAAGGGAGGGGCGGGAAAGCTTATTTTGAGTTATATGCGAAATCCCATACTACCGTCCCCCTTTGAGAGGTCACCTATCACATTTTCTTTGCTAAATATTCATAACATAAAAATTATGAAGCTTTGTCCACCCTCTAATTCTCATCACTCTATGTCCGACGGAATCACATCAACCGCGCAATGTGCGGTACCGGTACGTGCGACGAGCGAGTTCGCAGCAGGTTCCTGCGTGTTTATTGCACCGTGACACACAAATCTGCTGCGTCTGTGATCTGTGGTATCCGTTCCCATGACGCGCATTTGTAGCTGGTTGCAACTTGCTGCAGTTGTTTGTCCACAATCTGCGCTCACATCGGTTCTTGTGACACGTGAGTTTGTAGCAGGTTTCCTCGTGTTTATCATACACAAAACTTGAATCTGCCTGCGTCCAGAATTTGCGGTATCCGTTCCCGTGGCACGAGAGTTTTCGGCGAATTCCCGCATTTGTCACAACGTATAATGCAAATTTTCCGTGTCTGCAGACACGGTTTGTAGGTAGTGCTCCTGTGTTTATTACTACTACGTTTTGGATAAACCATTTGCTGTTGCATCCCCAAAGATCATTCATTTTATATTTTACTCAATTTATCTCTTCATTTTGGGTGGGCGTTCTTACGGAATTTGGCAACTTGTCCTTTTCAAATGTTTTGGGGGGAGTTCAGTGCCCCTTAAATCTATGTCAGCAGCCCAATGTTTGTATCGAGGGCACTGTCACATATAATGCTTCCACGGTGCACAGTGTGCTCAATTGCTAATTATATACTATAATGCTTGAGCAGATGCTGAAACTGATAAGTCTTCTAACGAGGAAGCTGGTGATACTGCCAAAACTGAAGTGGCTCTTCCTGTGACTGTTGCCACTCCCCATCACGATTATCGTATGACCTCTCCGTTTCTTTCTCGTCCTCATTTTCAATTTTTATGGTAATTTTTATTGCTCAGTTTATAATTTGACTACCTTAGTATCCCGAGAGATGCCTGACCCCTGAAAGATAACCCACCCCTATTTTTAACACAATTTGCTTTTTTTTTCTTTCGAAAACACCAAAAGATATCACATTTCTAGTAATTGCAGGGTCCTGACCAATGGTGCCTTGGCAGAAATGGTTTTACTTAGCCAAGACAAGAGATAAGCGAACATTGCTGACTGGGAACGAAAGTTGTCTTAGGTTCGTCGCCCCTCCCTTTCCCAGTTCACAAAATCAAAAACTAGCATTTTTAGACTTTTTTTTTATTGCGCACCAAAAGTTAGCCCACTTCATATATTTTCACCTGATTTGCTTTCGATTTTAGGTAAACTATCTCTCGGTACATTACGGTAGCACTGTATTGCTGTTATCATCTTTTTATAAGTCGGCGTGACACGTTTATCATGGGGCGCTGCCTTAGTTTGATTGACGTGCAACTTCTTATTTTTCTTTTTTTGTTATCACCGAAACATGCATTGGTCACTGTTTTGAAGCTGTGAGTGTAACGCAAGAAAAGAACTGCAGTGTGGCCTTCCAGACTGTGCCGACAAATGGCGCACGCAGTCTATCCGGTCACTGCTTGCGCATTATATTTAACAGTTGAGCACACTGCACTCGGCACTTCATTTTGGAGTGCCCTTTTATTTTCTTTCCTCTAGTCAACATTTTGTGACCTTGTTTGTGCAGTTTGAGTATCTGTTAATGTATTATGGTTTTTATTGAATGCTTTCAGGTCGACGTTTGGAGCATGGGTGTCCTCTTGTACGCGCTCCTCTGTGGCTCCCTGCCATTTGATGATGAAAATGTCGCTTCTCTCTACAGGAAAATTCAGGTGCTCATTCTTTTTTTCACTTATAATTTGAAATTCTGCATTTCTTAGTAAAATTTGACTTTTTTCAGCTTGTGGATTAGAAGTGTCTTTTTTATAACAGTTGGACCACGCACATTTCATTCTTGGAAACAAGGAAACTACAGCCTTCTCGAGTTTATGTGCCTGTGATTAGGAAGATGGATAGTCATGTGATCAAAGTTCTGCTAGAGGCAACCGTAACGGGAACAATAAGACGCTATTGTGACAGGAATTCTCTATTTCCAATTAAATCTACCAGATAAATTGCAGTCGACTCTCATAAATTAAAACTCCAGAAAGTCACAGACTTTGGTCTGAAATATCAGAAGTTTGAATCATCAGAAATTCATCTAAATAGGATGTGAGGCAAAGTAGAGATTTGCTATGCGGAGCACAAGTTCGTCTGCCTTTTGCACAGGGGTTGCGGTGACGTCAGAACGAGCTCTTGTTGGTTCCGACTGGAAGAATAGTGGGTAGACCTCAAGGCAGCGAGCATTGAGGTCTACCCACTATTTTACAATCGGAGCCAATCAGAGCACGGCGTTCTGACGTCACCGCAATCCCTATGCAAGAAACAGACGAAACTTGCGCTTTGCATAGGAATAGCTACACATCATAAGCAGATTTTTTTACACTTTCCTCTACTCAGGTTTATTTATAATCAAGAACACACATAAAACATTGGTGAAATTCTAAGCGTATAGTGGTTTTGGCCGAATATTTTCTAATCGAATATGGAATTGTTTCTCCAGGTTTTTTTACTATCGTTGTGCCATGCTTAAATGAAAATTCAGCTGAACTTGCGAAGGTTGTTCCCAACCTTCCACTTGTTTACTTTTAAGCTGGGTTAGATTTAATTAAGCTATATCTATGAACTGTGAACCATGTTAAACTATTTCTTTAAACTGTTTGTTATGCAAATATTCTTCCTTTAGTCTCAAATTTAACCCCCTCAGAAAAATAAAAAAAAACAAGAACGGATAATGGAAGCAGATTGTCAGGACAGTTCTGCTTGCATAATTGCAGTGGCTTAGTCCCATCAAGTGCGCTTCTCACCGTGCACCTACATACTGCAGAAAAGCAATAATTGCGAGCTTCATGGCGAGCTTTGTGGCCATTGCTTTCCTGTAGTACACAGGTGCTAGGTGAGAAGCGTAATCGACGGGGCTAATTCGTCACAATGAACAAATATTATGAATTAAGCGAAAACACTGTTTGAGTTAAGCAGCTTATGAATGCATTAAAAACATAGTGGGACTACCAAACTTTCTTTAATTTGTTGAAATTAACCGGAAGTATGAATTGTCCAAGTTTGAATTATCGAGAGTCCACTGTATTGTGGGTTTGAAATACATAACTTTTTGGTCATGTGAATCATCTCGGCTAGGGATACTTTCTTCTATTCTAAACACAAAGATGCACCCCAAATCTATCTAATCCCCCGTGGTTTAAAAAAAGCACACAAAAAAACACAATTATTCTCCGAAATTTTAGATTACGAGGCAAAAACCTCAATCCTACAGCAAATGACTTCCGTAAAATAAGGAACCCAGAACTAAACGGTGTAAGGAACCGTATAACCATTTCGAAAGTAGAGAACTACATTTATATTTTCTACTTTGGATGCACACGATGGATTGTCTATCCCATATAGGGCATCGGTTCTCAAGCTGGGTCCCTAGGGACACAGGGGAATCCCCATAGCCCCCTTGTGCTTTCCCCGAGCTCCCAAACTTTCTCGACCATTCCTGCCCTTAAGTAAAGTGTTTTCCCTCCCAATTTAAGCATTATTTTAGCGAATCCAAGCTACCCAGTGATGAGTAACTGAGCCACACACTCCCTAGTATGTTCATTACCGTTTGCAAGCTCTGTAAGCTCCTGAACTGCTTTACTGTATCAATGCCGAAACCGGGAGAAGTTGCTCGGCTGTTAGTCAAGGCATGTAGGATTTTCTGAAGCATGGTGTAAGGTGAAAACAAAAAAACAAAAAAAAAACAGACAAGGAAAAAGACACACACACAGGCAGAAGGTTCCCAGATGGGAACATTGGCCAGAAACGAGATACATTGAGTTGATTGGAGAAGTCAGTCACGGCATTAGGCATATTGTTCTGCTCAACCTACTTGTGGAACTGCTCCGAGCAGTGGATGTGCAGCGGGACTTTGCACTTTCTGTGTATCATTCGGGAGTTTTTTTGCAAAGCCGGCAGTGTCCTTGCTTTCCGAACGGAACCACGTGGTCAGTGGCGTAGGCAGAGGGGGGATTTGGGGGGTAGAAACCCCCCCCCCCCCCACCCCCCCACCGGGGGCCCGCTGGCTTGCCTGCACACGCAGTCGGTTTTCCGCGGGGCATGGAGTAAAGGGGGCGCGCAAACTATCTCCAACTTATATGTTGTCGGGAAGAGTGTTTGTGGGGTAGAAAAGGCTCGAATAAATAAAACAGGGAATATTCCTTCTTTCATATATATTTAATGGGATGCAGAACTTGATCTCAGATATATAGAGAACAGATATTTCGAAACACTTGTGTGGTGAAGGATGGCAATTTCAAGGCCAAGTATAACAAACTATCTTCATTAAAATACACAGTGCAATCAAACCAAAGCGAACATAATACTAAAGCAAACACATGGTGATAATATAAAACAATGTTAGTGATGTAAGGAATATTAAATCAATTGTAAAAACAACTGCATTGTAAGCAAAGGGGTGGCACTGCACTCACGCACACCTTGAGTACTGATCAGAATTACGTGCTTTCGACTAAAATTATTAATAAAGAGTTTATTTCCGTCGTATGTTGATGGTGGCAATCAAGGAACAAAGCTGTATGGCACAGCTTGACAAATCCTTGACGAATGAACGAAAAAAAAAAAAAAATTTACAAATCTTGATTACCACAATTTAACAAAGCGTGTTTCGAACATAATATATTTTATCATCGGCTATAGCAGGAAAGTGACCAGAAAAGTGACCTATTTACAGACAGAAGTTATGAGACCCCAAAGGTTTGCTTCATACTCAGATTCATTTGTAGAGAAAATTAGTTGAATTTCTCTAAGAGACATTCAGGGGTGGAACGGCTGCGCCATTTGCGCCATTTTGTGCCAGACGCATTTGTCTGCGCCATCCTGCGCCATTTTGTGGGAGCTGCGCCACAGCCCATACCTCGCGCCATTGTGCTCCAAATCGCACGACGTGCACCAAAAAAAAAATTATTTTGTCTTGGTTTCGGTTCTTATCGACTCGATTGGCATCAAAGAGTGCATTTAACTTGGTCAGCCTTGCAATTTTTTGTTCCATTTATTTTCCCTGTGTATCCGGAGTCGGAAGCGCACTAAAGAACTCGGGGTTTGGATTCCAAGCACTACATCACCCTGCGACTGGATTCTTATTCTTCAACCATAAGTGGTTAAGCAAGTCGGCCGAAGTGGGTCTAGTCGTTTAGCGTCAGATTGCCTGAGGCTGTGTGGCCCGGGTTCCGGACACCAGCCAGTTGAAAACACACTAGCAAAAGATTCCTTTTAGTGCTTCATCGTTAGAAGTTGGAATGGCAAATCCGCAAGATAAATCTTGATTTGATGGAACTTGTGGGCAACCTGGCGATTCCAAGCGGTTGGCCCAGGCTGCCCCTCCGACAATCATAAGTGGTCATCTTGACCACGAGGGGGCCAAGGGCAACTGGCCACGCGAGCGACGCTCCGCCGCTGATAAAAGGCCGTCGCAGTGGATGCGCGGGGGCGGTTGGGATCGCGGCGCAGGCGATAGCGCTCATTAAATGTTTACGTGTTGTTGAACCGGTGTGCTGTGTCATTCTCCGAGACGGGTAGCAGCAAGGGAAATCCCACAAACTGAAACGCGGTCCGATCCGAAATTTCGCCGACCCGCAGCTCTGACGCGAGCGGTAGATCTGCTCGTCATACTTAACCTTGCTCCGGCTTATCGCGTCGAATACAATAACTCCGTTAATCGTAGTCTGCTGCTTCGGTATTGAGTTGTACAATAGGATAAACTCAAAATTTGTCGCCCTATTCCTCCGCGCAACTGCACGTCCATTGCTTACGTACGTCATGGGGTTCACACATATAATTACTATGGCAAGCACGTGTGGGTTGTGCTATATGCAGCTCTGGTCTGCATTTTGAGCAGCTGAATGACACTCAGAAAATATCAAGGACAGTATCTTCAGAAGCATATGGTACTTCCTTTTTGGTTCTCATTAAGGCTCACAACAATTCAAGTTGTCGCATCTCTTACACTGTTATCCCAGCTACGTAGGTCCCTAACCACTCGTGTTCAATTGTGCTGCTAAGCACAAATGAAATTGCTCCCGTGCTCGGCCAAGAGACGAGCTGAAGTGCAATGAAAATTGATTTGAGCTGCTCTTAGCCTGCTCCAGAATGTAGTTTTAGCTGCTCCGAACCTGCTCCAAAACAGCTGTTTCAGCTGCTCCCAAGTACATTTCATGAGTTCCACTCCTGGACAATGTACTGAATTCCAATCTTTTATCTTCAAGTAGGTTAAGTATTTTTGGGATAGTATGTTTAAGCATTTGTGCGCTATAATTCATTCTTGCAGTGACCACCTCCCAACACTCCGCACGACGAGTATAGAACAGGCGTGAATATTTTGAGAGAGCTGTCCAAGATTTCTCAAAACGTTTGAACCCCTAATTTGTTCTAGTTTTAGATTAGTCGCATGCCTATAGCTAAGTAGAGCCAGGGACGGCGCCAAAGGGAGGCGAGGGGTGGCGGGCGCCTCCCCTAAAATTTGTCCTGCCACCCCAAAAATATGCCAGCCTTTACAACCCCTCCCCCCCCCCCCCCTTCACCTTAATTTTCGCACGCAGACCCGCATACGCTACATGGCTCGTCATTTTCCTAATTTCCTCGTCCCTTGGAAAAAGCATTGGCTTGAAGGTTAGCCAGTCTACTCTAAAGAGGCCTCACACCGGACGTTTTCAACTTTTTCGTGCCGTCCACTTTATTTTCTTTCCGTACCCCGTGAAGAACGATGCATGAATGTCGGTATGGCTTGCCGAAGCTAAGGAGCATCGTCTACCACTCAATTCCTCTGTCGCCAACCAAAAAAGACTTCCTGAAAGTAGCTTCACCCAAGTGATTACTCGGAGAGACTTGGAATCCCACCTGCACTGCGCTGTCGCTTCGTACCTGCCAGACAAAGGAACTCAAGGGCGCTGTTCATGATCTGACCGAGGAAATCTCCTAAAGTCCTGAGACGCTCGGGCCGGCTGGCCAGTTCCCAAGGGGCGGCTTTGACGTGTCTAGGTCATCCTGCTTATTTCAAATCTTTATGGAGTCCTTGAAGGAACTTTGGTGACGGCGACTGTGTGTGCTCGGGAAAGGGTATAGGTCGGAGCGTGGCGGTTCGAGAACTGCCATGCTCCCATCATTAGTGACCCTGGGACACGGAGTCCCTTCTAGGGACTATCCTAGGAGGTTGGAGGAAAGCTGAAAGTGTTTGGGTATATGGGGGGAGTAAAACAGTGGAAGTGCTGTAATTTGACAGCGGGCTATCGAAACTGGAAGAAAGCTCTTCAAAAAGAAGGCGGACTATGACGCCACTCCAACAGTGCGGCACGCAAGATGCCCCAAACATCATCGGCTTTCTTCAAGCAGATGAAGAAAAGTGGGGCGGCTAAATCAGTCGCCGTGTAACTCTGCCAGGTGTAAGGGAGAATCGTCACTACATCTACATGATCGCTGCCAAGCTCCGGTTTTCCGCAGTGCAGGGGACTGCCCAAAGAGCACATGATGAGCCACGACAAGCGTGAGCGTGCTTATTTAGTATTGTGGCATGTAAACATGTCTGAATATTTTGCACGTAAAATGCTACATTAACCCGAGTTGTAGATAGGTTGTAAAGTAATGAAATAAACTGAGCTGATTTCTATTAAAAACTCGCGAAGCGCCAAGTCATCGTCCCTGAATATTTGCTCTTTTAGTCGGATCGAAAGCCCATGCCTCCCCAAAAATGCCGTGCGCCTCCCCACTGCCCCCTCACTATGAAAAGCCTGGCGCCGTCCCTGAGTAGAGCATGTATAGCTGGGTGGAAGTAAAATGGGGCATCTTCTGTAGCCCTTAACGCTTATTTTTTATTAATTTTTTTAGATTCGTTGAGTTTGTTATATTTCAGACTAAATAACAATAGTTTATGTGTCAGTAAAATAACGAATTGTATATTAATAATTTCACCTTTGCTGGTAACATGTACCGGTGGCGGTTTATCACACCTACTACCTATGACACCTTAGAGACTAAGGTTGTTGACATGACTATCTCATGACATATTCTCAGTAAAAAAGGCACTTAAAAGCTTGAAAGAGTTTACAATCTCTATTTTAGACAAGTTCAAAACGATATCTCTTGTAATTGTGACTAGCTTATTTTTTGGGCGAAAAAGCACTGCTTTTGTTTTTTCTATGTTGATTTGTTGTGAATTAATACAACTCCAAGTTGCTTATGCAGATAACGCCTGATTTGCCATGTCAAATAGCACTTCGACATTTTCAGCTGAAAAAAGCTAACTAGTGTCGTCAGCATAGCTGATAATTGTTGCACCAGAGTTAATAGTTACAATATCATTAACGTAAATATTGAAAAGAAAGCGACCTATTATACATCCCTGTGGAACACCAATAAGAATACGCTTCGAACTTGACGAATATTCGTCAATATAAACTAATTGCATTCAATGCTGTAAGACTTCACTCACTGCAAAGCATGCCTTCGAATTCCTTATGTATCCAATTTTGCCAGTAAAATTTCATGATTGAGGCAATCAAAAGCCTTTGTGAAGTCTATGAATGCTCCAAGAACAATTTTTTTCTTAAAAAATTTCAAGATGAATTTTTTCTGGACAAGTAGTGCAGCCTCGGTAAATTTATGCTTTATAAAACCAAACTCATATCAATTTATGCTTAGTTTAAAAATTAGTTATACGTGTAGGAAGTACCCTTTAAGTGCTTTAAAAAATACTGGCAATATAGAAATCGGTTTGTAATTACCTATAACATTTACACTCCCTTTCTGTGTAGTACTGACACTTTTGCTATTTGCATTCGTTTAGGAAAAACACCAGTCATCAAAGAAAGATTAAATGTATGCGTTAGCGCTGATACTAATAAATGAACAACATAATTAATGGGCCTTATTTGTAAACCATCCATGTCACAAGCTCCACTTTTCTTAAGTTGTTGAATTACATTAATGACCCTCAGGTTCTACAACCGGATCTAAAAAAATCAATCTGCTGTTTCTACTGCCGAGACCGGTTATAACGAAGTCAACGGGAATCAGAAATCACTTCGCTATATTCGTTATTTCGTTATAACCGACTTCGGCTAATGAAGTGCAAAAGGGAATGAAAAATCTTGATTGCTTCGCTTTAGCCGCTATTTCGTTATAACCGGTCTTGACAGTATCATCAAAAACACAATACTTTACAGTAACAATCCAGCTTCCAATATTCACAAAATGCAGGCCGAAAGCGTTCGCCAAAGAACATTCGGTTAGTTCAACAGCGTTATGCACACACTATTTTATTAATTGAAATAGATGAACAATTCCGATTTAAAAGAGAATTTTAACTCCTTCCACGTGACGTCCGTACGCCCCTCTGCTGCCTTGAACACCTTGAAGTAGTAGCATTCTTTAGCACGCCGTAAATTACCACGAAAAAAAAAGTAACTGTTACTAGTTATTTCAAAAAGCAATTTACAGGCTCTCTTGATCATTTCATTTATGCCAAGCGCCTACACATTGAGATGCAGCCGCCTGCGTTCACAGCAAAGAATACCCAGGACGTCCTCCGCTTGAACTTCTATGTCACGGTGAACGTTTAAAAACTCTGAACCGAGCGCTCATTTGAAGTGTACGCTCTCAGGTATGTTTTCAACCGTCATAGTCAAGAAAATGAGCTCTCGGCTTCCGCCGTTGTTACGGGCAGAGTCGCTAGCATCCTGAGGAGGCAATGAACGTTTGGAAATAGGGCCTCCGGACAGAGGGCGACCGCCTGTAGTGCACACATGACGGGCGCTTCACGTTTCTCTCTCTTGCATTTAGCAGCCGATATGAGCAGCTCACATTGGAGTTCAGGAAATGAAACCAGGCCTGAATGGAGCTCCAAAAACTCTTCAGCGTCGAGACCTGCCCCGCTTTCCAATATCTTTGCAGGCAGAAGCGACGAAAGTAATTCAACGTACGCCGGTGCTTTTTAAATCTCCCATCTAACTTTTTGATCAGATAATCCATGAAAGGAAGGAACACGGAACGCTTAAAATGCTCTTCCGTGCTTCCAGCGGAAGTGTTAGAGCGGTGACGTTGCCGACTTGTTACTCGCGGCATCTAAATTTGGACTTCAGCTGTCTTGGCCTTTCTTTGGGCCTATTAATCGTGTCAGTTATCGTCGCCGGTGGCGTGCTGTGCTGCGAAGGGGCGTTAACAAGCGACGCTGGGTTGTGGTGCGAGAGTTCAGCTTCAAAAATTGTTTTCTCGTTTTAAACAGAACTTTGATTGAACTTAAACAAAACTTTGATTAAACTTTCAGAATCAAGAGACAATCGATTGTTCTTCCAAACCCACCATATTTTGTATTTTTAGTTGGACCACTTCAGGGTAAAATAAACGGCTGCTAATGCGTTAAAACACACATTCTTGCAACTTCAGAATTTTTTTTTTTACTGCGAGATATTTAATATAGCAGTTTAGACATTTTTTTTATAGATTATATACCTGCAGGGCAGCCGGTAAAAAGTTCTAATATGTCCCCAGAGCAGTTATATATTTTTTTAATAAAATAACAAAAATGTTAAATGTTTAAAATAAAATTGTGTTTTTAAAAAATATTTCAATTAAACAAAACTCCACAAGCCCAGCCACATTACAAGTCGAAAGCAGTAAAATTTTGTGTTAGTTTTTTAGACTAACTACTCAACTTCTGAGGTATGCGACATGCGATGTCACCCCGCTTGAGAGCGTGAAAAAATTTTAATGTCAGTTTCGGCGTCACTTTCATTGGCCGTCTTCTTAATAAATATTTTTATTTTAGAGATAATAGATATCACACCGGAATGAGTAAAGCCTAGGAATTCAGAAAACGTAACTGGGTCGGGTTGTTAATGAAAAACCGTTGGGAGCTCTTGAGTTTCACTGTTGCCACCTTGCAGACGGGTGACTACGAGTGCCCCCACTGGCTCTCGCCGGGCAGCGTGGGACTGCTACGGCAGATGATGGAAGTGAAGCCCCAGAGACGGATCCAACTCAAGGAGCTCCTGAGCCACCCCTGGCTCGTCAGAGGCTACGGTACCGCCGTCAACTTCAGGAGCACCTACAAGGTGGGCTCTCGACCTCCGTCGTTATTGGTGCACGACGGGGTTTGTACATTACGCTTTGGGAAAGTGATATTTTTTTCGCAGAACTTGCACTGAAGTATATATCTCAGGGGTGGCCAAGCTGCAACTCGCAAGCCGCATGCGGCTCTTTGCGTGCTGAAGTGCGGCTCGCGGCTCCCTCCCCTACCCCAACTCCCCACACTCCCCTGCCTCTCTCCCGGTCACACGAGCACTTCCCCAGAAAGAGAAATGGAACGCATTTTAAATTGAAGGGCAGGTTGCAGTTTTGTAGTCTTGTGCTACTGCTACCTCACGTACAGTTGGACTGCTTTTAACTCGGATAGACTGAAAGTAGGTCAAGTTTTGTTTATTCCTCTGGACAGAAGTTTGCCTCTCCCCCCGCCGTGGCTCTTGGAAGTTTTGTGGTTTTGCTTGCGGCTCTTAGACCAGGTCAGCCTGGCCACTCCTGATATAGCTCTTCAGTTACAACTAAAGGTCTGTTTACGCACTTGCGACTCGTTAGGACCGGGTGTCCTAAAACCTCTTAATATCATTATGGGTAGCCTCGGAACACTTTCAGTGTCTCCATATTTTCTATTGTTTTCGGACAACGTTCTTCTTGGCCCGAAAAACTTTTGACAGCATTATAAACAACCATTTCTCGTAGTTAGTGCATACATTTGACCTCACAAATATCGCAAAACCTTCGTTTCGGCGAAATGAAGCTCCGGGGTCAGCTCATAGATTGTGCCGGTGTGTTTCTCTCATCATGAGAGATTTTAAGAGCTTTTAACGCAAGAAGTTTCAGGAAAACGCAAGTGTGCGAATGGACCCTGAAAGGGTAGTGCAGCAATTTTAAGTTTGAAAGAATTTGCGGTTTTATTTTTTTATATCATTCATCTAGGGCGGTTGTTCTCAACCATTGATCTTTCGCGGACCCCTTGTAGATCGGCGAAGATGATAGAGGTCCCCGTTTGTGGTGAGGGGGAGGAAAAGGTATAGGTTAATTATGATAATGATTTAATAAACGGATATAACTAAGGGCTAGTGTGAAGTAGACTTTGCTCACTGACATACACACGAGAAAACTTGCCCGAAAATTAGAATGTTTCTTTTCAATCTGAAAAAAAGACAACTTTTATTGCCGGCCTCTGACGAGGCAGGTCTTCGCGGACCCCCATTCGAGGACCATTGATCTACGGCACAAGTGACAAAAAGGGTGTTCGCCTCACCTCGAAAAGTTGCATTCTGGCACATAATCGGGGAGGAAAAAAAGAAGTAGTTACTAATCTGCAGCCACGTGTGACGGTTACGGGAACTACGGCGACACATCTCTGGGGGACACGTGGAAGTCGCCAGAACGTGTCGTTCTCCGTCGCGGCACTCGCCGTCAGACCCGTAGTGAACAGTCTTTTGTGTCATTTGCTCGCCACGACCTTCGACTATGCTAATCCTTGAAAAGTCTACAGTCGCAGAGAAAGCGATTGGTATCTCTAAAGAGCGAACACAGCGGAAACCAGGTCATCCCCCAGAGCACGTCAATCGAAAGATTATGTGAGAGTTGAGAAAAACTTTGACCTTCGATGTGTTTCGTTTTTTTTTTAAATAAGAACTAGTACACGCAAGAAAATCTGGTTTTCTGTTCTTTGTTCCATAGGTGACGCAGGTTGATTCCCGCCATTAATCAGTCAAAGTCCGAAAATCGTTGCACCACCCCTTTGAAGCTTGTTTCATATGACAGCAATATTTGTTTTGTTTCCTGAATTCTTCTTGGATGCTAGTTATAACACCCAAAGGGGAGGTTCTTGGGAAGCCCTTCAGAGCAGCAGATATTGTGGGCTCTAAAGCACTAATCTGTATAGGATGTTTGTCTCTTAGTTAAATAATTAGCTGAGTTTGAATGACCTTTATGACATTCACATGCTCAAGATTCCAGTGCTTATTCTGATTCTGAGCTCCAACTGTGCCGGTGTTTCATCATTCACTGCACGTCTGTCATCAGTTGTGTGCTATTGATTGCGTATGTTTTATTCATAAGGTCTGGTAAATTTGAATTGATATGGTAGGCAGGCATCAATTGCACGACGGCTGCCGTCTCAAGATGCCGAATATTAGGTTGTAGCCCAGTGGGCTAATATTCTGCACAATATTGGTAAGCAATTCAGGCACCCAATCTAGAGTAGTTGCATATACTTTGGGCACTAGGCCAATCATTGCAAATGTTGGTATTTTGTTTACTGAGCTTTAGACACTTTCGATACTGACCTTACATTTTTTGAATCTGCTAATATTTAATTTTTAAAAATAGGAGGCTTTGTAGAAGTTCCGGGCTTTACAGTATGTGGCACCATTGTAATAGCTGCAAATGCAGATATACTACTTCATTCCTGTCTTATAAAACTTAATTGTTGCACTTTTTCAGCTCTCCATTTTAGATGATGAAGCTATAACAGAATTGGCTATCAGCAATGGCCGCTCAAAACGTTCTGTGACCTCGGAACTTGCACAGGTGGGTGGATGACGATATTCTCACTAGTGTTCAGAAACGGTGTCCTCACTTGAAATGAAGGTTGTTTTTCTTTTTCCTTGGAGGTTTTGAACTCGAGCTTTGTAGTTTCCACACCGTGCACGTTGCATTGAATCAAAAATTAATTGTTTTAAATTTAATAAAAATTGTTTAGGCACTTTGATCGCTATCATCACCTAGGTGTATTGCATCTGCTCCATACAGTCGAACCTCGTTATATCGAACAGGGCAAGGACCGTGAAATATTTCGATATAATCAAAATTCGATATACAAAATCACTCACAAAAAAAGCGTCAAGGTACAACGCGATTTAATCAGTAAAAGGCTAGCGGCAAAAATGACTAGTACTCACATGAAGTGTTAAGGTGAACTATTTATTCCGGCGAAAAAAACTGCCGCAGCGTAGATTGCTTCATGGAGCTGACCGCATGCATTATTACGGCCCACTCCACTGTCTCCAAGCGGTCCACTAGCGCCAGACCACTACCGTCGATTGCACTGCAGTAGCAGCGTAAAAGCGAGATCGTCTTCCTGACAGTGTCGTAACAGGCTTTGAAACTTTGTAGCCACCCGCTACTTGCGGCGACGTTTTGTGCTTGGTGGATGAACGCAAAATCCTTTGCTTTCTGTTGAAGCATCAGCCTGACGCCGGAATGTTCCGAGCCCTTGCATCCATAAACCACTTGTGAAATGACCTTTCCACCTTTTCGAAGGTTGGTGTCCGAACACTGCGTGCGCCGGAGTGCTTGCTTCGTTCAGCCTTTGATTTGATGTCACTTTTCGTCTTCAGCAGCGTGCTCAAAGTGCTTCGCGGTATGTTGTACGTTTTGGCAACGCTGGACTTCTTTTTTCCTTTTTCAACGCGGTAGATGATTTCAAGCTTCGTCGCAAACGTCAGTGACATACGTTTATTTGCATTTGTTGCCATCGCCACATGCGGTTGACGCAACGTCTGAGGAACGGAGCCACGCACAGGGCATGAAAAGCGCGATGCTGGCGATACGATTGAGCTCACTGGACTGAGCCCGTATGCCGCCAAATCTGGATGGCGTTCCCGGCACCACAGGCATAAAGCTTTATGCGGGCACGCACTTGAATAAAAGTCGCAAACGCCTGCTGCGCCACCGCTATCCTACGATGTGTTGCGGGAAAGCCCTCGTATCCTCCGATGTGCTGTGGGGCAGCCTGCCGCCTGTCTCCGGTGCGCAGCTTTCCGGCGCTGCGGAGTTCGATATATTCATTTTTTAACCGACCAAGTTTGCTATAAAAAATTTAAAATGCATGTAATTCTTATGATAGTTCAACAACGATTCAATATAAGCAATAATTCTATATATCCATGTTCGATATAACAAGGTTTGACTGTACTACTGGCGGCTTTTTGGCGGTTAACAAAAACATAAGATGTGCGCCCCAGCGGGTGATACGACGCCTGTGCATTTCAGACGTTGGCGCAATGCGATGCAGCCGCTGCACCAGCATTGGATTTGGGTTCAATCGATTTTCCGGCACATATTGCGCTCTGAAGTTCCTGAGGTAGAGATTTTTATCAAGCGTACAAACCAGTTGTTTCTTTGTAGCTATCAAAATTAAAACAAACCAAGAAAGAACTATGTGGTGAACTCACTCTTATCTGCCGTTGACGTACGAAACTAACCGTTCAAATACTGCATTTCTATTGCACAACAAAAGCAGACTTCTATATGAGCTGCTAGGTGGTGCTGAATTTTGAAAATGGTCAATTGGAAAGCCCCAGTAAATGCTTGATGCATCAAATAGCCTGAATGACTCCTAATACAAAACCATTTCTGACTTAGATTTTTTTGTTTTTTTAGTGGAAGTATGATTACATGACTGCAACATATATCCTGCTGGTTGTGAAAAAAAGGCAAGGCAAGATGACTAGGCTGGCTTTTCCCGATTCCTATCCAAGAGAAAAGAAGGTGAGTATCTCTTACTGAAGCTATCACAGCCTCAGAATGCATATTGGAAGTTTTGTACACTTCTGCTATAGACGCTTTACACACGCGCCGGATTGAGCCGCCATAGCCGCCCTTCTCTTGCCTTACCAAGATGCCGAGCCACTGAAGCGGGCATTGACGGGTCTTCACAAGGGCCTATGCTGGGCACAAGAACACAGTAGCATCTAAAATGGCAATAACCTGTCCTGCTGTGGTAATGATGAAGTGAAGCGAACGGAATAAGAGGGAACAAAAACTGAAGGTCAGTTATGGCGGCGTCCATGCACAGCTGCTGTAAAGCGTCTATAGCTAAAGAAAATCAACATGTTCATTTATTTAGCTTCTTGTTTTCATTGGCTGGTCTTCCTGTAATATCTGGTGTAGGCACAGTGCTGCAATGGCATAGATTTCTGGATTGCCGCTAACATTCATTATAAGTTCATTTGGCAGTCCTCTATAGCTGTAAGACTGTACACCGGGGAAGTTCTTGCTTGAAGCGCCTGAGGCCCCTACTAGAACAATCTCATCACTTACTCTCTTCTTGGAGGTGCGCAGGATGTTTGTACAAGAAAGGCTGGTAGTCACGAGAACCGTGCTCATTAGTGTGCTTACTTTACGTTCATTGCTTAAACCAAGCCCGCCCGGGTCTAGAGAGAGACACAGATTCTCTGTATTCATGCGCAGCAGGTCAAGAAAATTCACAGAAAGCCACAGCTCTGGCTAGCTTAGTTTAGGCTGGACAAACGTGTGTTCCTTCATCGTGCTTATTATTTTCTTTGCCTACTCATTTTCTCTCTGCAGCCACAGCTCAATTTATTTTAATGAGTCAGTGCACAAGTTCATTTTGCTACCTCCTTTCGAATTTTCTGATCACTTGTTCGGAGGACTGCCCACGCCAAAGTGGGGACCGGGGTAGGCCGTGTTAACACGCACCACCTCGGAACACGTGGCGCAAAAGCTTGCGCTACAGAATTCAAAGGATATTTCTGGGTTCAGTCCTCTCCCACAGCCCTTTCCATGTGTACGAGCACCATACAGGCATGCGTCGGTACGATCACTACAGCACAATGCATATTAAAGAACCTAGGCTAGCCGTCCTACTGCACTGGCTAGATTACTCATCCACAGCATCGACCGAGTCTGCATATACCTCGACTAACCTCTCGCTCTCTAAACGTTTGGCATCTACCTTCCTTTTCTTTTCCCATGCCAAGAGATTGTTTTCCTTAATAAACGCCCCGAAATTTGTGTGCAATGATCTTCGGTGATGTCCTCCAGAAATTTCACCTTAAAGTCAGAATTTCGATAGTCTCTGATTGGCCTCGAAACTGGTTCAACAGATGAATAGACACATCTGAACTAGTAAGCCGAATTGCAAGTCGCAGAAATATTTGTTCATAAAGTTGCTGGATTTTTATATTTGGCAACAATGAAAACGGGACATCAAGTGTTGTAACATTAGGACGCCACAGCTCATTCCCGACGGGCTAGTAGAAGTTTAATGGCGTGAAACGAATGCCGGAAAAGCCCATGCCAACAGAACAAGAAAATAAAATACTAAATACTGCATTCTTTTCTACACTGCCTGGTCGACTTGCAAGTTGTACAACATGCAGCATCGCCCGCTGGAGAGCGCAGGAAAATTTGAACGTTGGTTCAGGCATGATCTTCATTTGCCGTTTTATCAATAATTATTTTGAATCAAGAGATAATAAATGCGATGCCGAGAGAAGTGAAGCCCGGGCGTTCCGAAAACGTGTTTACCGTAAAACCTTGAGCAAGCGCCCACTCGGAATTCGGAGATCATTGTATAAAACTTCGGGATGGGCGCTTCTTAGGTCAGCAATATGTAAAGCTATGTCTTACGCATACTTTCCAGACATTACAAAATTGGAGGGAGGCGAGTGCTCATTGTGGAATGGGCGGCTTCTTGGTATTTTACAAAAGGTCTGGTAGCTAAAACAATCGCTTTTAACACTTGCGAAAAGCATCAATGCTGCACGAAAGAAGGAAAATTTTTTTTTTGTCCATTCCACAGTCGGGCACAAACAACAATAGTATGAAATTTTGAAGACTCCATGTAGATGTAGCGCGCTTTCCCAGTGTTTTATGGTGCGATTTCAACGAGAACTGACGTCTTGACGCTCTTGTCGCGCAACAGGCACCCTGTTCCCGAGAGCTGGTCTCAGAGTTTACCGTGGACGTCGTCAAATCCCCGATGTCTCCCCTGCGCAACTCTTTGGAGAACGGCCTGAACGACTCCCACCTCCTGATGCTCGGAAGTCCCAAGGAGGATGCCGTGGACGGCTCTGACCGGAAGCCGACCTCCGGGGAGACTACGTTCCTTGTCCACGACCCGATGGAGGCCTTCGCTGAAGCAGACAAGGAGAACTTTGCACGACCTCGCGTCCCCACTCCAAAGAAGAGGACCTGCGTGAAACCTCCCCAGGAGACTGCAGGTAAATATTGCATTGATCTCGAGTTTGTTCTCTGTGTCGCGGCCTTGCTACTAGCTACTAATGAGCCACGGCTACTTGCTAGTTGTGGTTCATTGCTTTGGGGCGAAACGTGGCTTTACCTTATGGAGGTAGGAAGCTTCTGGAGGCGACATGAGGCCACCAGAGGTGAAGCCAGAAGTGTGGAGGGACACATATCTAACTGTGACCAAAACCAAGGGACTCTATTGGATGAAAAAGAGAGCTGACTTGGTGCCAACAGCTGTTTTGGTCAGCCTCGGGGGTGACCAAAACAGCTGCTGGTGCCAAGCCAGCTCTCCTTTTCGTCCAGTCGTGGGTGACTGAAACAGCTTTTGGCGCAAGGTCAGCTCTGCTTTTCATCCAATAGCGTCTCTTGGTTTTGGTCATTGTTGGGGGTGTGTCCCTCCACACTTCTGGCTTCACTTCTGGTGGCGTCATGTCGCCCTCAGAAGCTTCCTGCCTTCATGCCTTACCCGATACGGATTTGTACACCAGGCATACGAAAGCTCGGACTGAGAGTAATCTCCCCGGCCCCTTTTACTTCGACTTTTAAGATATCAAAGGTGGGCTTTTGTACAATGCAACTGAGACGTCGTAAACTGGGGTCACATAATTGAACTGAGAGCAGCCGGGAAAGACGGTATTAGGTGGGCATGAAATATTGCCTGCTCAATCTGAAAATCGTCTCTATGGTCAATCGGTAGGTCAAGAAATGCAGGGAGTAATTGAAGATATGCTGATGAATGAACCATACTAATCTAATGGAATGAAAGTCACAAAGCCGCCTAAAGGCAAAACCTTTGACGGCATGATATAAAGAAATGAAGATTACAGTCTCTATTTAGAGACTGCGACACCTTTTCTGTGCCAGTGTCTTGTGTTCATGAGGCTAAAGGGACACTGACGGGGTATTTTTGCTCGCCAAGGTTTTTAGTTGTACGTGACATGTGAGAGCCCAACTACCCAGAACAGAATTTGCGGCTCGAAATTCGGTTTCTTTCCGCCTGAAAACCGCCGATCAAGATCTGGCTGGTTTGAGTTGCGCTTACTCTCTTTTTTCTGGTCATGAGCCGTTTTCTAAGGTTTAGACACAACCACCAAATTTAATCAAAGTCGTTGGTCATTGAAGGCACATACCGATATTAAAAGTAGAAAAAAATATGAAACCCATTTTTTGTGGCCTTTAAAAACTGCAAATACGTTGTTTGAAAAAAAAAAAAAAAGTTGCACAGAGAACCAGAAGCATTCTGTGCACTCACTGCGTAATTCTCAACGTGGCGTCCTTTTGCGTATCATGGGCTATGATTGTGGGACTCGCGGTGACAGCGATGGCAGCGGACGACAGGCGTGAAACCTCTACTTCAGAACTGTCAATTGCGGTACCGGCGAATTCTGTCTTTCTTTGAAAGAGAAATTTCGGACCGTTCAAAAGATTTGATATTCATACCGTACGACACGCCCGACCACCAAGCCAATTTGCACGAAGATGTCGCCGACCTGTCGCCCCCTTCTCGTGGCTGAAGACATCGCTCGAGCAAACGTCAAGCACGAAATGCATACTTTGAGTTGAATATGCGCGTGTACAATTTCTTTACTAGGTGCGAATGTGGCCAATGCGTGGTGCTGTTCGACTTCAGCCCGAAAGTGCTTTTACAGGAGGAAAATCGGCAGCAAACTTTCCAACCTATTGACCGGCTGTATTATTACTAATGGAGGTGTTTCCCAGTAGCTCAATGGAAAGACGTCTGCTTCACACTCGGTAGAACCGGGTTCGATCCCGTGTGGGCGAACGTTTTTTTGTCGTTTTTTTTTTTTTTTTCAAACATTTTGCGATATTCACATTTTTTTTTTTTACAATTATCACTGAAAAAAACAAATGTTGTGGACGAAACGTCGCTGAACTGAATGGTATGGGATTTCCTTTTCGACACCTGCAAACTCAAGGTATTTTTTTCTGCACTGCACTGGCCACATTTGTTTATACTAGTAGAGGTGTGCAAATAACGAAATTTCAACTCGAATCGAATTGAATAGTGACTAAGATGTTAACAGGTAACTGCAAAGAAAAAAAAGTGTATTCTTAAACAGCCTAATTGGGACAAGCATGTCACAAAACAATGTTTCTGCCAAAAACAAAACTTTTTACAGCAATATTTATTGCGCGAGACTGATTTTGGTTTGCGGCTATTTGGTCCGTTTTAAATTGCGCGCCACAAAGTTGGTATTATACGTCATGTAGTGGCTGCTATACGTCAGCCACTCCGTACACGTCGAAAGAGCGGGAGTTTTAAATGTGGAGAAGTTCTGACGGTTGTGACCCCGACTAAATTACGTCCTGTGGCGTAAATATTGCTAGAAAAAATTTGTTTTTTTACGGAAGATTTGTTTTGTGACATGCTTGTCCCAATTAGGCTGTTTAAAAAAACACTTTTTTTTTTTCTTTGCAGTTACCCTTTAAATGTCGAACCGAATATTGAATGCCAAAAAGTTTATGCAAATATTCAAAAGACTAAAAAAAGAAAATGCATAAATGAGAAAAAGAAGCCGGTGTATTTATTATCCTGCATGGTGCGTCGAACAGAGAGGCTAGCACAGCTAAAACTGGTGTTAATGACCACACTCTGTAGCCTCCAAGTGTTTTAACGTAGGCCGTGCGACTTGCGTTAGATGGAAATTTCAATGGAGTGACTCACTTCTGCAGCATTGATCGTCTCAGCCGGAATTCGTCGTCGTTGAATGACGTGTCCGCTGGTGGGCGGGAGGCGAGGATGAGGTCGATGATGGCGTTTTTTGTTCCCTCTGAAGTTCTTCAATGTCGCTGCGGAATCCCCCAGCAGATTCAGCAGGGAGATCATAGAGTCCTTCGCCATGACCACAGCAAACGACAACGTGTCAAACCCCTCCCTCCTGCTGACAAGAACTGAGGTTGCATTTCTAGAATCTGAGATAAACCCACCTCTCTGACTTGCACTTCGCGTTTTTTTTATCTCCCCTTCTCCCCTCTTTTCCTCCTGGGTTTAGTTGGCTGCTCGCTGTGGGAATTGTTAATCGTCTGTTGCTAGTTGAAAGATCTGGTTGTGTTATCCCAGTTTTAATTGTTTTATTATTTCTTCATCCATGTACAGAAAGACATCATGAAACTTTTAATTCAAAGTAAGTTTACAAAAGTTACTAAAAAAAGTGTGTACCCGTAATATTTTTTATTTTCTATTTTGAGTAGAATGCAACGCGTTCAAAGACCCATCCACGAGAGCACATGGGAAGGGAGTAAGTCTATATATATATTTTTTTAAATTAAGTTTTGGTTTAGCACGGTTTCCACCAGCTGTAAATTTGCATGCCTCCCCTCAACGGCATTAATATTTTCATGGTTTAAAAAACTTATCAGCCCTATATAAAAGTTTTCCGCAATAGAATAAATTAAAGACGTTTTCATCATTTCTCCAGAGAATATTGCACGCCAACCTTTTGACAAACCAGGCAAAGACTCAATTGTATATTAATGGAGCTCGACACCTGCTCCATAAACCTCTGTAGTAGCAGACAGGAATAGCAATATGTCGAAAGTCATGTCCAAATTCAGACTTGAACTCTGTTTAGACGTTTCACTCATCGTCTTCAACATGTCGGCCGCATGAGTAAAACTCCGAGAGTAGCCCGAGCTAGATTCGACGTTCGAAACAGGTAATGTCTATATAAAAAAAAAAAAAAAAATTACTGAACCAATTGTGAATAACAAATGTGACTGCAAAATGTCGACTATAGTGCTAGTTTGCGTACTATTTCTCTCGATATTATTAGCGCTCTTCTTTGGACGGATGTCGTAACGGTCACACCCGGCTTGAGTTTTCGCTTGCTGCTGCTGAAGGTAGCGTAGCGTAGGGGCTGAAGGTGAAGGTAGCGTAGCGGCTAGTCGACACATCATGATGATACTAATATGTCTGTAATGGGCTTGCCTTGGGCTTTCTGTAGAGCCAAAGAAAGAAAATTTACCTTAAGTACAGACAAAGTAATGACCTGTCAAATTTGACCGAAAAGCGACCGGAGTGACGAGTTTGACATGTTTTTTAGAAAACAATCAAATTCCTTAAACTATTTGAATCCCATCAAGGTATCTTTATAACACCTATTAAATGAGGGGTAAAAGTTAAAAGGGTGTAGAGAAAACAATAGCGCCAGCAGAGGGTGTCAAACACGCGACCTCCGACAGCAGGCAAAAACACTAGTTTCTGCCACGGCGGTTTCTACGCTTCGTAACTGAAGAACAAGAAATCTGGGGAACATGCGGTTTGCGCCCTCCTTCATTTGAGAAATGCCCCCAAAACATATATTTTTTTCGTGAAAATTAAAAATCCGACTTCTTCAATCTGCCCGATTTCAGATGAAACCTCCGATATCGGGTAGGCTGAAAGGGTCCAGTTTTTAATTTTCACGAAACAAATATATGTATTATGGGCTTTTCTCAAATGAATGAAAGCGCAAACCGCATGTTCCCCAGATTTTTTTTTTTTCTCGAGTTACGAAGCGTCGAAGCCGCAGTGGCAGAAACTAGTGTTTTTGCCTGCCGTCGCAGGTCGCGTGTTTGACACCCTCTGCTGGCGCTAGTGTTTTTTCTACACCATTTTACCTTTTCCTCCTCGTTTAATAGGTACTATAGAAATACCTTCACGTGTTCAAATATCTCTAATAGTTTGATTGTTTTCTAAAGAAAATGTCAAACTCGTCACTCAGGTCGATTTTTGGTCAACTTTGACAGGTTATTACTTAGTCTGTACTTAAGGTACATTTTATTTCTTGGGCTCTATAGAAAGCCCTAAGCATGCCTAGTATAGATATAGTAATATCATTTTGATCTGCTGAGTAGCCGCTCCGCTACCTTCACGTAAACGTTGTGAAAAATAACAAATGTTCACACATTTCACGCGATTGCGGCTCAAATAGATGACATACAACCAAAATATTACATTTCTAGATTGTTTTTTCTTGTAGTCGACTAAAATGTCTAAAAGAATTAAAAAAAAAAAAATAAAAATTTACAAAAATGTGGTTTTTGAGAAAATCGACCTGAAACTTTAAATATTTGTTATTTCTTACAACGTTTACGTGAAGCTAGCGGAGCGGCTAGTCGACAGATCATAATGATATTATTATATCTATAATGGACTTGCTTTGGGCTTTCTGTAGAGCAAAAGAGAGAAAATTTAGCTTAAGTACAGACAAAGTAATGACCTGTCAAAGTTGACCAAAAAGCGACCGGAGTGACGAGTTTTACACGTATCTTAGAAAACAGTCAAATTCCTAAAAATATTGGAATACGTCAAGGTGTCTTTATAATACCTATAAAATGAGGTGAAAAAGTTAAAAGGGTGTAGAAGAAACACTAGCGCCAGCAGAGGGAGTCAAACACGCGACCTGCGACGGCAGGCAAAAACACTAGTTTCTGCCACTGCGGCTTCTACGGCTCGTAACTCGAGAACGAAAAATCTGGGGAACATGCAGTTTGCGCCCTCCTTCATTTGAGAAATGCCCCCAAAACATATATTTTTTTCGTGAAAATTAAAAATTAGACCCTTTTAGCCTGCCCGATTTGAGATGAAAACACCCATATATATATATCGGAAACAACAGCAACAATGGCCAATGAAGGATATTTCGAGGGTCTTTCACACCCAAAAATGTTTCCTTGCACAGGGCATTATTGTTTGATTACCCACGCGCGAATACGAGCGGTGTTCTTCGGCTGCCAGGCCGAACGCCGGGATTAATCACCGGACGAACAGCCGCTATCTGCTTATTTCGTTGTTGATCGACGTGTACTTTGGGCGACGGTGCAAGAAATAAACGGTTCCCGTTTTCTTTCCTCCTTCGAGTTGAGCAACCAACTGCGGAGCAAGGCATCACTGCTTGGTATCACTCCATATGGCGTTCCTCGAAGGCCGTTGAACGAAGAAGGCTATCACTCTGCTGAGGTTCCTCCGTTTCATCAATGTTTCTGAACGATATGGACCGAAAGAATGTCAGAAGCGGCCCCGGAAAAATGCAGAGAAACGCGATGAACACGACCACAACACGATTTAAACTAGCGTTGGCTACTTAGCTTTTGTACCACGGCGTGGCTAGCGTGCTTCCCTCTGGTAATGGCGGCAGCACACTGGGAGCGAGAGTATGCGTTACGGGCAGAGGTATACTGAAGAAAGGTCCATTGAATACGATATTCTCTAAATATATTAATTATGTACTTCACATACTCGTATTTATAATACCGCACACATTCCCTGCTCAGGGGTATGCTTTAGCTGGCCACGTCATTTCCACTCGCGCATTTTCGTGGGGAATGGGAGGATGGGAGCTTGTCACGTTGTCTAAGGCAAAACGTACCTCCCGTAAAGTGCCGTTCACACACTTGCAACCGAATAGGACGGAGAGAGAGAAAACCGGTTTTTATGCCTCTTGCGACGGCGGGGGACCTGCTCCGCAGCAGCGCATCCGGTCCTACGCCGTCGCAAGTGGCTTAAAAACCGGTCTTCTCTCTCTCGGTTCTTATCGGTTGCAAGTGTGTGAACGGCGCTTAACTCCCACACGTGGTAGTGGAATAATTCTTTCTCTCTCTCTCTCTCCCAAGACCAGAGTGCGGCTTTCGTTGGGGTACTCCGAGGACGAAAATATTTTCCCTCTTTTATTCGTGTGAAAATAAAACAGAATAAAGGGGAATATGAACGGGCGGAGCTATATGATAAAAGCGAGCAATTTTCATACTGGTCCCGAACTATTTGCCAGTCTGATAAAACCAGGATGAACGATTTGCCAGTATGATACAATCTGTAGAATGAAAGCCAGAAATGATCGTATCGGTCCCGAACGAGATGGACGCTCGGCCTTTACCGGGAGCGGTCGGTGGACGTCTTCTATCCTGGTCTTTCCCCAAAAGCTACTTTTCTTCTTTTCTTTATTTGTACGAATGCGTGCGGAGTTGGGCCAGTTAATATCAAGTGCACTCAAGCAGGGTGGAATGAGGAAAAGGGGGGCGGTGAACAAAACGAGTAGTGGTCCTCCGACGAATGGTTGCTGCTTGGCTCTGCTAAGTGGCCGGCGAGCTAACGAGGCATGCTCTCCCGAGAAGAAACTGCGCCGCGACTACAAACAAGGGGCCCGTGCATTGTTTGCGCTCGGGGGGCATCTTCGGGTCGGGGCACTTCAATCCTTTTTCACTCTTCCGCTTCGGTGTGTGTGCTCAGATAGGGGGAGGGCAAGAAGACACAAAACATTCATTGTCTTCACGTTAGCTTGGCCAAGGCTCGTCCTGCTCAAGCTTTTCGTTGTTGTTGTTTTTTTTCTTTTTTTCGCGTTGATGTGCGTAAGCGTGGGGAGGGACCGGTCGTTTGTTGGTTTCTCAAAGGGATGTTTGATGATCGCGACCTAACCATGCTTCTCCGCGATGCTCCCGGGGCTTTTTGTTGTCATACTCTCTTTCTGTTAAATATGTGTACTTTCAAAAACTAGTGTATACCGTCTTAATCTTTCTTTTGTTTTGGTTCATTCAAAACGAATTGTACAAGTAGCCGCCTCTACGTTTTGTCGGAGAGAGTTGCAAAACTTTCGGCTGTTCGTTCATCCTGCGCAAGCATCAGGCTAGTGTGGGGTGTGGGGCTTTGTTTGAGAGGGGGGGGGGGGGGGGTTGTATTTGCCGCTGTAAATATCGACCTGCTTTCGAATTCAACGAGAGACGCGGGCAAAGATAAACGTGGCGTCGGTATGGCTTTTTTTTTTCTTTTGCGTGAACACCGGTTATTTTAGCCGTTATTGCACAAAAAAAAAAAAAAAAAAAAAACCGCGGAAAGTTTTTTTTTTTTTACTTTTCAGAAAGTGTGATTGTTTGTTTACGGTCTTGTTCAAACACGTGTTTGTAAGTTTCGTCGTTTTTTGTTTTTTTTAACATTGTTAGAATTTGGGAGTGACTTCAAATGACCTGCACTTGGATGCTTCCCCGCTTCTTCCGCGGTCATTCGTCAACATAGTTTTGTTTAACCCGAGACTGGGGTATTTCGGAAAAGGGACGAGAAGAAAAGAGGCCACAAGGAGGCGACGTCTGAGACGTCGCCTCCTTGTGGCCTCTTTTCTTCTCGTCCCTTTTCCGAAATACCCCAGTCTCGGGTTAAACAAAACTATGGTTAACTTCCACCAGCTCGCCTGCACCCTTACAATTTTTTCACATTCGTCAACATGTTTTTGTTTGCATTGAATGAATAATGCATGGCAAGTTTCGTTCACAGCGTCTGGTAACAGTAAATTAATGACCCACCAGCTTTTTTTTTTCTTTCCTTTTTTTTTAAATAAAACCTTTAAAAGCTTGATTGTTAGTAGCGATATTTTGTAGGGCCGTTTCAACTTTGTTTTGATTTATTTGTCTGTGTGCTTACTTCACAGTACTGAAATCAACTTCTGCTAACGCCGAGAACACAGCTCCGTGCACCCCAGACAAGCCCAGGTGAGTTGTTCTTGTTTGCTTGTCTTCTCTTTCGGAAATTTTTTCTTTATAATTGTTTAATACTTTTTTTATGCGGTAATTCATAGAAAGACAAGAATGCTCGTACCTATACCTTTGACAGCGTTGCTTAAATGGGCTCTACTTTCGCTGTCACCCCTAGACATTCTAAAAAATTAAGAAAAAAATCAGATGTTTTAGACTTTTCTCGACTGTACGCATTTTCTTGCTAGCTCTTCAAAAGACCGGCGTACGGACGCTCTTTTTTGGGCGCGGGCAACAGTTCTCCAGAAGAGAAGCATTTGGTCGGGCGCCCAGATCCCTTTCAGGAGGCCCTATTGTTTTAAGCGTGCCACACGATTAACCGAGGTCTGATAATGCGCATGAAACTCGAAAAAGCTTTAGCTGCGTCCCGAAAAAAAGAAAAAAGAAAAAAAAAAAGACGTTTACAATCCCGTGTAACGCCGAATTAGAGCGCAGCTCTTGAGGAGGAGGAGGAGAGGAAGGTATCGAGAGGGGGCTATGCCCTCCTCGCCTCCCATTTTAGGGGGAAAATATTCCGCTAAATTTGGCGGAGAGTTTTCCCCGCTAAATTTAGCGGGGAAACTTTTTCCGCCAGATTTAGCGGGGAAATTTACCCATAATGCACCGCGCGGTTACGCCGACGGCGACGCCGATGCCGCTCACGGCGGAAACGGGCGCCTAAGAGCTGCGCTCTAAAAAAACGTAAGTCAAAGCCTATGCGGAAGGCTGTATCTTTCCGCCGACAGAGAAATTACAACTATGGGAAAAGTGAACTATGCTCTGTTTCGTTTTAAGATCGACCGCAGCCGACGCCATCTACGATTCTGTAGAGAGCCAACCCTCGCTTGCTTACACCATTGGTGCCAACCCCATTAACCTGCTTCTTCTGTTCACTCACGTATTGGTGAACTCGGATCATAATCGCACCTTAGTCGTCCAGGCATTTTGTGTGTCACTGTTTTTTTTTTTTTTTTCGTGATTTTTTGTTGCCTCGTACCTCTTGGGTTTAGATTCGAAGAGCCTTCCCTATACCTATCAGCGAAAAAGCGTCTTAATAGGTAGAGAACGCTGCCCTCTTCCGCGACGGGTCCAATGACCAAAACGAATTAAAGTCGCTCTTTTCCCTTGACGTTCAATTATTTCACTAATCCTTCCTCCGAACAGTTAGATCGCAAAATCTGGTGAAAACCCGTCGCCTCCCTTTCCTGTTCTCGTAAAAAAAAAAAAAAAAAGAAAAGATATATATATAGAGATATAGATGGAAAGATTTGTATTTTATACGAACCTTTTCACTCCTTTGCTCGGAAACTTCTCCCAGATTAAGTAACTTCTCGAATCTCTTTGGTGGATTGTGCATACCTCGAAAGCCACTGTGCTCAGCGCCTAGAATCCCCGGACTTGCGGTGCGTGGAAACCGCGAAGTAGGGCGGTGGAGTGCCAGGTTCGGTCGCCTCCCGCTCTTTATCGCTGGCCGCGCCTTGAGCGACGGCGGTGGCGGCGGGCGCCTGGCTTTTCCGGGGGAAGAGTTCTTCCCCATGGGCACGTTTAATTTCTCAGCCCGGTGCGCGCGCAGATTGGAATCTACCGGTCCGCCGGTTCCGGTTCTTTCCGACTGGTCAAACCCGGCTCGGTCAGCGGTGCACCGCACGCCTATCCGCTCGGTGCCGTGCGAGACGGTGTCGTGAATCTTGGCTCTCTCTCTCCCTCTCTCTTTGTTTAAGCCCGTTTCTTTATCCAGGTTTACAAGCTTAGCGCCTTCGGTCCTCCCGTGCGGTGTATGTAAAATGACGCCGCAACAGGGGGGAACTGGGGGTTTATGTGAACTTTTTTTTTTTTTCTTTATTGGGAGTCTAAAACGAGAAAAAAAATTCTGGAGATTGGACCAGTAAGTTGAAAGGAGTGAGGAACGAGCGGGTGGCCGATCGTTTTATGAGCTTGAACGCGCACGAGGCGATGTGCTTTGGTTTTCTCCAAACGTGCCACACTTGAAGCGGCAGTTGTACATTAGCTCCGTATAAATGTACTGCGCTACCGCGGTGCTGACTTTGCGCTGCATTAGTGACGGCGCTGATGCAGCGCTGCGTCAGTACAAAGTTACGTTGAAGTCAGCGCATTATCAGCGCAGGTCCCAGCGTTGATTTAGCGCTGCGATGTATGGCATTTGCACTGCGCTACTTGGAAGCAACCTGACACTGGCTGTCTTCCGCAGTGCATCCCGAAGAGGCTCCTGTCGAAAATCAAAATATACCGCCCATGTGCGTCACCGATACGGGTACATTCTTACCAGGCCAGTCAGTTTGATGATCAGCCTCTCAACATGCGACATGGATCTGGCTCCGCAGTCACCCAGTCCGAACCAGCACTTTTTGAGAAGAAACCCGAAGTGGGTTGCTGCACTCGGTGCACCCCAATAGGGCATGAGGTTTCAACTGCCGACCACCGCACTTCCTTTGTGAGTGCCTGAAGCTACAGGGGCATCGGGACGCTTCGTGGGCTCAGCCGCCCGAAGGTGTAAAAAAACCAGTGCGCTTGGACTCGTTCTACGCGGTGCCTCCGCGCCACCCGAAGGCCTGTCTTGGGTCTACGTACTTCTCGCGTGTTGCGGAAGGCGGGCCTCCGGGAGTCTGTCTAATCCGTTTCCCTTTTTACTTGACGCAGCTAAGTGAGTGAGAGATCGCACCCATTAAAAGGTATATTTCCGCTCGCTCCCTACATTTCTCATTTAAAAATGAAAAAAAGAAAGAAAAGAATCTACGAACATTTTTTTTTGTATTATATTTCTCACTATCTGTACATCATCGATTATTCCGCAGTGTGCAGTAATTTTATTTTACGGATAATACTATCCTTGCTGGTGTGACATGAGCAAGTAGAATGAAGTCGCTTGGACACAATGGTAATGCTGTCATCTGCCGGTCATATGTGGCAGGACCTGGAGGACTTCTCCGTATGCTCGCGCGACTTGTATACTTCTGGCCTCATCGGCGGCTTGCGGTCGTCTCCGTGCGTCCACAGTGTGGCTACCTCGCAAAACTTGAAAAACACTTGTCCTCAAGGACAAACGCACAGCCCTTCGCACGCGTCTCCCTTCATCGATGCCTTCGCTGTCTTTCTGCTGCTTTCTTTTGCGTATTTTTCCACACGCTATGCACGGTCCATAATCGAGCATCGAGCGTAAACGCGACGACCGATCCATAAGGGGAGACGCGTCGGCGCCCCGCCGCCAAGCACGGCCGACCGACCGACTCACTCGCGGCTATCGAGACGACCGAAGCAACGCCGTCGTTGGTTCGAGGCAGCAGCGCTGGACCGTGGCCACCGAGAAGACGTCGCTTCCTCATCTTTCCCACGTCTCCCTCGAGACGTCTTGCTGCCAGTCCTCCTCGGCGGTTCCCGCAGTCGGGACGCCCCCCGGCCGTCTTCGTGGGGCGAGGCACGGCACGAAGCGTCTCGCCACGCATCATGCTTGTCCTACATGTCAGGAGAGGGGGAGACGGCGAGGGGGCATTTGCATGCGAATGCTTTTGGATCTCCTCCTTCATGCAAATCGGGACACGGCTGTATCCCGAACCAGGGACGGGTGGCTCATGGGCGTGCACGCTCGTTCCATAATCTGCATGTTTTTTTGTTTGTCTTTTTGCTTTCTTTGGCGGAGTTGCAGTTCATCTCTGCTGTTTGGTTCTGTGAGGTGAGTTTTATTTTATTTTACTGAAGAGGGGTGAGGGGGGGGGGGGGGGGAGAGGGAGTTTGGGGAAGGCGCGTTGCAGAGCACGGGGTATATCTTCCTCGCGTTGGAGTGCGAGCGGATGTTCGAGCCATCGTCGTCGTATCGCGGATCGGAAGCTTCTGTGCCTTTGCCTTGTCTTGTTTACTACTTGATTCCTTGGGGGGGAGGGGAGACTCAAATTCGCTCTTGGGATGGAAGTTGCGAGCTTATTGTTCGTGGTCGTCGATGGAACGATTTCTGGATTTTCATATCATGGTTTGTTCTCGGATGTCGTCCGCTACTGTTTCTGGTTTAATAGTTCGTAGTTGGTGAATGGCAGTAGTGGGGAACGAAACTTTTCCGATCGTATCTCGCGCAGGATATTTGTTTCGTTTGTGCACCGTTCTTTAAATCATGCATTTACTGGCCTTCTTTCCCTTCTTTTTTTCGTTGTGCACTTGTTTGACATTTTGTTTTATTCCTGAATAATGCTTCCATTAGGGCTACCACTCGCTGTGAGAGCTTCACTATTTAAGCTTCTAGCGTTCATAAAGTTGCCGTGATGGTGTCGCCTTTACGAGCGAATGTCATCCAAGGTAATTTTGACAACTCCAATTAATCTTTTTACGAACTCTCACAGCTAATAATTTTCTTTTTCCACGTGTTACTGTGGTTATGCTTTCTGCGTTTTTTCATGTTTTTTTTTCTTAGAAATGTCGGTTATTAATTGACTTCAAAAAATTACAATTCTTATACATTTTTTTAGCGTACGCACGAAGATATATGGCTGAACGCAACTGTTTCGCCGAGACCGCATCTCCATTTCTCGGCGCATGGTGACCGAAGCGCCAAGTTGTAAATGTAGGTCGTAGCAAGTTTCGATGGATTTGTCAACAAGTTTGACAAGTCTCGTGCACTGGTATCAAAAGTTACACACGCGTGTACGTGCTACTATACAGACTACTTCGTTTTCACGCGAAGACGGGCAATAAAAGGCGCTGTTTAAACTCTCGCGCCCGTGCCTTCAACCGTGCTCCCCACAACTTTTGAGATTGGAGTTCTGAATTCTGAATGCAATTCGGCGTTGCGTCATTGCTTGGCAAGAGGAAGCGGCGGAAAGTGAAGGGAAGGTGTAACGACGCACTCCCACGCTTTTTGGTTGGGTGTTTGTTTGATAACACCTCGACGATGAAGTACGTTATTTCCGTTCACTGCAGCCGTCGCCATTTATGACCCCTGCTTTTTTTTTGGCGAGTGTCGAGAAAAAAGCGCG